ATTATTATTATTTATTATTATTATTAATTATTAATATGAATTATTATATTATGGAAGCCCCAACCCTGTGCTCCAACTTAAGCTATGCCATCATCTATCATTCCAAAAGGACCATCAGTTCCCTTGCACCTCAGTACTGCCAGTGCTCCACATCCTTCACAGTAATAGTTATTTTGTCTCTGACACGAGGTACGTGAGCCACAGTTTGGTCTCAAATGAAGGCACATGGGAATGCCCACCTGGAATGGAATCGAGCAATGTCATAAATATTTCTGAAGATAATGGATTTCTGAGTGGCAACAGCTCCTGGGACATTGGCACAGGTCTCAGTGTACTTAAGGTGGTGAGTCTGGAGGAACTGGAGATCTTGAATGTAATCTTCTTCAGAGATCAACAGCTCTTGAATAAGAACACTGAAGGGAAGATGAATAGGTAAAAAGAAATCACTGAGAAACCATCACAATTCTCCTTGACATGCTGGGAGACTTTTAGGCTCTAAAGCAGAGATATGATCAGAGGAACAGGCTTGCTGGACTGTGTTGACCAGATCCCCTCTGACCACAAGAGGAGCTTAGACACCCTGCTCATGGAGTGACACCTACCTCTACCTTAGACATCTACTGTTAGGGCAGATAAAACAGAGTGTGAGCAACAAAAGGATCTATGTAAAGTAGACTGTAGCAACTTCCATGCCACTCGATGCAATCAAGGAATCAAATGTCTCCATAAGAGCACGTCCAGTAGTGTACTGCACTGCCAGGGAGTAACACAAGGTTGAGTGCTTTCAACCCCCTCTTTAGACCTCATGCTCAGATACAGGGCACCCCAAAGTACAGAGGTGCTGCAGTTTAGGATTTTGTGAAATCAGAGGGCTTCAAGAGTTACATCATGTAAACCCCTCTTTTTGAGTCAGCCAGTATCATTTAGGTTGCCTGGAATTTTCCTAGGCTGAAATCAATGGCAAAACCCAATCAAACATCACAAATTACAGGTCTGAGAGAATCAAAGGTTTGCTTGATTCTGGGAAAGGGGAGGTGGCAGGACTCAGCAGAACAAAAACAGAGACCCCGACAGGAGGGACCTAGATGCCAACATTCATATCAGTTCAAAAGGCAGGAAAACTCCAAGGTGCAAATACCGAATGACACGAGCTCACCTGAGCTTCCTTTTGTATTCATCTTCAGAAACAAACTCTCCAGGAAACTCAGGAGCTTCTATTGTTCCCCACTCTGGTGACAACTAAAATATAAGAAAAAAGAAACATTGTTCTTTTAAGTTAACAGTATTTTTATCAACACACACTGAGGAATATCCATCATGCATTCACAATCCTTTTCAACAATTCCTAAACCAGTGTGAAACTTATTTTTTTTGCTGGATTAGGTCTTTCAAACCCAGACACCCCTGCACACATACAGAAATATTGTCTAATCAAAACATGAAGTCCAAGAATATTAGAGATCCCTTGTCAACAACCTCCTCATCCATCACACCTTGATGACTCTAAACTGCAACAGGAGCAAGTAGTTTTATATGAAAAACTAACACAGCATGAGCAGGCACCTTTAATTTCTTGTCCAGATAAGCTGGAGATACCCAACCCTGTCGAGAAGGGCTGGATTTTGTGGGTTTAGTCCTGACCAGCCACTTCAGAGGATGAGCTGAATCAAGGACTTCCACGTATTGGCCTTCCTTCAAAGTGATGGTCTCCTTGTCAGGTGCAGCGGGCACATAGTCAGCTGTGACCATGTAGACGTCAAAGATCTGCAGGCATGAAACGACAGTTATTTGGTGCTCTGAAAACAGAACGCAGCCCTTGTATGGCAAAGAGAACCACTGTTTGCTTTTTTTTCAAGTGGAAGACTAAGTCTCTAGTAGGCTCAGGCCATATTTTCAAAACTATCTGAGGTGTTTTGGATTGACACCATGAAACAGAGGATTTTTGTCCCAAGGCAAAGCAAGCAGTGGTGCTGAAAATGTCAAAATAGGTTCACATTTCCAAAGTTTTAACTCTTTTTTTTTTTTTTTTTGGAAGTGTTTGAAATGAACACCCCAAAAAAATTCTAGTTTATAATTTTCAAAAAATTCTAATTTTTCACATGATTTTCTCAACAAAATTCTTATGACCATCTCTATCCAAGGCCACACAAAATCAAGCTCTGACTTTCTGAAGCTCAGCTATGAAAGCAAACGGTACCAAATAATGGATATATTTTCACCACATTGACTTGAACAACTTGTTCAAGATCACACGGTGAGCACCAGAATTTGATTCTCTGTGCTCTGTATCGCAGACCCAGTATTCAACTATTAAATACACCTATGAAAGTGAAGAACATCCCTGAAGGGGATGGAGATCCTTAAACCATAGGAGATTGGTCATTCTAAGTAAAGTTTTCTCCTTGCGTCAAACTTATCCAGAAAGATATCATACCTCTCCTCTGGAATCCCCATCTTCAGATTCAGAGGAGGACTCCTGAGCAATGGAGGAAGGTCTGGATCGTCCATGGCGAGGAGATGCCGAGGGAGTTTTTGATTCATCATCACTTTCTGCACCTGGCACTCGAAGTGTAGCTAAAAAGCAGAGCAACAGCAAAGTGTGAAATAAAGAGCTCCAATCTGAACAAGAACCAAATCTACAATAATTGTCAATCATATAAAAACATATTCCCTAGGAAGAGCATTTGTAGTATTTAGTGTGATCTCCTATTGATATTTAGGATTAAATAAATAAATGGGATGTTTATGAGGTTGTCTGCCTACTGCTTGTATTGCCACTGCACTGCAAGAATATTTGTAGGAGAGGTAATGTTCCCTCAAGATAAAATTTTACTACAAGATAATCACTACATGATACACAAATCAGGATTTTTCACTTAATTCAACAAATCATTGGATGCACACAGTTTTCAGCTTCAACTTGATTTTAAAGTCCCATTGGGAGATAAAACTTGAAGATGTGGGAAGACTTCAAAACAGGATTGCTTTCAGAGTCAAGAGTGATGAATATCTGAAAACTTGAAAGACCCAAGATGTTCAAAATACACCCATTTTTACAACTTGGCCTCCACTCTAAATCTTACAGTTACTCCTACTTGTTTAAATAAAAGCTGTATGTGTAAAATGGACACTACCCACCTTATTTCACTGTAATAACTTATTTTCTAGTTCAAAAAAAGACTAAAACATGCAGTTTGGATGGACTCTTACTAAAAATTCTTAGTCTTACGCATTTACAAACATTCGTATGCTTGTGTAGGATGATTGTCTCAAAACATGCTTCATAAATCTCGGATATTTAAAGTCCAAATAATACCTAAAAAAAAGATTGCATATTTTTCCATACTAATTAAATTGCGTTTGCCAGGTTCCTTACCCTGACTTATTTTTGCAGATACCATTTCTGAGATATGGGAGGTGAGTTTCTGGAAGAACTCTTCTGAGCCAACATCAGCTAATGAAATAGGGCTTTTGGGTACACCTTCTCTACCAGCTTCAAGGTCTCCTGGAAAAGAGAGAATTTTCTATTAAGTAGGCAATGTCCTTGGAAAGTCATCTTTTCTGAGTATCAAAAAGCTTTTGTAGAAGGAAGGTCTAATTTCCTTTGCTTCTCCTGCTTTTAAAATTGCTCTTGCTCACATTCCATCTAAATAATTCACCCTTGAACAGAGACCAGTCCTGAAAAGTTCCAACATTTCAGGCAGTTGCAAGGAAACAAGACAAAAGTAGGTGGTCATAATGAAATACATAGAAAATCTCAGCCGTGGATGTGAAGGGCAGGAGTAGGAGAGGGAAAATAGCTTCTCTTACCTTCTCTTGCTTCAGAGGGATGAATAGATCTGAAAGAAAAAAAAAGAGTGAAGCAGAGTTAAAAGTTAAAATAAAATGTGTAGTAAGGAGAGCTCAATGAGAAACACCCCCTTCTTCTCACAGCTGGTAGGTGAAGGCTGGAATATCTCGATGGGGACCCTGGTTTGGAATGCAGGTGCTGGTAGCTGATACTTACCAGGGCCAACATGAGAAACGAGGCACCTGGCTCATAAGTGCACAGAAACGCTTGGGTGTCTTAGTCTTTGAGCCAAATCCCACCTGATTTCCTTATTCTTGGCTTTATTTCAAACTGTTGCTTGAGAAGACCTGGCGGCTCAGGGAGTGGGCTGCAGAACAGAGTAGCCTCCATCTCCCTGGTGCTACAGGGACTCTATTCCCAGCTGACACTGAAATGAAACTATTACAGTTGGAGACATGTCAAGTGGGATCTGTAGTTTCAGTCAGTTTTTAGTGAACAATTTCCAGTGGTTTCCTCAGGAAACCAAGGACTGGAAAATATGGAGATGCTGTGGTCCTGCCAAGAGATCTGTTCCCATTACATTAGGATGCCCGTGTGATGGGGAAGCAAGCTGCCTACTGGTACTGCAGCAGTTTTGGGGTCCAAAGAGACCCTTGCTACAGCTTTTACCAGCACCAAATTCACTCATGACAGCCAGAAATGGGCAGGAGGCTATATTGTCAGCACAGAGGGAAAATGGCTTCACAGACGTGAAGAACTACCAGCATTTGCTTGCATCTGATGAAGATCTGAGCAGACCCTTTTCATCTATTTCTTTCTCTGTGAAACATCAGTGTATTTCCATGTTTGCAAGTAATAGTCAGACCTTGACCCTGTGAATTTTTTTTGCCATTGTCTTTAGGAAATCAAAAACTAGCAAGAATTTTATATGACCTACCCATTTTATTTATTTTTTTTTGCCTTGTTCTATCCTCCCTGATAATCAAGCAAGAATGGCTGACATCGATACTGGAATATTTATGGCACTTTCCATCCTAGGACCTCAAACTATTTTAATTCTCATGCTGAGACATGAATATGAGATGTCTAGAGTGAACACTGCCTAAAAGTGACTAATGGGGACTTCTGCAGGAGGGTACTTGCACAAGTCCACTTTACCATGGATGGCCAACCACTTACCCCAGTGTGGTCATGATGGCTTCTGACACCATCACGCGCTCCTGGGTCAGAACTTCAGCCTCTTTCACTGCAAGATTAGGGTTTATTGTTAGAGGACAGAATACAGAGAACGTTCTTTTGATGTATTGAACGTAGGCACATTTTCTAGACATGGATTACTGGGAACACTGGAGTACTGAATCTGCCCTTTTAGCAGCTCCTGACCTGGGATACAGACTCCCACTCAATGATGCAAATATTTTGCTCCCCTCCCTGTTCACATAGATGTACGATTGCCCCATTTCTCTACACTGCTCAGGCTATGCTCCTGTAGCCCTTGGAACAGTAAAAATGTGGAATTCAAGGAAGGATAACAGAAATATGGAGTCCTTCACAGTCCCATCCTTACTCCCAGTCTATATTTGCTTGTTCCCCATCTTCCTGAAGGAATTGTGCCAGAAGAGGTCCTGGAAAGCTCTGCAAAGGGGAACCAGATAACTCTAGCTTCCTTAAGGCAATTCTGCAAGGCAAAATACCTTAGCAGAGCGAAGCACTCAAAATAATTTCTCAAATGGTGACATTCTAGTTACTTTACATTGCCTTTCTTCCTTTCTTTTTCTTTTATGCTTAATTAGGTTGTTTCTTAGATTTGTCTCCTGTTTATACAGAAAAGATGCTGCTCTTAATCCAAGCTAAGGTCAGAAATCTGAAACACTGTAGAAGTAAAGAGTAGAATCATTTGCAAGGCAAGAAAAGTCATACTAATCTTGGGAAGAATAATTTTTTTCAGTTGTAATTTCATTAATTTCTTTATCAGTCATGCTTATTTTTCTCTTAAGCACTGTATGAAAGGTAACATAGAGAATGTGTTTGTATTGTAACAAAGATTTACCATCGGCAACTTCCAGGGTGGCGGTGCAGATGGACTGGCCAGCCTTGTTGGTAGCAATGCACGTGTAAGCTCCACTGTATTTCTTTTTAACATCCAACAGGATGAGACTGTGATGCATATTTGAACTGGCAAGTTTATACCCAGGAGTGTCTGGTTTGATCCACAGGATGTCTTCCCGAGACTCTTCTTTCAGCCAAGTAATAGTTGGTGGTGGATGTCCTAAAGGAAAACCAATGTAATGAGCTTTAATTTTCCTAATGCTGCTCCCTCCTTACAATTATGAGCCATGCTGTGAATAAATGCTATTTTGATCTGTTTCCTGACATTTTCCCAACATCAACAGGCATAATATGTAACAGAGGAACGGAAACCTTTCTACAGCACACTCATAAGGTCATTAAAACTTTTTGTAAAACCAAAACTGTTAATCAACACATCTTCATAAGACTAGTAAGTGTTTTATCCCTGTTTTTACATACAGAAAAATGGAAGATGAGTAAGACGCTTTTCTGTAAAGCACATAAAGTCTCTTACAATGTTGGGAATAGAGTCCCAGACTTCAGATACAGGAGATGAGGTTACCATGGCTTGGGCCAGCGAGAGTCTAGAATGTGTCACGAAGTGATGCAATTTAAGTGTTATGCAGAGAGGCAAGGTATCTAGCCACTTACCTTCAACTTTTACAGATAACGTGATGCTTGCACCTTTTTTCACCTTTTTATTAGTAAATCTTTCTAGGAACCTTGGTGGTATCAGCTGCTCGTGGGAATCTGAAAATGACATTATTGATGAAACATGGTGACACCTTCTGTGTGAGTTCAGACTACTGAAAAATTCCTGGGGGTTCTGCTATCACCTGCTATGGCTTCTCTCACCTGTTTCTGATGGCTCCTCTTTCTCATCAGGATCTGTAACACAAGGGGAATAAACAAAATGACAAATATAAATGCCTTTCTGTCCATGAGTTGAATAATTTTAAAAAAATATTACTCCAGGGAGTTACTCCTTGCAGGAGATATTACCTAGAAATGTTAGTATGATGTCTAAGAGGCCCTCAGTTTTAATAAAATGAACAATTAAAGTTAATAAGGTTGGCAGGAATAAAGTGTATGTTTATGAGACAACAGTCAGACCCTAGAGAAGTGACATATCTCATCTTCAGAATACACAATACATTTATAGGTGAACCAAGATTAAAGCAAATTAAAGCATGCAATCTTTTATCTACAGATTTCCCCACCCCCCTTGACTTGCCTTGGTAGGCTATCTCAAGAAAAATAACTATACAAAATTGAAATAGAGGAAAGCAGGTGCCAAAAATAGTCCAGTACCTACCTTTGACTACCAGCCTGGCTGATGAAAACGCAGAACCAGCAGAGTTGATGACAAATATTGAGTACTGGCCAGCATCTGCCTTAGTGACGTCACGAATTTCCAGCGAGTGGAATTCCTGTTTATCAGTCTTGAGGATGCGATCCGAGGCCTTTAACGGCTGTCCGTTTTTGAACCAATAGAGACGAGGCTGCGGGTACCCTGCGAGGAGCAGTTACAGACACGGAGAACAGAAAGCATTGGCAAAATCCATTTGGAGCATCTCCAAAGAGGTAGATCCTACTGAGCAGGAGCCAAGGAATCCTCAGCTCTGCCCAGGGCTGCCTCTTCAAGGATTTACCCAATTAGGAATCACTGGAAATTCATTAAATTCTATTTATCTGTTAAGGTTCTTTCCCATCCCTTCAGTTTCTGGCACTGCCCGTATTGGATGCATGTGCAAATGCCTTCCATGTTGGAAAGGTAACACTTAGGTCTGATTTGCAACATACACAAAGAGAAAAGTAGAAGCCAAAACATTTCTCAGCATTTTTATAGGCAGCAGTCAGAGAAAACAGGAGAATCCCTACCTCTCCCTACCACCTCATAGAGTAAGAAGTCTGTTTCATTTATTAAAGAGAATAAAGGACACCCTCACTATCTTTTTTTTTTATTCCTTATTGTTCTTCCATCACTAATGGTCTCAGAGGATTACAGGACTCAGTTTTCACAAGTGTATGCTTGTGATTATGCCTGGAGTCATGGACACAGAATGAGACACTTAATCTGCCCGAATCTGCTGCAAAAGTCAAAGTTCATCATCATGAACACATTTTTCTAGATGGTTTGTGCAAAGGTGGTGCAAGATGCATGGACTGGGGTCGCAGCTGCAGAAGAGCGCATCAGAAAACGTTATCCTGACAGCGAACCTGGAACAAAGGACAGTACTGTGGGCTCCCCTCACCTTTCACCTTCAGGTGAAATTTCGCCAGTGATGCTCCAGGTGCCACATGAATATCATGAAGCTCATCGAAAATCTGGGGCAATTGCTCCTCCTCAGTGGTAGATTCCTCCTGTTCTCGGCTAAGAAGCAATTAGAATTAGAAAGAAGAAAGTCAGCGAGCCAGAGAAGAGTTAGGAATCAGCATCACCTATTTTAGGTTAGTTCAGTCGGTGGGTTTTCTCATCATGACAACAGATCCAGCTCCATATGACATTAAGAATAATGGAGTCATGCTGTGAAGAAATATCCAGGCTAGCCTGAAGGCAGCCAGAGCATGTTTATACATGATCAACGTCCAGCTGCTGCAGTTATTGCATCTCAGCTGGTCTGGCTCGTCCTTTACAACATTAAACTGGCCCTGCCAGATATAACAAAACCAGGTTTGATATAAAGATACATATTGATCTTCTCAAGTCAGAAGTTAGAAAAAGCTAGAGGTTGATATTTTACCTTGAAATATATTCTTTGGCACTGTAGTAAGAGGAGGTCTCTGTTGCATCGGCTGCTGTCTCATAGTCGGTGCTGGTCACTGTTAAATGGAAAAGAAAGTGTCTTCTTTGAAACTATTTTTCATACTACAATTATAGTTTCCCTACTCTTTTGAGTGACTGGTGGCTCAATTTCACACTGCTACTGCAACAGGGTCCCACATGACCCTGGATTACGAAAAACACTTCTGATTATTTGAAGAGCTTTGCTCTGAGCCTTGCCTTGGTGTTGGCAAAATCCCAATGAACCCAAGAGGTTTGCAAGTGGAACATTTTGTGGGCAATACATACATTTTTTTAAAATATAAACAGTGTTTGTCTTGAAAAAATATTTATCCACCTCTGAGGAGGATTCTTTCCCTTTTTCTACAGTGCTTTTGAGACTTACAATCCACTCGAAGCTCAGCCTTGGTTGAAGCAACTCCCATGTTGTTTTCAGCCAGGCAACGGTAAACTCCCATGTCAGTGGGGACCACAGCCGTGATGATCAGCTGATGGCATCCTTCTTGGTCCTCATTGATCATGTAATGATCGTTTTCTTCAATAGCTTTCCCATCCTTGAACCAGCGAACCGTGGGGAGTGGTTTGCCAACAACGATGCAGTCAAAGCTGACTGGGTATCCATCCTGTACCTCTTGGTTCTGGAGCTCAGTCAGAAACACGGGAGCTAAATTCAGGGTAGCCAGGAGAGAAAAAAGAGAAAATGTGGTCGTGTTGTATTTTAAGAGCACTGCTGTCCAGTGCCAGAACACTTCTGGCTTCTAGGTTTTTAATTGCAGAGTGATATCTTTTCTCTATGACAATGGTCAAGAAAAAACTCCCTGCCAAACATTATGAGGATATTCCGTAACACCGTAAGCACTGCAATACCACAGCTGGAAACTATACATTGCCTTTGCTCCTCTCATTGACAAAAACGTCTTTTCTCCCTCAGGGCTGGTCTGAAAACAGTTTCGTTTATTTACGGGTAATAATCATTGCATTTATAGCCATATTGTTCTAGTAGAGGGCATTTCTATTGTGAAAAACAGCTTTATAGATAAGTCAGCACTTTGCAACCCCCTCCTTTATCACTAACCTCCCTCCTCTCCCTCAAGATGAAAAAATATAAAATATTTTATCTGTTTTTCTAAAAGGGCAAATCTTCCAGGAAAATTTCTTTGCCAAATGAAAAACAAAGGTTTTTTAGAAGTTATTCGTGAGGGAAAGGATAAAATTCTGACCTGTTCCAGCTGTCTTTTCTGAATAATGAACAAGTTTGTTTCACCTACCTGTGTCAGAAGTCAGCAAAGGCGGTGGAGGTCTCACGGCTGGTGGTGCAAACTTCCCATGGATGGGTGGTGTGGCTTTCCCAATACGCAATTCGATTTTTTTAGGGCCTTGTTCCAAAATGTCAATCTCCACAGGAATTCCCAGAGCACCAAACATCTCTCTGAATCGAGTGGCGGCAGTTTTTGCTTCGGACAAGATCTCAAACTTGATGTAGATGTACTGATCATCCTCACGATACGTCTGATGGTCGACCACCTCTATGTCCCCTTCATCTGCGCTGACAAAGAGCTCTTCCTCCACATCAGATATCTCTGTTGAGATCTTGGCCCTGAAGAGTCTGTGAAGTCTCCTTCCTGCTTTCCGGAAAGCATCATCCAGCTCACTCCCAGACGAGCTCTCTGTCTCGCTGTCGGTGCTTTGTTTAACCTGCTTCTCCTTACGAAGAGCTTGAGGTTCTTGAGTGCCAATAACCACCTTAGCACTGTGGGAAACCTTCCCAAATTTATTGGATGCCTCACAGGTGTATTTACCTGCATCTTTCCTATCCAGGCCAGTGATAATCAAAGAGCAGGTCCCATCACTGTAATTGTCTATGTGATAATAGCGACCATCGGAAAGCTCTTCTCCATCTTTCAGCCAACGGACTTTCATGTCAGTTTTGCTGTGGGCCATGCACTCGAGGTGGAGAGTGCTTCCAGGTTCACCAGAGAAATCTTTGAAGGTCTCAGTAAACACCGGACACTCTTGTTGCTTGATCTCTTTCCTGACTTTGTAGCCTTTGAAAGCAGCCTGGATTTTCACAGCAGCCTTGTTCATAGAAGGATCATCTGGTATTTCTGGTTCAGCTGGCTTAGCAGCTGGGGCAGCCACCACAGTCTCCACGCTGGATGTCTCCCACTGCTTCCATAATTTGCCTGTGGAGATGGACTGAACCTTGCTGGTGACACTGACACTTTTCTTCTCAGCTTTCTTGAGGTAGTGCACCAATGAAGGAGTCCCAGCTCTAGACTCATCATCTGAGCTTGTGAAAGATAAATCTGCTTCTCCTGTCCTAGCCAGCTCATCACATGTGGAGTACTCCTCCGAGTAATAGTGAGACATCTCCGCTTCCTCCTTCCTCAACTTCTGAAGCTTCTCATCCTCCTCAGGCACCTCGCTGATGGAATCCAAGGTGGGCTCCCGGCTCATCCTTCGTTTCTTGGCTAGGGCTTCCCAGAGGAGGTGAAGATCTCCCTCCTGAGCAGCCTCAGGGGGCAAGCTGGGCTGGACATGGCCATCCACCAGCTCTTCTGGTTGGCTTGCAGGGGGTGCTTCCTTGGCGATCTCTTTTAGCATGGTCACTGTGGGAACTGAGGAGAATTACATTGGTAAGATGATGGTAAAAGACAAAGTTTGTGAGTAAGCTTTGAGAAAACACATGGAAATGTTATTCTAAAGCCTGGGCAGAAAAGTATCAGTGGCATTTAACTAAGCGTTCTGTTGAGAATAAAATGGGAATTTAATATAACTGGACAGGGTCCTGGGTGAGTTGTTGACTTGTTGTAGGTGACTCTACTTTGAACAGCGGGCTGGACTACACGATCTTCAGAAGTCCTTTCCAACCTCAACTATCCTGTGATTCTATGCATGCACTTAAAACATGACCAAACAACAATTTTTTTATTCCTCACACATTTGAACCTTTTTCAATGTTGCAGTTTATTAATATCTAGTTAAGACTGCCAGTGGAGCCTTGAAAGCTATCCAGGCTCATCCTATTTCACAGCTAGAGAGAGCTTCACTGTCCTGAATACATCTCCACTGGCTATAATGGGAGCTGAAACTCCCACCCCATGTGGATGCAGCTGCCTGTTTAGAGTTGTCCAAGTCTGAAGGCTTGCCTCCACATAGCGCCCAGTGCCACTTGAGATGCTCCAGGCTGTCTGGGACATCCCCACATGTGGCTCTCAGATGCAACGCAGGACCTATGAGTGCTCTGGGTCTCTCTGGAGAATGAAATGGAGGCCAAGAGTGATATCTTGAAGTGCCTCAATGGCACTAGATGCCTATGTGTGGACCACTGAATCCCACCATAGAAGCACAATTCAGCTTCCCAAGCACTGTGACCCAAAACCATTTAGGATGTCTAGGATGGCAGATACCATGCAGGACATACGAAAGAGCCCTCAACTTCTGAAGTGGAAGCTGGTGGCCAGGCAGAATTCCCTAAAGCATCTCAAAAGGCACCAGAAACCCATGTAGAGACAATTTTATCCTACCTTGAATATCTGACTCAGGAATCTGAGTAGCTCAAAGCTCAAAGAAACATACAGGGCAATACCAAACAAGTATATAAGAATTCTTTGTGGATTGTTATCAGCTTGCAAAAGAAAATTAATTCCAGTCTAAGCTGTGGAGATGCCCCCAGATGTTCATGAATACAACTGATCTAACATCACAGGAATGCATTCTCTGTACCTTCAAGACACAAGCTGGCAGCAGATTTGACTTCTGGAGAAACCACACAGGTGTATGTGTCTTGATCTTCAGGTTTAAATGAATGTATAACGAGTATCTGCTTTTTTCCATCAGAGAGGATCTCGTATCTCCCTCCGGCTTTTACTTGTTCTTTTCCTTTGAACCATGTCACTCTCTCTTCAGGTTCACTTGATAATTTGCACTCCAAGCGAGCCACCTCCCCTTCTGAGACTGATCCTCCCACCAGAGGATGGGTGACTGTCACCGGAGGCTCTGTAATTACAAAAAAGTGAATTAACACAAAGAACATATCATAATCTGGCTTTAAGGCACTTGAGATCACTCTAGAAAATATCCAAGCATCCCATCCTTTATCTACAGATTCTTTAGCTGTTGTAGACAACCAAAGAGAAAAAAAAAAATGACTGGCAGCATCCAAAGTTTGCACTTCCAAAGATAAAATAACTTTACAAGCTCTCCCAGAGGTTAAACCAGCTCCATTTAAACATATACATGCAAAAGTGGTCACATTTTTCACATTCCTGTGTTTATTTGCTGGTCTTCATTTACCCATCACCAGTATTCAAGCAGTCCTACAGATTCTGGAAGATCTCAATGTTTAGAAGTGAAGCAGTTCTGAAGTGAAACAATAAAGAAACAATAAAAAGAATTAAAAAAGAAAGAGAAAGTTAAAAGCAGCATTCAACCCAGTCTTGAAAAAAATATATTTATGCTAGTTTAAGAATTAAAAATTTGCAAAAAACATAAAGAATAAAAAAAATTAAATTCTCTGTATCTTCTTTACTTTGGAATGACATATGGCAGAGTTACTCAAAATGAAGTCAAAGCAAATGAATTAAACACGGAGATGTTGACTGGGATGTAAAGGACACAGCTGAGTTCCCAAAAGCAGCACACTCCTGAGCATGATCTGCCCCCTCTGCACTTTTCACCAAGTGAGGGGACCACTGCCCAAAATGCCTTGGGTTTGCTGTAGACAAAGTCAGCACATACAGAGTTATCAGGGTCCAGCACCGGCAGTTGTTATATTGCAAAAACATCATTGTGTGTCTGAGCCTTAAGCAAAAGAAGTTTTTTTTAAGTCATTATTCACACTTTGAGGAATTTGTTGGGCACTCAGCTTTCACAGAAAGAGTTGCAAGAAAAGAAAGATTGGGGGAGTGGCTCTCCATCCCACCATAGCTTCCAGAGTTTCACCTATGGACACAAAGGAAGTGTATCCTCCAGCTTTTCTTTGTGAGTGTTATTGAAAAAGATATGCAAATAATATAAAGAAAGAGAAAGATGGGTGAAGAAGACAACACTACCCACCCCCTGCATTGCTACTAGGGCATTCCAACATGCCCCTTCTGAGTCATTCCATCCAAACTCCACCAGAAAAGACTCATGGTGATGGGACAACACATGGATGCAGTGCAGGCTGCAAGCCAGTTTGATGCAGTTTGGAGAAAATAGGTGCTGAGTACTAACAATGCAGCAGGTGTTGGCTCAGGGCAGCCCAGAACGATTTTTCCAAGCTCTTTCTCCTCTATTGTGTTGGCAACAAAGCACCGAAAGACGTTGCAGAGTGAACTCTTCCAGGAGATGCCTGGAACGGGTGAAGCAGGCATGCCATGCGAAACACAAGGCTTAGAGCAGCTCACAGTCCTCCATGGGGACATCTCTCCTTTCTCACCTAGCCGCACCATCTGAGGGAAGTGCACCGGCTCGCTGGCCCCAACTTTGTTCACAGCCGAAACACGGAATCTGTAGGGTTCACCCGGGGTGAGATCATCCACCGTAAACTCTGTGTTTTGAATAATGCTCTTGCTGCATGACTGCCAGCCAACACCTGGGATTTTCCTCTCCACGTTGTAGCCTAGGAGGTCACAGCCGCCGTCGCTCAACGGCTTGTACCAAGACAGAGTTACAGAGTGACTGCTCTTACATAAAACTTCTGGTTCTTCAGGTGGATCAGGGTGGGCTGGAGGCACAACAGAGGTCCCGTGATGTATGACATGAGCAAGAATGCTTGACACTAAAAAAACCAAGAGCCTTCTACAAGCAATGAGAAGGAAGCACAACAGATTCAATATTTGTCCTACTGTAAGTTGAGTGGGTACATGCCCACAACCATGGGACATACCTGTGCACCACCAAGTTCTCCATCTGCCCTGCCTAACGGCAAACATTCATTTTCCAACAGCCATCTCAGATGCTTAATGTCACATGTTATTGTGAATTTTTTCCTGCTACTTTGTCCCACCCAGCTCAAAATAAAGATGACCCTATGCTGTCCTTATTATCAAGGAACTTAGCTCAAAATTTCATGTACACTTGGGACTTGATCATGCATATTTCAGGTGTAACTTTAATGGAAATCAAGTTATCATTGAACTACAGAGTAACTCTTGTAACATAATAGCAACTCACCCAATTTTCTGTGCAATTGCTATATACGTCACAGCATCAAGCAATAACAGAATGGGAATGGTTTGGTGTCCTACCAGGCTGGCTACTGACGATCATACTCAGTACACTGGAAAATGTTCCTCACTTTGGCTTAGAAGACAGAAATAATTATTTTAGTCTTCTAGTCAAGGTATTTACCAAGGAAATGACCTGACACAATGTACCAGTCCAACAAATTAAAGGCAAAGAAGATCGACAGCCAGTTCTTTAAATCTGGGCACCACAAACATTTCTTTCTGCATAACACACAAGCTTCTTTTCTCTGTTTTTCATCCAAATTTCATGCAGAAAACCTGTCAACAGGAGGAATTAATGAGAATAGTGTTGTACAGTTCCTAAAATGTAGGTGCCCGAAATAAGACAATGCTGTTTTAAATCTGTCAACAACCAACGTTTTTTTTTTTTTTTTTCTTGTGGCAATGACTGGAATATATCAGAGACCTCTCCAGTTGCAGAAATCATTAGACAAACAGACTACCCATAATAATTTGAAGAATGGATGGTCAATCAGTGGCTCCTGAACATTTCCGCTACAGTGCGCAGCTAAAACACCTTGCCATTATCTCATAACCATCACTGGGGTTGTGCTGGTGTGACCATCGCTGGGTGACCCACCTGTCCCACTGTGGGAAGGAACCAGACCCTGGGTGCTGGAACAGACATTGACGAGTTGTTGGTCTAACCTGCCCCACAAGGGAACTGGGCAACTGCCATCTTTTCTACTTGGGAAGTACTCCAAGAGCTACTAACTCTTGGATCTCTGAAGAACACGGTGTGTGTTTCATGGATCTCACCCACATGAAGATTTGAATATGCAACTCATGAATCTGGAATACTGGTTGCCCTCCTCTTGAGGAGATATTAGCAGATTTCAAAGGGTTCTCTGCTGCCCTGGGTAATTTTTCTATGTGCACTTTTGTTCAGCTCCCTCCTGTGTTCCCATGTTTGCCAAGAGTGATGTTGAACTTTGAGTAAATTTATTTCCACTAGATTCCATGTTACATTTTTAAAAAGACTGCAGCTAAAGAAAGCTGGTGAGCATCTCTACCATTGTTAGCCTGATATGATTTTTTTTCTGATGAGCTGATCTGTTTCTGGTCAAAGAATTTGTTGCCCAGCAGCATCTTCTCAGACTAAGAACAGTGGCTGTGGATGTGCAAGGACAAGAGGAAGGAATCAGTACAAAGATCAGAAAAGTCAGTAATGTAGCTCAATACCAAAGTCTGAGGTTTCAAGTGCCAATGGGCTGGAATGACAGACACTTACCAATCACAGATAATTTAGCTGATGTGATTGCTTCCCTGGAAGCGAACGTCACCTCTCCAGAATGATGCAGTTGGGTTTTTTTCAGAATAAGTTTGTATTTGTTGCCATCTGCTTGTACCTCCCAGTCGTCATCCGGCTGGATCTCTACGTCGTTACTGTACCAGGCGACTTCATGAACTGGCACGGCTTCACTGAGCACACAGCTGAATGTCGCCTTCTCCCCTGCAGAGACTTCCACATCTGTGAGAGGCTGCAAGATCTGTAGGCGCCATCCTGTAGATAAAAATAGGCAATCAAACCCCTCTGTTACCAAAAAAAACCCCCAAATAAAAGCAAGAGATTTTGTGCATATTTATGTTGAAGCTCTGGACAATCAGACCAAGGAGATCATCAAAAGGGAGGGGGTTACGTTTGTCACTAGGATAGAAGGTATCACCGGGGACTGAAGCTTTCCAAAACTTTCAAGAGCAAAAACCAACCTAGCAAGGTCTTTCTTTCCCAAATAGCAGAAAACCACAACAGAGATACCGTGCTATGACTGAGGATGGTTGTTCTCGTACTCCGTAAGGGGTTCTGATCCCCACAGGGGTCTCCAGTAATCACATAAAATAGAGGGATAATATTTTTGCTGATATAACTCTTTAGAGCCTTGAAGCACCTATAAACACAACCCAACTCATCAGAATAATGACAACTGTAAGACAGTCATTTGCTGCTGACTCATTACCAACTGATGCTGCTTATGCCCACATCGTGGCATACGGAACAAGAAAAAAGGAAATTTTAAAACATCACCTGGTTATTGGGAAGAAGATTTAGGTAAGAGGCAAGCAACATATGCAATTTTTCCTCTGTGCTACTCATCATATTTTCTTGGTTCATTTGCCCTTTCCAACCAGAAATCTAAGACTCCCCATGCACGACGGCTTCAGTTACCTTTCACCGTCAGGAAGGCTGAGGTCACCGCGTCACTGCACATAAAAGTCACCCTGCAACTGTCCCGGGGAGTTAGGTTCTTCAGCAGCAGAAGATGCCTGCGCCCGTTTTCAAAGTAAACCATCTCCGTGTTTTCCGTAGTTTTGGCAGGTTCATCGTCAATCAGCCAGTTGTAATTGTAGCACTCGGGCTTGGAAAGATAGCATTCAAACAGGGCTTCTCCTCCTTCCACAGCTTCCACGTTCTCCAAGCCCTGGACAATGCTGTTCTTGGCTAGCAAAGAAGGACAACGAGCAGTATAAATTATTTGTCCACGCAAATCTGAATATTAATAAGTCTTGGAGGACTGGATGATTCCCACTGCTGGAAAGCTGGTGGAAAGGATGTAGATGTGATAAACTGTGCTGGCAGGTTGAGTTGTTAATTTCAACCACACTCTAATACAATACTATACTTAAAAACATTTTGAGTAGTGATATAATTTAAAAATAATGATAAACCTCTAAGACCTCTAGCATTTCATCTAGACTTCCTCCAGAAACCTGCCTTCTGTTTTTACAAATAAAGAAAAAAAAATGTTGGTGTTTATATGAATCAGGCTAACGGTAGATAAGAAAGGAAAGCTCAGGAAGGTAATCAAATTCCTTCTGTCCCACAGCAGGAAACATGCCCCACAGATCTCCCATCGTAATTGGGGAGATATGAATCCATTGACAGCTCATGATAAAATCTTACTATCTGTCATGCAAAGCAAAGGCAAGAGAATATTATAGCTATAGTGACTGTCATCTGAGTTAACAGCACATTTGCACGCCTGCCTCCAGGAAACACAAAAAAAAATTAAAATCTGCATTAACAGTATTTTGAACAGTAAATTTCTGAATTATTACAAAAGCTTTGTGATAATATATTAGGGTTTTTTTTATTATTTTATTTTGACTGTGTGGTTGACATGACATGCACGTACCTACACACTCCGTTTGCCTGCAGGGTCATGCATCAGTTGGCAGTTGTACATAAGCAATCATGATGCAAAATTAAATGTGGGCTGGTGCATGTGAATATAGTTCATGTTAGACCAGCTACATGGACAAATTACATGCACAACAGTGGGAATACATGGTTGAGTAAATACAGTTTACAGAAATAGCATACAATGGGCAGCATGGTCTATTATACAAACCAATGCCCCGAGACATTCCTGTTAAGATCTCTAAAACCATTATCTGAAACTGTTCTAAGAGAAAAAAAAAAAAAAAAAGGCAAAAAAAACCCCTTAACAATTTATTCAATAGCCAAAAAAAAAAAAAAAAAAGCATGAAAAAATTCAGCATTTGATAATAATCATACTTATGGAGAACAATGAAGGTTTTGTAAATCATTGGAGAATGTATGATTTTGTTAAAATGAATCCAAGCTGTTTATTTGTGCACTTCTGGAGTGCTGCTTTCCCTCCAAAAAGCAGACAATTGCAAATCCTACCTCCTCCGGGATGCTTTTAGGTTGTGTTCATTAACATATTTTTAAATCTCTAAAATGGAAAGCACTTATCAATGTAGACAATGTTACAGTAAATAATACCCTGCTCTTCTGTACTCACAACTCTGATTAGACAAGAAGGCATAATTGCCTAACAAAACACAAATATTCAGAAATCAAATCAGAACCACTCCTTGCTGATCACACTAATTCACTTAGTGACTGAAAAGAATAATTTTATACACAGCAGAAAAAAATAAGAAACATCAATATAAAATCCTAAACTTATTGTTCATTTTTTTATTTGCTGTTTCTCAGCGCCCTCACAGATGCTGATGACAAGTGAGAAGGTAATTACTGAATGATCAGTATTGGAAATAAGTAAAACACCAAGCTACCTTGGCTTGGCTGAAAATAAATTAAGTTCCATACTATTCGTTAGCTCCTGGTTTTATAGCTCACTGTGTGTAAAACGGCCTCTGTAACAGGAGAAAGTACTCTTATTATTCCTTTGGACCAACATTACACCTGTGATTCTACAATAACTCAGCAGGACACATCCCATTGCACCGATGTTCCAGTTCACTGTGGAAGAGGTATGATGTGTACGCGGTGCAATAAGTGAGCGTTAGTTGGAACAAAGCTCCAGTGAAACGCTGCGGTTTCATATTCAAGTCCCAACTACTTTCATCATCGTTATCAGTACTGGGGTGAACCCCAAAGAGCGGGTATCTGATGTGTCACTCATTGTGAGATGCTGCCATGACTTTTCCACCTCTTTTATTTGGAACCCACGATAGTCTTCCTCTTTGGCTGGAAGACCTCACCTTGAACATCAAGTGCAGCCATCACTTTAATGCCTTCAGCTTCACAAGAATAGATGCCAGTGTCTTCTGGTACCGTAGGTTTAATTTTTAGCATGCTTACATTCCAGTCCTGATCGATAATCACTCGCTGCCCATCTGCATGTATTTCCTGATCATTTTTCTTCCATATGGCGTGTACTGGCCTAGAATATTGGCATATGAACTCTGCTGTGCCATCTTCATCAACAGCTATATCCTGCATGGGACTGACCACTTCAATGGTTGGATCTGTTAACCAACACGTCAGGAAGGACATGCATTAGTGGATCCTCATGGAAATCGCAACTTAGAGATTTTTTTTTTTTTTTTTGACAAGCACAGAGCCTGTGGGAAGCAAGCAGAGTGACAGTGCAAGCAGGGAGCTGACTGGGCACGCTGGGGATTAGCAGTTTAGTCTGTGCTTGTGTCAGCATCAAGCAGGATTCAAGCAAAACTGGGATATTAGAATGTAACTATCACACTGGAAAATGGGCCACCAGCAATTAAGGCTTGTGCTTTGACAGTCCTGAATGTGAACGTCTGTGCAGAACATCTGCTGGCATTCCTTCCAGGCTTAGTTTTCCTCCCAGCACTGCTGAGAGCCTCTAGAATAGGACACACTGGATGGGAAACCCTTCTGCTTCCCAGAGGAGCGCAGGTCTGCGATGGAGGAGTGTGCTGGGTGGGCTGCCGTTGAGTGCTTCCCTGTAACGCTCAACCTCACAGAGCAATAGGAACGTGCCACAGACTCTACTGGAGGCTCCTTGTATGAGCAAACTGCAACCAGTCATTGCAAAAAAAAAAAAAAAAAACTTGCAACACTCAAATGCAAATCCTCATCCCTGCCCTGTGGTGGTGACGGCTGTGCGTCAGGAGTCATTGGCAGCATGAGGAGCAAAGCTCCAGGACAACAAAAAAGAGCAGTTCACAGGACACAGGTGGTTGTTTTGATTAACCGTGTCTTCCTCTGCAGCAGAGACATATTCTGGGGAAAAATAATATGATTTCCTTTACAATAGCTGATCTAGAAACGCAGTATGAATCACTGCAAGCTCAGATTGCGAGCCCATGAGATGTGGGAGCAGCTTGGATACACAGTTCCTCTAAAGAAGGTGAGATCCATGAGGCTGCTTTTAAGCATCCAATCTTTCTTTTAAAATATTAGTTCTGCTTCTCAGGAGGCAGCTGTAGGGCACACTGGATATATCTAACCTCAAAATATTGTGAGCTTCCTAAGCAGCCAAGGAGTCCCTCCTGAGACAGCAAATTGGATCACATTCATACAGCTGCAAATAAGCATGCTGAAAAGAAAAATCTCAATGCAGTCTGAAAATTGAAGTCTCTCTGCAGTGGCCTGCTCAGCAGAACGATGTAAACTCCCCCCCCTCCCCCCAAAAAAAAAAGAATTGATATGGCTACAATGACATCAAAAGATGACAGTCGGAAAAAAGATGATATTATGCCCTTATCTTTCAAATAGTTGTTCTGATCACAAGCCAGAGAGAGGACAAACTACACTGGCCCTCTGTCTGGAATGGTCCTGTTGAAAGTGGTGCATCAGGTTGAGGATTTGGGATGCTAGTGGCAGACCTTGGGAAGCAAAGATATTTTTTGCAAATGTCTTTTGGAAATGTGTTGCAATGTGATCCTGCTCTCCAAGGCTCCTTCTACCACTCCACGTGTCTGTGTGTGTGTTTATGGAGAGGCAGCATCAATGGCAGATCATGGAGGTGTTCTGGTTACACCAGGAGAGAAGAAACAAGAAGGTATCTGTGCAGATGGGGAGCACACTGCCGTCCCCTTTCATAAGATGCAGAGATGAGCTCCTCACAGCAAATGTCACCTCTGGTCTTGGAGAAGGAAAGGCTCCTGGCCACTGCCAGGCCAAGACCTTGGTGGCCCTATTGACCCATGGGGAATGGCAGAATGCTCCTGGGGACTTAGGAGCCAACATGTGCACTGGGGTCTGTAATCCTCACCCTGCCCAAGGAGGTCAGAAGGCAGCAGGTCCTTCAACCTCTTCCATTTCCCCCCACCCATACATGAAGATGTCATCGCACTGGGCCACTGAATGAACGCGGTTGTACGGCAATGATATCGTGAAGGGCCAAGAAGAAAAGCTGTCATAAAATCTCACTTATTATAAAATATAATCAGTTACAAGCTTGCTTTAAAACAAGAGAACGGGATGCATGGAAGAGAGAGAAAGACAACTTGTTCCTTTATGAAGACGGAACTGTTAATACCGCACGGTTAAAATTTTACTTTCCTGTTAAATCAAGTGTTATTGAGCACAGTGGAACTGGGGTGTTTTAAAAATACCTTTCTCATCCTAATCCAATTGTAGTCATATGCTGCTGTGATTCGGGTTCACATTAAAGAAATCTTGCCTTAATAGAATCACAAAATATCCATATACATGTGAGTACTACCATGAGCTGTGGGGTTGGACTAGATGATCCCCAGAGGTCCTTTCCGACATGAACGACGCTGTGGTTCTGTGAAATTAAAACTTCTCAGGAGCCCTTTATTTGACTGAGTAAAATACTTAATGATGCTTCTATTTTTAATTTGTATTTTAGGGTCACTGGAGTTTTTGCCTAAAGAGCTCAGGTTCTGTCTCTGGAAATACAAAACTCAAAAATGGTTACAAATGGACATGGGATTTGTGGGGTTTACACGCTGTCTTGGTGCTGCATCATTCTGATGTTAGGAAAAAGTGATCTGACGTTTTATCTTTGAAAAAAGTTATATTTTCTGAATGTGAAAAGGACTCATCAGAGAAGGAGACAAGAATCATTGACTACAATCCCATATTGTGGCTTGTGCCTGTTTTGGTGAATAGTTATAGTCTGGGGGTAAGATTTTAATGAAGAACTCTTAACCCTTTATATCTCCATATATACAAATCCCTCTTCCAAGCGAGGAATAAGCGTTACTTTTGTCTCAAAAATAACAACTTTTCCCAATGGCTATGAAAAGCCTGGATGTGAAGGAGCTTGCTTTGTCAAGTCTGGAGCTCAGTGTTATTTGCAGCTTGTGGCTACCCTTACCAAATGAGAAAAATATTTATTCAACAGACCGGAAAGCTTTGTTACTGCAGTGATGACCATTACTAGCCTGGCAGTCAACAAAAGAGGCTCATTTTGTAACTATGTTATCCCAACATCATACACCCTTTGGTTTCCAGGAACAGCTCTGGACCCATCAACGTAAGAGGCCAAAGTCTTGCCTTGGGAACATACTGAACGCAGACCAGTAGCCTAGCTATGGAGCAGCACGGTGGTAATTTTGTGAATTTTTATGGTATTAGAAAAACAGTTGAGGGGGGATAAAAAAATCAGGTGCTACCACAGTGGTTTACGTTCAGCTCTACTTAGATGTCAGGTGAAAGCAGCAGCCCTGACCCTGCAACACTTTCTCACCTGAACCACTCAAAAAATTGATGTGGTTGTAGCTGTAAGATTTCTGGTGTGAGTATGGGTGACTTGCAGAAGTGTTGGGTTGCAGGGCACAGAAGAACTGTGAAGGCATTTAGTAAGGGTAGCCAGGAAGGCAGAAGCACTAGCACACTGAGCACGTCCAGAGGTGGCCAGTTGTGTCTTTCTGACAACAAAATACCTTTGACTAATAATTTAGCTGAAGATATAAGGGACCCAGCTCTGAAGGTGACAGTGCCTGAGTCGTGGCATGCCACGTCATTTAGGGTCAAAGTGTGGATAATCCCATCCTGCTCAGAGATTTCGGTCACAAGGTTGTTGTGAAGGGGAGATCCATCGAGCCACCATTGCACGTTCTTCACGCCCGGGTGGGAGAGCTCGCAGGTGAACGTGGCCGACTCACCCACAAAGACATCTGCGTTCTTTAAACCCGAAACTATGACTGCTGCTTCTTCTGTATAACAGAGCGAGAGAAGGTGCCAAAGGAAAACAAAAGCATAAACACAGACATGTCCCATCCTGCAGAACCAGCCCTAGCGACAGTGCAAGTTGTTCAGGAGAGTTAAACTTGTAATGCTGTTCCAGTGAAAAAAATTTACATTTTCTTTAAGGCATTGAGATGCCACCTGAGATGCAAGCGCAGCGTGTCTGCAAACTCTGCTTCACTGGGAGGAAGCTCTGCTCCATGGCCAGGTCATGGCCATCTCTCCTGGGTGTTGCGACCATCTGCACTGACATGGTATGAGGTGGGAGGCTCTGCGAGGTAGTTTGTGATTCAAATGGGATGTTTACTTACAGTGCTTCGAAAGAGGAATGGGAAAATCAACAATAACAGGAGTTATAAACAATAATAACAGGAATTTAATCAATTTTTATGACTGTTACTCCAAGCAAATAATTTTTCTCCATCTGCTATGGTACACAGTGTGGTAAGTACTTTGAGCTACCCTAAATTATAAACATTGGTCCAACTGCAGCCTGGACATAAGTGTTTATATCTTCACGGAAATCAGGAAAGAAATGAATGGACTTTCAACCGTTTTCATATGAGACACATTCGCCCAGCTACTGTCAAAGATTTTCAAATAAGAAATCCAGGCAGCAAAGTCAAGAGCGTTTCCACCACATTTCCCCTTACCTTGGACATACACAGAACCTGTGGTGATCTCGTATCCGGTGCTACAGGTATAATCCCCACAGTCCTCAGGCTCTACACCATGGATGATCAGCTCAGCAATCCTGCCTTTCAGCTTCATCTCGTACTTGGCACTGGGCTGAATGACCACCCCTCCTTTCCTCCACTCCACCGGGGCGTTGGGCTTGGAGATCTCACAGTGCAAGACGGCTGTTCCCCCTTCTTCAGACTCTACATTTTTCAGCTCTTCGTTAAATAGCACAGGTAGTACTGCGGTGGAAAAGCAACTGCATCAGTGACAGCGCTCAGAGGTGAGAAATCTGCTTGTAACTTCTCCGACTTGGTGGTTCCCATCATTCTGAACCACAACTTGGCTGTTGGCAATGCCAAGACCAGAGCAGGGCTTTGAGTTGAGCCATTGCCGGACACTCATTGGGATCAGGTGCTGATACAGTGAGGGTGTCCACCACTGCTCCACAAAGGTTTGCCACAGGTCACAGGACCTCTAAGTGGTTTCACGTGGGCACACACACAATTTTCAGTGTAAGCAGTTAGAGGTACAACAGTACCAATCATAGTATTTAGACATTATATTGATGAAACCACACACTCTGAGTTAGAGCTCGTTATGGGGGCTAAACTCAAGATCTAAAAGCATCATCTTGTTGCTTTAAAATGAATAAAACATTAAAACCAATATATAAAAGAATAAGTTGAATGAAACTGTAAGATCCAAAAAAGTAGCCACTAGAAAAAGAGCAACAAATCCTGGGCTGCTCAGATTCTACTGAAAATGGACCGGTTCTAGGTATGGTGAAATACTCCGGGGTCTGATATTGTCAGGCAGCAGACAGGTTTTCTAAATGCTCTTGTACATACCCTCCATCAGCACCAGCTGCAGTTTTACTCCCAATTCTCACAGTGAGTTCAAAATCACAACTGCAGAAATAGAATTGGGTTTACAAGGCACTAGATCCTTCTTTGAAGACCAGATTGCTGATCAAACCCTTTTTTTTTTGCAGTTGTAACTCACAGATAATGACAATGCAGTGACAAAACTTCCTTATCACCCCTAGGGAGGACAGCCACAGACATGACTTCTCTGCCTTCAAGCAAGGCTTCTCTTACCTTTGACTTGCAAGGATGCGGTGGTCTGCTGATCCCCCGAGTCACACGTGTAATCACCAGCATCCTGAGCCTCAGCGTCATAGATGAAGAGCTCAACACGCGTCCCCTCTTGCCGGATCTCATACTTGTCACTCGGCTGCAGGACCGTATCTCCCTTCCTCCACTCCACAGATGCGTCGGGTTTCGTCAGCTCACAGTACAGCATGGCTGTGCCACCTTCCTCCACCTCCTCGTTCTTCAGCCAGTGTTTGAAAAGCACGGGCAGGGCTTGGAAGGGGAAACAGTGCAAGAAGAAAAAAATGGGTGAAGCAAAAACAGGAAATGGAGGAATGCTTTATTTTTAAGGAACTGTCAATGGTAATACTGTTCATGATGTTCATGTACAATTCAGCTTGTGTTTGCCTGATAGAGACCTGCTAGGGGCGAGGATGTCTAGGTCTAAGCCAGACAGAGGAGGAGGAGGAGGGAGAAGAGTTAACCAGAAGAAAAAAATTCAGTTCTACAGGAGCTGCATTTCTCTCCCCATACTCTAGACTTCTTTTCACAAAGAATTCCCAACTAACAACTTCAGCAATAATTTCTGAAGCCCAGAAGGTTTTTCATCCCCAAAATAAAATCATGGAACAGGATAAAAGCACTCAAAAAATACATACCTGCAGACCTGAGGCTGCACCATTTTAAGAACAACTTGAGATCATGCAGCCAGGGACCAATTACATATAATTGTCAGAAAAATACAGAATAATTAAGGCTGAAGGGACTTCTAGAGATCTTCCAAGGATGGAGACTCCTCTGCCATTCTGGGCCCCAGTTCCAGTGTCTGACCACCACTTCATTGTGAAAGTTTGGGGTTTTTTCCTAATATGAATTTATCTTGCTGCAGCTTGCACTTGTTGCCTCTCGTCTGTTTAGTGAGCATCCCATAGAAAGTCTGTTGCTCTCTGTAGACCCTCACTAGGTAGCTGCAGACAGCAACAAGGTGCCCCTCAACCTTCTCTTCCCCATGCTGAACAAACACAGCTACCCTGCCTCTCCTTATACTTCATGTGCTACAGCCCCCTAAAAACTCGATGACTTCTGCTGCGTTTGCTCCACTACCTCAATGCCTGTCTTCTGCTGGGGAGCTCCAAAAAATTGATGTGAACACCTCTCACCACAGCTGAGCAAAGAGGAGATCATACCTTTAACCTCTAGCCTGGCACTGGTCTTCCCATCAGCTGCATGGCAGCTGTACTCCCCTGAGTCCGCAGGGTTCACATCGTGGATGACCAGGGTGTGCACGTTCCCCTCCTGCTTGATGCTGAACTTCTGGCTGGAGCGGATCACGGATGTGCCTTTCTTCCACTCCACTGGGACATCAGGCTTGGACACTTCACAGGACAAGTGAGCTGTGCCACCCTCCTGTAGCTCCAAGTTGTGGAGAGCCTTTACGAAGGTGACCGGAGCAACTGTGGGAAAGAAGGTGCCAACGCTGCTACAACCGCCCAGTCCAGCATCGCCCCCAGATCGGAACTGGGTGCCCATTGTGAACCAGATCAAAGAGGAACAAACAAAACAGGGTATTGACACAGCCCATCTTTCAAAATCATTCTACAGAACTCAATGGAGGGTCTTTCAGAGGTTTTGAATTTATTTTTTTTCGAGTAAATATGATCTAAAACCATCATAAGCAGGAGAATAATTCAGAGCATATTCTTGACATTCTTCAGCATTGATTCTGACATATGTCAGCTGCTTGTTTCGGTATAAGTTGGATGGACTTCCAAGGATGCCTGCTTCACTCCATGGACTATAAAAACGGACTAAAAAGACTAGCTCAGACGTACATATCTGCCTCTTAAATGCTTAAATTAGATTAGCCAAATTTCCCAAGGTTTCCAGAGACCCCTCCTCCCAAATAAACCTCTCCAGAAGCTAAAGCAATATTGATGATGCCCATCAGTACCTTCTAAATCCCTCTTCCTAGGAGGCTGCTCACCTTGGACCGTTAGCTGTGCTGCTGAGGTATGCTGCCCGACTTTGAAACTGATGGGCCCGCAGTCTTCTAGTGTCACCTTCCTCAGGATCAAAGTGTGACGCGTCCCTTGGACTTTGATCTCATTCATTTCGTTGGATTGCAGGGGAACATCCCCCAGGAACCACTGGGCATCCTGAGTGGTTTGCCGGGACAGTCTGCATTCAAACACTGCGTCTTCTCCTTCATACGAAGTGACGTCCTTCAGCGTCTCCACTATGGTTGCTTCTGGTTCTTTATGGAAAGGTCAACAGAGTTTGAGGTCTACTTTCAAGTGATGCTTCCTGGGTTAAACATTTCATTATGCTCTTTCTTGACAGTACAATATTATTTGAAAGAGCAATCACAAAGCACTAAGCTCTAAATGCGTGGAAGTGTAGTTACACAGGCAGGTAGTAACTTGTCACATTCTTACAGATGCATATGGTATGTATGTGTGCATATATGTTATGCAGATATATATGTTAGTCTATAAAGTATGCATGTTATACTGTATTGTGTTTAATAAATATTTGATACACACACATTTATAATGCAAGCTATGCATCCTGAAAACACTATAAACAGATTTTAGCGGGTGACATTACTGTTAAACCACAAAACTACTGACCAAAGACCCGTTTCTGATTCCCTAGGCATAGCTGGCCCAGTTCTTATCCTTCTGAAATCACTCTTCATTCTGAAATCCCCATGATTCATTTTGGACACAGGATAATGTCTAGCTGTCAAATTACGTCATCATGTGCCCCTGCCACGGTACCAAGCTCTGTTCAGCTCTTCCCCATGCAAAGCCCCACCTTTCACCAGCACAGCTGCAGTGGTTTGCTGGTCCCCTGTGTCGCACGTGTATTCCCCAGCATCAGCTGCGCTCAGGTTACGAATCGTCAGCTCAGCCGTGGACCCAGCTTGGTGCATCTTATATTTGTCACTTGGTCGCAGCACTGTCCCGGCTTTCTTCCACTGCACAGCAGCATTTGATTTGGAGATTTCACAGCTCAAAGTGATGGTGCTGCCTTCTTCTGCTTGCTGGTTCTGGAGTGGCTGTGTGAAGACTACTGGCAAAGCTAAACAGAGGAAAAATAGTGACACAGTCAGCATTGACACACAGCCTTGTGTTTAGGGAAACTGTGGTGCCTTTCCAAATTTCATTTAAACTCAATTCCAGAATGACTTTAAAACCCAAACAAGGAATGACAGAAAGCGCTAAATTTCCAGGAGCACTACGTGTTCTGCACTTCCCAAGAATCACCGGGCACTGCACGCACCAAGCACCTCTGGGAATATGTTCCTTCTCACACAGGAGTGGTCATGGATAGGGACTCTCCAAATGGCTACCAAAGCCAAAAATCAAAAGCCTACATCTAATAATCTAAGTTCTTGTGTATTTGGGAGGGCACATGGAGAAATATCATGATACAATGCCCCTCATTTGAAAACTGGACCTGGAATAGAGATGAACTCTGATGTCTCTGCACTGATGTGTGTCACTGATGGGTCAAGATGGAGTTTTGGTGACTTACAATGCACCACATGTAGAAGTTTAGTTCCTCAAGTCCAGTTACCTGGAAGAACCTTGGTGGCTCCACATTTACAGCTGAATTGGCATTTAAAAGGGAAGGAGATGGGGTTCTAGAAACCACAGTGAACTCACAGGAACCAGTTGCATATAAAAGACATCTGAGGGCACTTGTGGGTGATTGTAGGAATGGATGGTGTATTCTGCGGGACAGCTGGGCAATGGCTGAGGTCAAGACTTCTGTACTTTTTTTGTATTTTCAGGGAAGATATCCCATTGTACAGCTAAGTCCTGCAGCCCTAGGGCTCTCGGGAGCCAGAAAATGAATACGAAGAAGAGTCTTTGTGAAGACCTACTCTGTCAGACTGCATCACTGTTGATTCAGAAACCCCCATCACAAAAAAAGGACCAAACTCTCTGTCCCTGAATCTTAAGTACAGAACGTCTAAACTAACCCAGAGTTCCCTACAAGGTGAAGTGAAAGCTTTTGTCACCTTTCACTACCAAGGATGCCATGGTTTGCTCATCTCCAGAATCACAGATGTAGTCTCCAGCATCCTTCAGCTGTAGATCGTGGATGAGGAGCTCCACAACAGACCCCATCTGCTTCATCTCATACTTGTTGCTGGCTTGGAGCAAGACCGACCCTTTTTTCCACCTCACTGGTGCATCATGTTTGGAGAGCTGGGCATGAAGGGTGACTGTAGAGCCTTCCTTGGCTTCCTGGTTTTGGAGTTTTTTTTCAAAGAGTGCTGGAGTGGCTGGGAGCACACAGAGACACAAATGGACAGACACCATCAGAGGATCTGCTTTACAGTACAAATAATCTGGTATCAGTGAATCCTGGAGTTAGGGGGATAGCAGGCATGTGCGTGCTCTTCATGGGAGAGCCCTCAAGGAATATTTCAAAAGACACCATTTCACAAGAACGTCCTGGCTCCTCTTTATTTTCTTGATCTTGTATCTCAGAAAAAATCACCTTAATATTGTATTTGTACCAGATTAATTTTTTTAAAATTGACAATTTGACCTATTTTTAAGAGTCTATGCACTAGTATTTAAGTGCCTTGCTCATCAGCTGGAGTTGAGTGCCCAAATAAGTTTGAGCACTTTGAGTCCTGAGCACCTTTTTCAGGTGGAACTACAGCTCAAAGGGTGATTAAGCATCAGAAGTGGTCTCACTCTAATTTTAGCTCCAGTCTTGATTTTTTGAGTGACCAGAAATTGGCCCTTGGGTCTAGGATTGTGGAAGCAGTTACTGCACTTGGGTCCTCCATGGGCACCACAGGACTTAACATAACTTCTGAAAGCAAAAGGACTCAGCTGCTTTATGCCAGCAGAGTACATCTCAAGTCAAGGATAGTAGACAGAATCTTCTTGCTAGGACTAAGCTAAGGAAGTGGAACAAGTTTCTCATCTTAAAAAGAAAAATAAAGCAACCTACCTTTAACAGTTAAAGTGGCTGTCGTTTGTTCGTTTCCATTATCACAGGTGTATTTGCCAGAATCTTCTGGTTTTAGGTGATAAATCTTTAAAGTATGGATTGTTCCCTCCTGCCTGATTTCATACTTGGAGCTCGGGGAAATCACCTGAGCGCCCTTCTTCCACTCCACCACAGCGTTAGGCTGGGAGACCTCGCAGCGGAGGACGGCTGTTTCTTCTTCTTGCAGTTCGGTGCTCTGTAATTTCTCCTTAAAAACTGGAGGTGGCACTGAAATTACAAACACAGCAAAGGCATTTACAGTCACCTTTATCTTGTTTCCTTGCAGCGGTAAAGCTACAGCTGAACAGTTAAGTATTAAAAAACACTTAAACTTCTGTGTTATATATTGGGGAGTTAAAAGTGAATGGATTTTGGATGAAAGCCCCTCACAAGCATTTGTTGAAGATGTTCAAGTACTAATCAAAAACTTTACAGATTTGTTTTTAACTGATTCAGGTGGGATGGAGACTTTGACCAGATAAGCAGCTTCAAAGAGGGAAGAAGGATGTTTGACTGAGAAATTCTTCAAAACAGTGTTTAGAGAAAGAAAGTTTCCAAAGAAGAAAAAGAAGAGGGAAAACGGAAGCAATGAAAATTACAGATCTGTCAATCCACATCCCAGGGCTACCCCAGTAGTTTCTCTAGAAACTGGTTAGCTTCAGGACCCCGGTGACATAGCCACTATCCATGGTGATGACAGTATATGGGACCACATCAGTACATCACATATGCTCTGGAGCAGAAGCACCCTGGGCAACGTGGGCTAACAAGGGTGAATAATGGCCTTGAATTTACCATTAGCATAAGCAAAATGTCACCTGTTCTCCTGTTCCTTTCCCACACCACAGAGAGCCGTTACCTTTTACTGTGAGCTCTGCCGTCGACGTGTAGGGTCCCACTCGGAAAGTGATGGTGCCAATGTCCTGCTCAGTCACCTTCCTCAATGTCAAGGTGTGAATCTTTCCTTTTTCCACTGAGATCTCATTCATTTCATTATTTTGCAGAGCAACATCTTGTAGCTTCCATTCAACGTCCCTTGCATTTTCGTGAGAAACCTGGCACCGAAAAGTGACATCGTCCCCTTCAAACACCACCATGTCCTTCAGGCCACTCACGATGGTCACGTCAGGCTCTGCAAAGAGTCCATTAATAGTCAAGCCATGAAAGGGAAAACGTGGATCAAATCATAGAAACATTGAGTAATATAGGTTGGAGGGGACTTCTGGAGGTCATCTGGTCCAACCACTGCTCAAAGTAGGGCCAGCTTACGGCAGGTTGCTCCAGCTGAGCTTTAAGTACCTCCAAGGATGGAGGTATCACAGCTTCTCAAATCACACTTCAAACAGTGCTGAGCCACTGCTTTCAGTGTACTTGATAACATGGCCAATATCTTTCAGTTAGTGGTTTTATTCCTTGCCCTTTCTTGGAGATACATTGAGTATTCATTTTTTTTTAATTACGTTTGAGAACGTCATTGGGTGAATAAGGTGTGAATGCTAGAAGCCAAGTTCAGGATTTTGAAACCCATTACATTTCCACGTAGATATCTTCACACAAAACCATTAAAACCTGATCCCCTCTACTGTCTTTTTGCAAATGAAATTGCATATACTCTGTGCTGGGGCTCCAAACCGGTTGGCTCTGCGCTCTCAGCAGGACTTACTGGGTTAGTGTGAGCACAGGGCATTTGCACTTCAGTTTGCTCAAGTCCTGCTTCTAGGACAGCTGGGCTCCTGCAGATCTGTGCAAAGATCATACAGCCAGCCTGCAACAGGCAAAAGCTATATGAACCCTGAATCTGCCGGGGAACACCAAAGCAGAAGCAGCGCAATCTTCATCTGAGCAAACGGATTTGTACAACTGAGGTCACCATCTGCACGAAAGCGGTGGAGCTGGGCATAACGTACAGAGTATCTGTAATACTGAGTAGCCTGTAGAGATGCTAACGGTGATTGTTCCACACTAGTTGGTCCAAGCTGAAAGCAAGCCCTGGTTGTAACGACATTAAGGCCAGATGCAGCTGCCATGTGACTGGAAGCTGGGGATGGACCATCTGTTCACTCACATGCATATGATGTCAAGCAAATATTTCAAGCCATGAGTCAAAAATTACAACTGCCTTATCCTCTCCTGTCCACCAAGTGAATCTTTGCTTCGGTGCATTCACTGACCGTAAGATTTTTTTAATGATACACTCCCTATGCTCTGTGTTTATCACAAGGGTAACAACTCTGTTGTAAAATCTTAGCATCCTAAAGTGAAAATCCTCTTGTCCCAATAAACAGGTCTTGCCTTTCACGGTCAGTCTTGCAGAGCTCGTCTCATCTCCAGCCTTGCAGGAATACTCTCCGGCATCACTAGGCTCCAGGCGATGAACACGCAGCTCACGGAGGGTGCCGTCCTGCCACATTTCATACTTGGAGCTTGAGTGAAGGATGACTCCATCTTTCCTCCACTCCACTTCTGCTTTGCTAATGGAAAGCTCACAGCGCAGCCTGGCCGTTCCTCCCACCTCCACTTCTTCATTCTTCAGCTGCTGCTTCAGCCGGGGTTTGATGGCTGCAAGGCGAAAAACAATTAATACACAATCCATTAGCTTGAATGCCAGGTTCGCACAACTCAGCAGAACACACCCGGGGTCTGATGCTGCAGAACAAATTTGCATTAAGTGGTTATATGATAATAACAATATTTTTTTTCTCTGTAAGTAGACCTATATTCCATATAGCCAGACAAGGAGAAGATCAGAAATTTCCCCAAATATGTTTGTTTCCCGTAAAGTCAACAACATCTGCTCTGGATACTAAAAACCTCACCATGCATAAAGAATTTGACGAAGCAGAGCCTGGTACTTTCTGATTAAAAATAGTGTAAATGTGTTAATTTTTACTGAAATACTCAGGACTTCCAACATCACAAATGAGGTAAAACTTTAAGCACATCTCTGATTTCTCTGCTGTCTTTTTAAGACACTAGACCATCAACCGTGAATCCTTCCAGATGATGCACAAACAAATGGACTACATTTATTCAAGCGAGGAATGGAACAGCTCAGAAAACAGCTTGTCACTGATGAAAACGAGAAGGGAATATCCATCGTATGTGTGTGTCAGAGCAGTTGTGAAAACAGGAATCTCAGTGCTCGTGGTTCCTCCATCTAAACCCTCTTGTGGTACATGCAAAGCAAGCACAGGGCTCTTTCACTCATAGTTGACCCAGTGGCTGCTTCGTTGGTCATGTTCAGCCAGGAGGATGTAGTTGGAAAGGTTGTGGCTTAGATCAAAACCACAAGTTCCACCCAACAGTTTGAGATGTCCGCAAACCACAGATTAATCACAGACGTTATTCCTGGTTTGTTTAAACACAATGTTCTCAGGATCATCACGGGAAAATTTTTTCAATTTACAAAATTGAAAATAGTAAATTTTAAAAATTCTTTTCTAAGTGACTTATGATTAGTTATTGATTCAACTGAGCCAGCAATGAATGCCAAGTGCCAAAAAGAAAGATGTATTAGAATTTCAGAACCCCATGATGCAGAATTTCTTGCTCTCTCACACCAGAGGAAGGGGTGAATTCACTGTACACTGTGCTTTACAGGCTTAAATAGCCATTCTACAAATCCTGTCCCACAACATCCACTTTTTTATATTCTGTTTATGACTGAGCACCTGTTTTCTTTGTTATTTTAACTTTTGGATTGGTTTATTCACCAATAAATAAAAGAATATCATCCACACAATTTCACCAATCCCTTTTATCCTCCGTTCCACTTCGATGCAATGCTAACCATTCACTCTGAGGACCGCCGTGCTCTGCTGGTCTCCTGTATCACACGTGTAATCAGAGGCATCTTCTGGTTCTACATTATGAATCACAAGTTCAGCGGTGCGACCACTTAATTTAATTTCGTATTTGGCGCATGGGAAGAGCTCCATGGTGCCTTTCCTCCATTCCACTGTTGCATTATCCTTCGTCAGCTCACACTGGAATTTCACCGCAGCTCCTTCTTCTGCCTCCTTGTCTTTGAGCTCCTTTTTGAAAAGAGCTGGCAGAGCTAAAGAGGGGGGGAAAAAAGAAGCGAGAGGAGCTTTTATTGAAGCCTGAGCCAATTCCTGGTTAACACAGTTAGACCGACACTTTGGAGAAGAAGATACTGTTCTTTGCAACAGCTGTATTCCTAGACAGGATCCATGTTTTCTAATTTTCCTGGAGCTGCTAGGAGACCTTGCTGCATCAGAAGCAGCCATCTGCAATTATAACATTTATTTCCTTTGTTCCTTGACTCAAATCCTTCCCAGGATTGAATTCTTTGAATGCATTTATCTTTCTGTTGATCTAACCATGATGTCAAGAGTAAAGAAGTTCAAAACTCCATGGACAGCCTTGAGAAATCAGGAAGATTGCTGTCAATCTTCTTCCAGGATTTGGAAGAAAATCTTTTACTTTAATCACATGTCATGTGAAATGTCCAAAGATAATGTTAAAGCATTGCTCTTTCTTTAATTTCTCCCTATAAAGCTAGAAGATATTTCTTCTTAGAACCCAAAACTCAAATGCACAGCACTGGAAGAACAAGATATCACCCTCTGCCATGCTAATTTTTTAACAAAAATAAGAAACCCTAGTATGTCAGATAAAAAGGAAAATATTTATAGGGAAAAAAAATAGTGTGCTTTAAAATATTCACATTCAAACTGTTGCTTTGCATGTGAGATGGATTCTCTTGCTTTAGGAGTCAGCTCACAACACCTACCTTTCACATTTAAAGATGCCTTGGTTTCCTGATCCCCAGTATCACAGCTGTATTCTCCTGTATCTTCTAATTTGAGATTATGTATTAAGAGCTCTACCAGGCATTCCCTCTGCCTCATTTCATATTTCTGGCTGGGCTGCAGCCCCACTCCTCCTTTCCTCCATTCCACTGCAGCATTGGGTTTCGACAGCTCACAGCAGAATGTTGCTGTACTTCCTTCCTCTGATTCCTTGTTTTGTAGGGGTTGCTTAAATACGACAGGCAGTGCTGCAAAATTTGAGAGGGAAATGTTTTAAGAGTATTTTGTTCTGAAAAGGACCCAATCCTACCATCTTTCTTCAGAAATGACCTATTCTAATTATTCCACGGTCTTTGGGCTCTTTGTCTTGGTAGCAGCTTTCTTGAACCGTGACGTGAACCAAGAGCTGAGGACAGATGGTGAAGTTATGAAAGATCTGGTCTTTTAGGGGATGGTCCATAGAATGGCCTGGTTTGTGATCGGAAGGAGTCAGACTTTCCTACAGAAGTGTCTCCATGCCAACTACAGATGCTTTAGTCAAAGATCACTGGGACATCTTCTCTCTTACATGGACCCTTATTCCTTAAGAAAGGTCTACAAACTTGCAATGTTAAGCAAAGAGTATTTTCCCCCCAAATAAAGTTTCTATCAACACATAAAAGATCAAGGTAGCCTTCAAAACACAAGAAGAGGCAGCAAAAGATGACAATAAAGTGAAGAGGAAATTCAGATTTCAGGCAAGGTCTTGCTCTGGATAGGAGAAAAGTTGAAGGAAAACAGGTATTTGCCCTCAAAATTGATACTTGAGGCTCAAACCCTCAAGTAATAATACAGCACATTCACATGTTATGGAAATCTTATAATCTCAGTCAGGCATTATGGCCAATTAGGCATCCCTTATGCCCACTGAAGTGTCAACAACCCAAAATAACCATCAGCCTGCCTGGTTTATTTTCTGTTATTCCCATATGCAGCCATACTCCCTGCACTCAGAGGGCAGGAGGGTTCATCATAGTTTGACATAGTGAAAACATTTAATCGCTTTGATGCTGATTCATCACTCCAGACACTGCAAGCTGAACCTCTCTACTTTGACCATGTGTCATGCTCAAGTAGAGTATGGATGCTGACATGGAACAGCAGCAAAACAGATAAATGGCCATAAAGGGAACACTGAGAGACGCTCCTTTCGCTTCATTTCTGTTGAGGCAAGGGTCAGCACTCTGCCTACCATGTACGGTTACCACAGCCGTCGTCTGCTGATGTCCAGAATCGCAGGTGTACTTTCCTGAATCGTCCAGTTCTAAGTCACAAATGACCAGTTCAGCAATGGAGCCCTGTTGCTTCATCTCATATTTCAAACCAGGGTAGAGAGTAATATCTCCTTTCCTCCACTCGACCGGAGCGTTGGGTTTGGTAAGCTCACACCTCAGTGTTGCTGTACCACCTTCTTCTGCCTCGGTGTTCTGAAGTTCTCGTTTAAAGAGTGCTGGTAGGGCTAGAAAAGAGAAATAGAACTTGCAACATATTGCAGTTGGGGTTTGGGAAAGAGAAAGTAGAAAGCAAACGGAAGAACCGAAAGAGCCTTTTTGCAGATGTCTCTAAGCCTCAATGTTCTAGATTCAAAGAACAAGGTTATTTCCCCAGAGGGGTGACAGAAATATCTGCAGAACAGGAAGAAATCGATTTCAAGACGTTACATGTGCTGTGAAGTATACACAAGCACAATCTAATCTATGATCTAAGAATGGCAGAATATTTTTCCTACTATAAAAGGAGCCAATACGTTGCCCTGACATGGAGGAGATATTCTTAAGAGCAGCAGGGAGTTGTAAGAGTTCAGATTCCCTCTTAAGGCAGACCACTTGCAGGAGAGATAACAGTTATCCTGACAGTAACACACTGACAAAATGCATTTAGTTCTGCACTGCAATTCCCATTTTCTCTCTGGTCATTCTGTTGGGCTGTATAGACCATGCTATTCTGCAGACCTTCCTTCTGAATCGTAGCCAAGTCTTCTCCGTAAGTGACACTAACATACAGCTTTTTTTTCCAGAATATATTATATTTTCCCCTTTTTTAATTTTTTTTTTTTACCATTGACTGTCAAAGTGGCAGTTGTTTGCTGTTCTCCACACACACAGGTGTAATCTCCAGCATCCTCCACATCCAGCTCGTGGATAATTAGTTTTGCAACAGCACCATCTTGACTCATTTTATACTTGCTGCTTGCTTTGAGCATCTCCTGCCCTTTCTTCCACTCCACCGCAGCAGGTTTGGTCAGCTCGCAGTGCAGAGCAGCTGTCCCACCTTCTGCAGCTTCCAGGTCCTTCAGGTCTTTTCTGAACTCTGGAGGAAGTGCTGAAGAGTGAAAGAGTTACCACAGAGAGAGTGAATATTCCTTAAAAAGCATATAGATGAGGTTCTGGGGGAGAGGATTCATGGCACGCTACTGAGCCCTGATCCAGGTCAGTGGAACACAAGGGAAAAATCTTCCCCAGCTTCCCTGGACTCTGCATCGGGACAAGGACAGTGAGAAGGACCAGCACAGCTGAGGAGGACAAAAACCAACAGGCGTGTCTTTTCCCAATTCTAACAGAAGAAAGAAGCACATAAGCAAAGTCCAAAGGAACACAAAAGCCCAAGCAAACAGAGGGGGACTGGGAACAGACCATAGCAATAGAGACTTGGGCAGCTCTAAAGTTTGGAGGACCTTGGACTCAAGGATTACTTTACCATGCACTGTTAAGGTCGCTGTGGTGGTCTTGTCTCCACACACACAGGTGTAATCTCCATCATCATTCAAGTCTAAATCATGAACTACCAGCTCCACAGCACAGCCGTCCTGTCTCATGCTGTACTTGTTGTCCATGGTGAGGATGTGATGGCCCTTCTTCCACTGAACGGGGGCAGGTGCCTTGCTGAGCTCACAGCGCAAAGTGGCCGTTCCACCTTCTACTCCTTCCTTGCTGGTCATTTCTTCTTGGAAAAATGGAGGCACAGCTGAAGGATGCAGGTAAAAAGTGTTACAAACTGTGGATATCTCCAGGGATGGGTGAGAGGAGGAAGTGAGAGGGGAAAGTTGTGACAGTTACGGAAGGGTGAGCATCAGAAGCAAAGAGAGATATGAAAACATCCTAGTGGGAGTATATACACGAATCCTTTTGGTTTTATGTTGGTTTCCTGCTAGAAAAATCACACTGTCCTCAAGAGATTTACACCCACTTTCTACAAGTTTCCCTGTAAAAAGAATTGAGAATATAATCTCTGAACTCCTTAGTTCACACGTGTTGGTGTCTTCCACAAACTTCAGGGCTTTGTACTCTCTTCTCCTACTTAGAGAGCAGCCCTGCTGAGCAATGAGTGTTGGCACAGCTCCTCACACATCATCATCCGTTCTTCCTTGAGATACCCTTGAAAAGATGCAGCCAGGGTTCACAGGTTCTTCTTGATCTCAAAGAAAACCTTCAGATGCTGATTCCCAGCCTGTCTTCTTGTCTCAGAACTTATTTTCCCCACTTAACATAACTCTAGTACTCACTGCAAGTTGTGTCCCTGACATAAATTTGGTGACCTTAACATATATCCTCTATTAACTGGGTGGGATAATGGGATATTCCACCTGTTTAATGAGGTTGGATATTCTCAGATCTCAAACTTGGTGTCTCACTCCATAAGTAGTGCAGATGAATTAAAATACCCAGGCTAAAAACCAGGTCTCGCCTCCTTGACTTGGCACATTTCCCATCTCCAGCAGCGTTGAGCTGAAATACCAGTTTTCTTTGCACAGCGACTGGTTCTTGCAACAAAATAAGACCAGGAGGAGCTCACAGAAATAATTTATTCTTTCCTGCTTAGAAAAATCAGTCTCTCAGTGCAAATCTATCTCTGTGCATTAGGCCAGAGTTTGTGGGCACAAAACCCAATATAAATGGAGCTCAGTAGAGAAGAAATTGTAACTAATAGAGCCCTTAATTCTAGATACTGCTTTTAATACCCTATCCTACACTAAAATGGTAGGTGTTGAGAAAGGCAGAAAGGAATGGCAAAGAATAAACAGATTTGTGTTTTAGAGAATAAATGCAGGAAAGGAAAGACCAAAGGATAGTGGGTTTATACGCTAGGAAAGGAATGCCAGAAGGGAAAGATGAAAGGCTTGTGTTTAAGGAAGGGAAAAGACAAAAGGAACGGCACAGAAAAAATGCAGACTGGTATTTTCCAATACACACAGCCTGCAGGTCATCAAAGGCAGGGAACGCTTTCACGTGAATGGAAATTCAGTTAATAAGGTTGAGCAAACAGACATGGAAAACTGAACACCTTGGAAGAGAGGACAAGCATTTCCAGTTAGGAAATAGGAGGTCAAGATCATTTTTACCCTGTACTGTCAAGACAGCTGTAGTCTGGTGCTCTCCACACACACAGGTGTAGTCTCCTGCATCCTCCTCAGCTAGTTCATGAATCACCAGCTCTGCCTTGGTCCCTTCCTGCCTCATTTTGTGTTTCTCACTCGCTTTGAGAATCCTCTGGTCCTTCCTCCACTCCACCGGAGCAGCCTTGGTGAGCTCACAGCGCAGGGCGACTTCGCCACCTTCTTCTGCTTCCTTGTCCTTTAGCTCTTCCTTAAAGAGCGGTGGCAGAGCTGAAGGATGCAACGTGGACAAGTGGCCATTAGAAAACCAGAATTAAAATCCTAATTTCTTCTTTGTGTTTGGGATTATTTCCCAGCCTGTTATAAACATGTTTCGTTATAGCCGGGTTCAGAAACTCTGAAAGCATCCTTCTTCAAGTGTGACATGCTTTCACTTACCATAAGGGATCACTTCCCTGGGGATCTGGGTTTTTTCACGATGAAAGAAAAATAAAGCAAGATCCAGATCTTGGATCAACAGCACTCACAAATAACACTGCTGGCTACAGTACTATTTTACCTACAAAGGGATAATTTCTTGAAGGCTGCTATTGGTTTTTTTTTTTTTTTTTTTTTACTAAAAACTTATAGCCCCATCTACATGAAATCAGCTGGATTTCAAACTAAAACTATTATTAGTTTTAAACTGAAGTTTGAGGGGCCATTACATGTAATAAGAACTTCAGGTTCTCCCTATTTCCCATTTTGGAAATCAAAACCCAATAACAAAACAATTTGGAGGAAATAACCTTCAGGAAAACTAATGATTAACATTTACCCAGAAACGTGCCTTGTGCACAACTACTAGAAGAGGGTACAGAACACAAACAGGACTCCCCAAACACTTCAGAAACAGTCCATGTCTCAGGAGAGCCTGAGGGGAGTCAGAAGTTTCTGGGGAAAAAATGGAGGGGACAGAACTGAGTCTCTTCGGCCAAAATAAGTTCCTCAGAGCCAAGGACCATTACTCCATTAAAATGGATGTTCATTACCGACAGGAGAGCAGAACGTCAGGTAAGAGATCATTAAGACCATAGATTAAGGGTAATAAGCTCTGAAAGGGTAACTCTTATCTCATTCTCCCATGTCTGACGTGCTTAAAGGATCTGGTTCCCCCAGGAGCAGCCATGGCCAGGCCACCCAGCAGAGTGACATCTCCTCCTCCCTCTGCTCCCCCAGCCCTCATGTCTCCTTTGAGCAGTTCTTGGAGAGCAGAGGGTCTGACAGACCATACACGATGTGTGTTTTGGAGAAAACTGTGGTTGGCTGGGGTGAACCACAGGGATGGGGGGAGTAGAAAGAGCTGGAAAATGTCAATGTCCAAGAAGAGGGGACTTGGACAGAAAGAAACATCTCATTTTCTCCTTTTAAAGGGGAACAGATTAATAATGACCCAAAAAATTGCCCTGAGCTATTCTTTCTCAGTAAGAAGTGAGCTGTACATGGAACGAAGAGAAAGGGATAAAAACAAAGACAAGTTACTGACCCAGGGCAGAAACAGCTGACTTTCAGACCGATGTCTATCTACAGAGCTATTTATCAATTGTAATAAGGTCTTTTTACCATGAACTGTTAAGGTTGCTGTTGTCTCCTGGTCACCACACACACAGGTGTAATCTCCAGCATCATTTACTTCTAGGTCATGAACAACCAGCTCTGCAGTGGTGCCAGGCTGTCTCATTTCATATTTGTCACTTGCTTTGAGCACTTTGGACCCTGTTTTCCACTGCACTGGAGCTGCTTTGGTTAATTCACAATGCAGAGAGACTGAAGCTCCTTCTTGGACTTCTTCATTCTCCAGTTCTTCCTTGAAAAGCACTGGAAGGGCTGGGAATGGAAAGTCAATAGAGAGTGTATTTAAACTAAGACCTCTGCATTTGTGACCAGCATCATGAATTCTCAACTGAAGTTCAAATCTGGCCAAGTCAGGGTTCTTTGGCCATTGAGGTTGAGGTTATCACTACGATGATCTGGAAAACTAAATCCAGTAGTGACAGTAAGAAAAGAAGTGCTGAGCTGACAGGTCAAAGTACAACAGGTTGGATGGATTCAAGATGCAATTGAAAGAATTTATATCACAGGGCCACCTTCCATAGGGGCAGGTCATCTCAGCTGGTCTAAAATGAGCATTTCCTAGGTGTTATTCCCTTAAATTTACAAGATTAAGAAATAGCCGTGTCCTCAGCTCCTTTTTCAGGAATATCAGACAAGAAATTAAATGTCAGAACAAGACGTTCTCTTTTCCTGAACACAAATTAATTCCCAGGAGAAAGCTGATAGGTGAACAGTTCATACAACAAGATGTTTCAGAGAAACAACAAAAAAAAACCTGTTATCTGCAAGATGAATTTACCATTCACTGTTACAGAAGCCGTGGTGTGTTGGTCTCCACACACACAGGTGTAATCTCCCGCATCCTCCAGCTCCAGCTCACGAATTTCCAGCTCAGCAAGGGCATTGTCCTGATGCATGATGTATTTGTCACTTGCCCTGAGTATTTTGTTTCCTTTTTTCCACGCCACAGCCACAGCCTTGGTCAGCACACAGCGCAGGGTGGCTGTTTGCCTTTCCGTGGCTTGCAGGTCCTTCAGTTCTTCTTTGAAAAGTACAGGCAGGGCTGAAGGTCACAAAATGGACATAGGACATTAAAAGTGACATGGTGGCACACAGACCATGGGAGGGATGGGGTGGTACAGAAGCAGAGAACATTTCAGGGTGGAAAGAGTTTCCTTTCGTCATAATTCTGGGACATAGGAACAAAACAATAGACAGAGACAGAAAAGCAGCCTGGGTGCAACCAGATCTTAGAGACAGATTACAAATTCAAAGAAACAAATTCAGCCACAGGTGAACACACAATCAATAGCAATGCTCCAACAGAGAAATACACAATAATACAGATGTACGCAGATGGTTTTTTTTACCATGCACTATCAAGGCAGCTGTTGTCTCCTGTTCTCCACACACACAAGTGTATTCTCCAGCATCTTTCAATTCTACGTCATGGATGAGGAGCTTCATGACCGTGCCCTCCTGTTTCATTTTGTATTTGTCACTGGCTTTGAGCAAACTGCTTCCCTTCCTCCACTCCACTGGAGCGACCTTGGTCAGCTCACAGCGCAGAGTGGCGGCTCGACCTTCTGTCACCTCCTCGTCCTTCAGGCTTTCCTTGATGTGTGCAGGCAGCGCTGAGGATGCAACGGGCAGAGGGTTACAATGGAGCAAACACAGCCTCCTGGGGAGGGGCAAGGTGGGGAAGGAAAGGCGAGAGGAATGGTAGGGAGCAGTCTTCAGGACTGATCTCATATGTGCTTTAGGGATCAGGTCCTCAAAAACCCTTTGTATTAGGAATGGAGGTGCAGGTGTTTCCGTTAAATCACAAAACGCAAATTAATTCTCATGACTATGACATGCAAATTCAGACTCAGAGGAACTATGCAGAGATAACAATGAACATAGAAAGAAAAAAATAATTAGAATCATAGAATCATAGAATAGTTTGAGTTGGAAGGGACCATGGAGGTCATCTAGTCCAACCCCCCTGCAGTAAGCAGGGACATCTTCCACTAGATCAGGTTGCCCAGAACCCCATCAAACCTGACCTTGAATGTTTCCAAGGACGGGGCATCTACCACCTCCCTGGGCAACCTGTTCCAGTGTTTCACCACCCTAAGCACAAAATAGTTCTTCCTTATATTACACCATAAGGTTGATAATGAGGACATCTAGATGAAATTGGTTATTACCATGTACTGCTAAGGAAGCCGTGGACTGCTTCTCCCCACACACACAGGTATAGTCACCAGCATCACTCTCGTTTAGGTTATGGATCACCAGTTCTGCAGTGACATCCTTCTGCCTCATTTTGTATTTCTCACTAGGTTTGAGCACTGTGTGTCCTTTCTTCCATTCCACTGAAGCAGCCTTGGTCAACTCGCAGCGCAGAGTGACTGCTTCACCCTCCGTGGCTTCCTCATTTCTTAACTCTTCTTTGAAGAGAGCAGGAAGGGCTGAGAAACAAAGGAGCAAACATTTTCATGATATGCAGTTCTAGGCCACCAAAAAAAAGGAACCTTGATGTTTACTCACAGAAGGAAGATACTAATTTGTTTCATAACAACAAAAGAGCCTCAAACTGTGTAAATTTGCTGATTGGTTTAGATATGCATGGTTTAATGGGAAAACCTCATGTGTGGTCAAAACTATAGCTTTCTCAAGGTAATTCAGCCCAGGAAAAGTGATATAGCAGGTGACACCATGATCAGGAAAAAAGGGGAAAAGGAAAAAAAGAAGAGGCTTTACCTTATGTGTTAAGGATGCCTGCAGACCCAGCCTGGGAGTTAGAATGAGGCTGAAGAGCAGAATCAGGCGGACCTCTTGAAAGTGCTTGGGTAACAATAAAAAGGAAAAAAGAAGGACAATGTCTCCACTGTGGAAATCTGTTACAAGACCTTCACATCAGGAAAGTCAAGGGTATCTTAACACCCCATTCCTTTTGGAACAACTAGTAGAATCATTCAGAGCACAAGACTGGATGGTAGTGTGATAATATCTACTGTGGGAGCAGTGGGATGGAACAATGTCTACTGAGTCTTTGGAATGGGGTGGAGACCACGTTTGGATATAGAATACATAGGAAAGAACAGAAGAGAACAGAACTTTGTCCTGGAATACTTAAGGTACAGGATCAGTCAATATCAGACATTAACTGTTACACTGGAGGAATCAAAGAGAATAGGTGATGTTCCACAAGTATAGAAAAAAATGGAAACTCCGAGGTGGAAAAGGTCTCACAGATTGAATTGTGCACATTTAGTTTGTACCATGTAAACCAAGAGTCTAAGCTCCCAGGACAGTCAAGAAAGATCCAAAGTCAACAGAGCCCACGGAGCTATCTGCTGACCAGATGTAAACATCTGTGATCAGGTGAACTGGATATCTCCCTGGCCTCCACTGACTGCATTGACTAGGTCTCCACTGACAGCAATGGGAACTTAGGAACGCTCCCCTGTCTTGATCTACAAGCTGAATCCCATCCACAGTGCTTGTCTTGGAAAAAGAGGAAGAGGTGGGAGACAGAGAGAGGATCCAAGGAACTAACTGATCTTTAAGGTCCCTTCCAACCCTGACCATTCTATGATTCAATGGCCATTTCAGTTTAACTTTAATTCTTTGAAAAATATTGTAGAAATACACTTGGACTGGCCAAGAGCTTTTATTTTCATTAAGGAGAGGACCAGTGCAATTTTTCTTGACATCGGTTGATCAGCTTCAGTGACAGGGAGACACAGTATATGCTGTACACTTTGATTTTAATAAGGCTCTTTTTTAACTTAGGTATAGGTGGAACTAAGGTAGGAAGCTCTACTGATTTGAAAACCACAGTGAAATAATACTCCGCTGTGATTTATGCTCACAGTGAAAGAATGAGTTGAGCAGAGTTCCTCAGTACTCTGGAGCCCAGTAGTATTCAGCATTTTCTTTAGTGGCTTGAACACTGAAATGCAGAGTTGTCATTAACTTTGCAGATGATCTCAAGGTGGGAAGGGAGGGAAGCTGAAAGCACTTTGTTAAACAGGATTAGGATACAGAAGATCTTGATGAAGCAGTGGGGAAAAAATAGGCTGTAATTCAGCAAGAGGAGATGCAAAATACTGTACTTAGGAGCTATCCACAACACAAATACAAGATGAGGAACAATAGGCAGCAGATCTGCAGAGAGAGATTTGGGATTACAAGACATCATGGAGCAAATGCAACTCAAAAAATGCAATTCCAACATGAATAAAGCAAACATCATAATTAGGATGTATAAAATGGAGTGACATACACAAGACACATGAATTCCTTCCATTCTACTCCAGTCTGGCAAAGCCTCAGATGGAGCACTGCAGTCTGCTTTTGGCTACCACACTTCTAGAAAGATGCGGATTAACTGAAGAACATCCAAAAAGCAACAAAGATGAGCAGAAGTCTAGAAAACATGATCTGTGAAGAAAGAGTGAAAGGACTGAAGGTCCAGAAAAGAAGACAGAAGGGAGACATGATGAAAGTTTTCAAACCTGTTTTCCAACCTTAATGGTTCTATGATTCTATGTTTCTGTGATTCACAGAGAGGCAAATAACAACTATCTCAATTTCTACAGGATATAGGGCAAGAAGTAACGACTTAAGCCAGCTCAAGAAAAAATTTTGCTGGCATTAGGAAGAACTTTCTGGCAGTAATGATAGCTAGGAGCGTCCAGGGGAACTGCAGATTCTTCACCACTGGAGGTTTTTAAGTGCAGGGTAGATAGGGATGATGGCAACTTGGGCCTCAAGGATGGACTAGATGAGCTGCAGAAGTCCTTTCCAATTCTCTTTTCCATAGCTAAATTGGAAGTTCAAGACTGAAGCCACCCTTGTTTCATTGGTAAATAGGAAGATAAAAAGGTCTGGGCAGTAAAGCAAAGAAATTGACTCATTGACCTACTGACTTTCCAGGTGAGAAAAGTGGCTGAAACTACTTCTTACTGTCCTCTCTTAATAGTGGAAATAAAGTTTCCCTTTCTTCCAAGGAAAGTTTGTGGATGAATTTGAGGACTGTGAAGTACTCTCTCACTATAACGCTGAGTATTCTGCAATATCAGAATACAAGTCTACATCATCCTTGGTCAGAGTTCTATAAAAAAGTTGCATTGAATCAAGTTTTGCTTGCATTATTTAAAATTATTTGTCAAATTCTAATGTCACTTGAAATCCAAGATCGCTCTTTTTGAGAAGTATGAACGTTCCTGCTGCTCCATATTTCTAGGCTCAAGTCAAAAGTAAAACAGAACAAAAAGTGCAAACACATGGAATCCTTCAGCCTTCAGGGTGGTGCAAAACAATACAGCCATGCACCAAGAGCAAGGAGAAGAAAACAGGGAAAATGTTAGTATAACCAATGGAATTACAATTCTAGTTAGAATTAGATTTTTAAAAATCACTAATAAAAAAAAAAATCCATTACTGACAGAATTAATGACGGTAAGATTAGAGAAGGAACTCGTGTGTCAGTACTGAGGCTTCCAGAGGAGACAGGAGACACATCACACAAAAACGTCTCATTTCTCTTTTCTTTACCATGCACTGTCAGTGCTGCAGTAGTCTTCTCATCTCCACACACACAGGTGTACTCCCCAGCGTCCTTGACCTCTAAAGTGTGGATCAGCAGTTGTGCTGTAGTACCTTCCTGCCTCATAGTGTATTTTTCACTTGGCTTGAGCACTTTGTGTTTCTTTTTCCACTCCACGGAGGCAGCCCGAGATAGCTCACACTGTAGCGTGGCCGTTCCACCTTCTGTGGCTTCTTCATTCTTCAGCTCTTTCTTGAAGTGTGCAGGCAAGGCTGAGGAGTTCAAAATGAGCAGAATGTATGACCATGGCAGCTACCCAAGCAACTATCTGTGGTCTACCAGCCACAGGTGACAAACAAAACCTTCCCTAATCAAATAGGATTGATAATCACTCTGGGAATCATAGGATGGTGACCTTGGAAAGCTGGAGAAAACCTTGTTCATAAGTCAGAGCCTTTTTTTAATGGTGTGGTCTATGGCATGAAATGGAGAAACCACACCAGTCTCAACTTCAGACTCTCCCTTACTTTGGGTATTGCCTGGCACAATGGAAAATAAAGCCCAACTGGAGTGCCCAAGTTCTATTGCAATGCAAATCACTACTGAAGAAGTTCATAAATGAAAGTGTATCTGAGGCATCAATCTCCCTTTTCCATGAGATTCCTCCTCAGACAGTGATCTAGAAGAACTTGACTGTCAAATTATTCTGAAACACTGAGAACTGTCTCAAAAAATTCTCATCACGAAATTGTAATATTCTCAACTTTAGAACTGTAACATCTTCACAACCAACATCACAACAATATGATTTTCCTTTTTTAGCAGCTACTACTGAACACGAGCATCAAATGAATGAGTTGGTACCATGCTCAATATCTGAAATTTTTGAAAAAAAACATGATCTTTGCCTGATCGTTGAACTCCTATGTTTATGCCCATGTCCAACCACATGTTGCTAAATTCATCGGAAACAGGGCTGCAATTTCAAAGCTAATACTACTACGCTCTTAAAAACTGTTGGTTGAAAATAATCCACTTAACGTGTTACAGAGATTTTTTCTTTTAATTTTTATTTTACCATTCACTTTCAGCGCAGCAGTGGTTTTCTGATCTCCATAACAGCATGTGTAATCTCCAGCATCTGCCAGATCCAAATCACGGATCACCAGCTCAGCAGTTGTCCCCTCACATCTCATGGTGAACTTGTCATTTGCCTCCAGGGCTCGCTCTCCTTTCCTCCATCCCACGGCAGCCGCGGGCTTGTTCAGTTCGCAGCAGAAGGTGGCCGTGCCGTTTTCTGTGGCTTCCACGTTCTTCAACTCTTTTTTAAAATGCGGAGGAAGGGCTGAAGATCACAGGTGAAGAGAGAGCACTTTAAAACTGAGGAAATACTCTGTGTCTTGACAGCTCTGCTGGATTAAAACCCTTTAATCTCTAAAGGTTTTAGAATATACAGCACCTGAGAGACAAGCTGTGATTTTAGGGGCATCCCCGCCTTATGCTTTGCAACACACCACTTTGAGCATGTCACAGTTGAACTGGGAATCAGTGTTGTAAAACTATAATTTCAGTGCTGGAAGGTATGCTTTAGAGGCATTTTAAGATAACAGAAAGCTGAACACAAGATTTCAAGGAACTATGGACAGCTCTGTCTTAAAATCATTCTCACCTGCCTTTCTCAGTTGTTATCATAACAGAGCACCCTTCAAATTCCATTCAAGAAAAAAAAAAGAAATCTCAGTGATATTAATTAATGGCAATACTGAAAGTGCTATTTATGACTTCACCAAGGTCTTCACTATCTGCTTCCAGATCCCATTAACATGAAAGAACAGGGGCTGACCAGACTGTATCATGGTATTTATCATCACAAGTGAAGGACTTTAAGTAAAAGATATTCCCAGTGGTTGGTAATAGCTGTCACAAATCTAAAATGACCAATGGGAACAAGACCAGTTTGTGATCCTGCGTGAGATCACAGATGACAAAGCAGACAAATCCCTATTGAACTTTTTACCATGCACTGTCAGGGATGCCGTGGTCGTCTTGTCTCCGCACACGCACGTGTACTCTCCGGCATCTTGTTCCTCCAGGCTATGGATCGTCAGCTCAGCAATGGCATCCTTTAGTCTCATTTTGTACTTCTCACTAGGCTTGAGCATCTTTTGCCCTTTCCTCCACTCCACCGGAGTGGGTTTCGTTAGCTCGCACTGCAGAACAGCCGTCCCGTTTTCTGTGGCTTCCGTATCGACAAGCTCTTTTTTGAACAGTGCAGGCAAAGCTGGGGGACGTAATATAAACAGAGGGGACGTCAAAACCATTAAGCAGAGCTTAAGGAATTTAGGACCAGGTCCTGAGGTCAATCCTTCACTAGTACAGGGAAGGAAACAACATAGTCTTGAAAACTGGATCTATACTGCAGGATCTCACAGGGATAATTGCCACCATGACCTGCACCTAACGTTGACTTATGCAGCATGGTCACCATTTCCCAGCTCATTCCAGTAGTCCTCTCAATATATTTCACTCCGAAATCATCTATCTTGGACATTAATGACCTGATTTCCGATTGAAAGTCATGACCCTGAGTGACTCCACTGCATGACCCTCCATTGCTAGCTGGAGATGTCTACCTCTCCTGACACCATCATTTATCTGTCCAACTCAGAAAAAAATTAGTAATAGAACTTCAGGTGCGCCTTTAGGCCATAATTTCCAAGGATATAATGGCTCTAATACCAGGAATACAGGGGGGTTTTCAGCACCATTCAGTGTGCCACCAAAGTGAAAAGGAATCAACTTGCACAGGGAAGATAGTGCTGGCTCAGAGGAGAGGAGGAACCTCCCGCTGGGAGGAAGAAAAGGAACTAAAAGTGTGCAGAAAATGTGAGAGAAGAGAGTTTTGCCTCCACAGTTTGGCCCCTGTCCTTAGAAGCATCTTATCCTTAAGGTACATCTCAAATAAAAACTATTCTTTCATCAATTGGAACCGTCACTACTCACAGGAACAAAACCTGCCTCACTTCTCCCTAAAGCAGGACCTGCAGAGGAATGGCTTGGGGTTGGGTTTTTTTTAGAAATTGCCATTTCCTCAGCAGAATATATCCCAGTCCCACAAAGGAGGAGGACAGTCATTCATTCCTGACTGGGAAAAGCTCTCACTAAGGGAGCTCAGCATTTCTAAAGATCATTCCTTCAAGTTAAGCACCAAAACCCACTGACATCAGTGGGACACAAGGACAAACCCTCGGAGAACAAGCTCCCTGCTGGACGTCAGCTCACTTTTTGGCCTTACAGGTGCCTTTTTCACTTTTAAAAAGTGAAGGCAAAGATGAGAAATTGTCACAGCTCCTCTTTACTTTGCTATAAGGCCAATGGTTTCAAATTGATGGGCAGGGGGAGATGGAATGAAACACCACCAGCAAAGCAAGAAAATGCTCCAGAATCGAGACATCAAAGCAAGGGGGAAAGAGACTTCTCAGAGAAAAGGAATCTCCCCAAGATACTGCTATCATAACGGAGAACGGCTGTTTTACCATGGACTGTCAAGACAGCCGAGGTCTTCTGATCTCCACACACACAGGTGTATTCTCCTGTGTCCTCTACCTCCAGATCTCGGATCAGCAGCTCTGCAGCGGTATCTTCTTGTCTCATCCTATACTTATCGCTGGGTTTGAGCGTCTTGTCGCCTTTTTTCCACTCCACAGGGACACCGACCTTGCTCAGCTCGCAGTGTAGGGTGGCTGTGCCACCATCTGTGGCTTCTCTGTTCTTCAACCCTTCTTTGAAAAATGCAGGCAAAGCTGAAGGACAGCAAGATGAGCAGTGAGATGTAACGCTCCAAAGAGCTAAAATTAAACAATGACGCTTAATTTTCCTTTTCCCTCTTATCTTGAACGGATTTATCAATACAAGAACATAGATCATCAATAGTCTTCATGAATCAGTATGAGGAAAAAATGTCATCACCAGGAAAGGATTCAATGCTTGCAGTAATCCGTAGAGATATTTTACATGTACTCAGAGTCACAAATTAATACAGACAAAAGAAGAAAACCCAATTTTTTTTTCCCTGGGAAATTTCACGCAAAAAGAATAAATACTAATTTGAAATTTCAAAAAAAAAAAATTGGTTTTCTTATGGGATGCTTTAAACCATAACGGGAGGATGTTTGCTATGTTTTCACATACTTAAGCAAATGAAAAGACACTGTCCATTAAAAAAATGAAACAACAGAGTTTCATTCCAAATGTCAGTTTGAAATGAGGTTGCTCATTTCAATACATGGTGGGAAAACAAGCATTTTCGCCTGAACCAACATAGCCTTTCAAATACGTCAGTTGAGGTAAAAATCAAAGTTCTCCCTGGGAACGGTTGTCCCTTAGAAGGTTTGGGCTTGCTTTACAAAGGAGAGTATCTGAATGCGATGACAACTGGCCCATATGTATGAAAGCACCCCGTTGTCCCAGGAATGGAGTATGGGAATAAGATTCCAGGGAATAACCTGACCTTTGGCAATTTTGTGGAAATTTAAGATCCCTAAGTGATAGTCCCTTGGAGTCAATCCATTTTATTGGGTTTGAGCATAATGGGGAAGTCTAATAAAGGAACTCACAAGGAAAAAAGCAAAACGATGGACCCTAATTAAACCAGTAGCAGCAACCCTGGTTGCCTACACTCCGGGTTGTACACTGACACCCCTCTTGTGCCACGCACCCCGGCTGTGCTGACACCAATGGGAACACTCCATTGGCATCAGCGAGCCGTGGATAAGGGTCTGGCAGAAGGAAGGAGATGGGAGGGGTAGCCAGGTATCCGTCCAAATGAACAGAGGAAACAGGATAGTTACATTTACTATGTGTCTTGGTTGGTTTGTTTTACCATGTATTGTTAAAACCGCCATAGTCTTCTGGTCTCCACACACACAGGAATAATTCCCAGCATCCGTCACATCTAGATTTTGGATTATAAGCTCAGCAATGATGCCTTCGCGTTTCATTTTATACTTGTCACTCGATCTGAGGGTCTTGAAGCCCTTCTTCCACTCCACGTTAGCAGCAGCCTTGTTCAGCTCGCAGCGCAGAGAGACACTTTTCCCTTCTGTGGCTTCTTCATCTGTCAGTTCTTTGGTGAAAAGAGCAGGCAGGACTGCAGGGTAAATGCAACACAGACACGGCATCAACGCTGAGAAAGCCTGATTCATGATCTACTTCACTTTTCTCTTATCTCCCTGAACCTGCATGTCACTGAATCATCGAATCACAGGATGGTTTGGGTTGGGAGGGACCTTAAACATCATCCAGTTCCAACCCCCTTCCATGGGCAGGGACACCTCCCACTAGCCCAGGTTGCTCAAAGCCTCATCCAGCCTGGCCTTGAACCTGCACGTCACTGAAGCCACAAGACCTTCACACTCCAGGATTTTGTTCCAATCTCCAACATTTCAAAAGAGATTTCAACCTAATTTTTAAATTTTTGTCTTCTCACTTTAAAACTTGCTTTAAAAGCAAGTCTGCCTACCTGAAAATTTAGTTGACAAGCCATCTGTCCTTTATACCCCATAAAATCAAAGGGGTAAAAAATTAGAGCCCATATTTTAATATGAGACCCAAAGCATTTTGTTTCCTTTGAGAAAAACAGTAGTTCTACTGTTTTTTCTATTGAATCTTCTACTGATTCAATAGCACCTCATTCAGGGCAATGTCTGCATTTTCATAAATAGAGCCCCTTAAAACAGAGCAGTTGCAAACATGCTGTCAGTTTTCTGCAGAGATAAAGCATGTGCTTGGGAAGAGTTGAGCCAAAATTGGTAGAAAAGGGCTGGGAATAGCAGGAGAATAAAAGGGCAATTTTTCATTACGATAGTCCTTGTGTAGGATCATACATTGGTGAAAACTTGTTCCTCTTAGGAGCAACAAGTGTAACAGTTTGAGTTACAAAAAGTAAATGCTATTCCCACTTTTAGGTCAATTCTTATGGGAAAACTTTTAACCAAGCAGCTACACTGGACTAGGGAGATTGGGTTGAGTTGGGGACACTCTGCTTGTCACTTGAGCATAGCACCTTAGGAAGACAAATAGGACATCAAGAGGGCATCATGTGAAAGGAAAGAAAGAGAGAGAAGGAAAGCAGGATAGAAAAATTTATCAGCAGCGGGGAGGACAGAAAGTAGCCAGGGACCAGATGAAACAGGAGGAAAAGAAGAAGAGAGTTTGGAACTATACAGGTTTACTTGAGGCACGTGCTGAGAATTTCTTTTTACCATTTACTGTCAAAGCAGCCGTAGTCTGTTGATCTCCACACACACAGCTGTAATATCCAGCGTCAGCCAAATCCAAATCCCGGATCACCAGCTCCGCAAAGGGACCTTCCTGCTCTATTTTGTATTTTTCACTTGGCTTGAGGATTGTATTCCCCTTTCTCCACTCCACTGGGGCTGCTTTGCTCAGTTTGCAGTGCAAAGTGACTGCCTCCCCTTCTGTAGCTTCCTTATTCAACATTTCTTCTTGGAAGAGGATGGGCAAGGCTGAAGGATGCAATACCAACAGAGAAGGAATCAGCACCAGATCCAAACGAGCTGGACTCTGCTGTAAGTTACTGGGTTGCCTTGTGTACATTTAACCGAAAATGCACTGCCGCTAGCTTGAATTGAAAGGAGGGGGCTACAGCTGAAAGGAAGGGGTAAAAAACCTCTTAGAGAGAAATAAATTAGAGAAAACAATATACAACAGAGCTGTGCTGTCTCAAAGAAAAAAAAAAAAAGCACGAGGGAATATTCTCTTACAGGGTGACTCTTTGGCACTACAGAGCTGAGAACATGAAACCTTCAAGAAATCACACTGACCAAGCTTCGGATGACCAGCAAATGCTGTCAAATATGCTAAGTTTGGGGATTAATGGGAAATACGGGTAGAACGGTTACCATTCACTTTCAAAGCAGCTGTTGTCTTCTGGTCTCCGCACACGCAGGTATAGCTCCCAGCATCCGTCAAGTCTAGGTCTTGGATAACCAGCTCAACAAAGCGCCCTTCCCGTCTCATTTTGTATTTGCCGCTTGGCATCAGCACCTTCCCGTCCTTCCTCCACTCCACCGAGCTGGCCGCCTGGCTCAGCTCGCACTGCAGCGTGGCCGTCCCGCTCTCAGTACCTTCCTCGTTCTTCAGCTCTTTTTTGAAACGGATTGGCAGGGCTGAGAGATGCAGAATGAAAAGGGATTGCAACCGAAGGCCCTGCCCAGATCTCTGGTCAGAGGCTGAATCATGATTTATCGTATGACTACCTAAGCCTTATTCCAACACTCTTATCCTTATGCACATCCTGGGGTTTTTTTTTTTTGGTTTTTTTTTTTTTGTGGATGGTAGAAAAAAATCTCTATTAAATTGTTCTGTGGGAATCAAAGCATGAGTGATCTTGATTAGCATCATGCATACAAATGAGAAACCCATCCTCATCACTAAAGGTGATGAACCCTCCTTAACGGAAAATCCCAAGGAATCTTATGTTTCCATACTAATTCAGGAAAATATATGTGCATGTCAGCCCCCTTCACTTGAGGAAAGGTGAGAAGACAACACAACACACACACAACATTGGGCACCACAAAAGCGGATTGTAGATGGAGATTGGGCAAAGAAGTGACATGGCAACGTGAAAAAGTGGAAGGATGACAAAAGTAGAAGGATGACAGAAGTAGAAGCAGGACATAAAGCTAGATATTGTGAGGGAATGCACAGGAAGGAGAGGAGAGATGGACAAAAACATTCCAGAGTTTCACAGGTTATTTCTGACTTTTTACCATTCACTGATAAGGCTGCTGTGGTTTTTTCATTCCCCACTACACATGTATAGTCTCCAGTATCCTTTGGCTCCAGATCGTGGATCAGCAGCTCAGCCACCGTGCCCTCCTGCCTCATCCTGTACTTGTTACTGGGCCGGAGGAGAGTATTTCCCTTCCTCCACTCCACGGGAGCCTCTCTGCTCAGCTGGCATCGCAGGGTGGTGCTCCCACCTTCCACAGCCTCCACACTCTTCAGCTCTTCTTTGATGAGCGCGGAGACGGCTGAGGAAGGAAGCATTCTCATTTTACTTTAGGAGCATCATTACCAACTGGTGACCTCATATGGGATGTAAAACCAAAACAAATTATCTCGGCACAGATAATAAGCTCTGACCTACCTGCACCTCCAGGACTCTACTTGCATTTACAATAGGAAATAAAAACAAAACCATTATTTCCCAATAATTAGAATATCAAAGTAATTACTCTTCTGCTGTCCAAATCTTGTTGGTCACAGACATATAAAAAATTTGCTGGGGAATTGCAGAAGAGTATTGCATATTTTTTTAACAAATTTTGTAGCTGAGGCCATTCTTACCTCCTGACTTAGAGCTCAGACAAGCACCTCTACCCAGAGCAGAAAGCAGAACAGTTATTTCAGAGGCAAGGACAGATATATTGTTATCAGGTACATTTGATTGCTATGTTTTAGCACGAAATTATTGTCCTAGAAAACAGAGAACATAACAGACCCAGCCAGGGCTGCCTTTTGTTTGTACTGATCCCTTTTTTCCCCCTGAACACTCGCTATAAAAGTGCAGGAGCTAGAAGGACCATGGCAAGAACAACAACAAATGGTGACAAGCAGGTGTCTCAGTCCTACCATGGATTTTGACTTGGGCTGTGGTCTGCTGGTCTCCAGTGTCACAGGTGTATCTTCCCGCATCTTCTGGCTCTGCATTATGAATCACCAGCTCTGCCACTGTCCCCTTCTGCTTCATTTCATATTTGGCACTTGCCTGGAGCGTGGCTTCTCCCTTCTTCCACACCACGGTGGCATCAGCTTTGGTGAGTTCGCAGTGCAAGGAGACAGATTTCCCTTCTTCCATTTCCGTGTTCTTCAGGGGTTGTTTGAAAAGGACAGGCACAGCTAGAACGCAGAACCAGGGATTAGGACATACCTGCTGTACACCAAGTGCCCCATGATAGCTGTCACCTTTTAAAACCAGCCCTTTTCCAAAGGAGCAGAGCAGCCCTAGACCCTCCCTTGGCTGTGTGGCATCAAAGTGTTTCTGTTTGGGAGCAGGAAGAAATCTCTCCCCCCAAATGTTATCACAGAACCACAGAGTGGTTTGGGTTGGAAAGGACCTTAAAGATCATCGAGTTCCAACCCCTGCCATGGGCAGGGACACCTCCCACCAGCCCAGGTTGCCCAAAGCCTCATCCAGCCTGGCCTTGAACCCCTCCAGGGATGGGGCATCCACAGCTTCTCTGGGCAACCTGGGCCACTGCCTCACCACCCGCACAGGAAAAAACTTCCTCCTAATATCCAACCTCAATCTCCCCTCTTTCAGCTTAAAACCTCATCCTGTCTCTCCACCCCCCAATGAAGAGTCCCCCCCCATCTCTCCTGTAGCCCCCTTTCAGCACTGGAAGGTGCTGGAAGGTCTCCCCGGAGCCTTCTCTTCTCCAGGCTGAACAACCCCAACTCTCTCATCTCACCGTGGATTCCTAGAAGTATGGGGGAAGTTTCTCTCATCTTTAATAAGGACCCTTTTAGAGTCCTCTTTGCATCATCACCAAATTAATTCCCTGATGCTGCACGGCTCGGAGACAGTATCCATGCCCTGTATCTCTCCTACTTTCTGCTCCAGGACATACTACTTTTGCTGTACTGTATTTGTTCAGTGGCATTGGGGAGTGCAGATGTGTTGGGGTTTTACCCTGGCTGGCAGCGAAACTCAACATCGCTCACTCACTCATCCCCTCTCCCAGGGATGGGGGAGAGAATTAAAGGGGTGAAGGGAAAACAAATTCGGGGGTTAAGAACCATTTAATTACTAAACTACAATAATATTGGAAATACTAATAATTATGATAATAATGGCAATATAATAACCAGGGATGGCATCTGAGAGCCTTTAAAAAGGATGTTTTGGGGAGTTCAGGGATTTAATCACTGATCAGTTGGCCACCTGCAATTTTCCAGGGACTGGACTTATGTTTCCATGTTCTTGTGCTCCAGTGGTCCTAGTCTCCATTCTGACTCCAGTCTTAACCACAGGCATGAAAAACAGCTCGTAGGTCAGGAGCTATGGCAGGTAGAAAATGAACCCTCTGCACTTATTTTCTGCTCCGTGGGAAGTTACAGATTTAAAGTCCTAGCCACATAATGTGAGATTACATGAATGAAATATATACAGGTGCTTATTTTACCACTGAATTTTATGTACAACCTTCTATACGGCACCACCACAAAGTGCTGGGTGTTTTTTTTTCAATAGAAGCTCTATCAAGCAATGCATTAAGAAAACATGGCAACGTATCTAACTCTGCCTACCATTTACTTTCACCCGAGCAGTGGTCTTCAGTTCTCCAGTGCTGCAGGTGTAGTCCCCAGCGTCTATCGATTTGACATCTCGAATAATGAGCTCTGCCACAGTACCATGCTGCTTAAACTCATACTTCTCGCTGGCATAGAGCAGAGTGTCTCCTTTCATCCATTTCACTGGGGTATCAGGTTTGCTGAGCTCGCAGGTCAGCTTGACTTGTTTGCCTTCTTTAACTTCTTCATTCTGGAGCTCTCGCTTGAAAAGAACTGGCATTTCTGAAAAAGAACATTGCAAGTGTTTAAGGAAACACAAGAGGTTGGAAATCACTTTTCCCTTTTTTCAGACTTCATCATTCAGAAAAAAAAACCCACAGGAATGGAAAAGCACCAGCAAACCGACAGCTCACATCTGGCTACCAGCACTCTACAGCAGCAAAAAAAATATTTGAGACCATACTCTTATTTTCCTTTTAACCACTATCTGTACTATGGAAGACGTTGCTACTAGTACTATTGTAATTATTAAAATTAGTGCTGCGCTGCTATTAATGACACAGACAGCAGCATTGCAGATGGGTGGTCAGAGCTGGACCACTGGGACAAAAAACATAAAAACTTTACTGAGGTCAACTCACACGTAACAGAGGACACAGAGAAATGGCATAGCACTTTCTGTCATGACCAGCAGTACTGATTTCTCATTAGAAAAAAAACCCACAACATTTTTATCTGACACGAATACAGACTTTATGAGAGCACAGAGCAAACACAGAGAGGAAAGCACAGCTGGACATGAAGGGGTCCCAGTGGACATTCCCATGCAGGCTCTGTCACAGCCTGGGATTCAAGGCTTTAAGGTGAACTTTAGGGAAGGCACTTATTGGGAAAAAAAACCTCAACTGAAACGTGTTCCCCTCAGATCATGAAAAAAAACCAATTTCTGCCTGGCTTCCGCTGTCTTATGAATATGCAAGTCAACTACTGATTCGTGATAAAGTTGTCCTGTGGCTATTGAAAAACTACAGCCTGTTCTGTTCCCCTTTTACCTCTAGTTTGGGACACTCAGTGTCACATGGCTACTGACTTTCCTCCCTTTTTTTTTTTTTTTTTTTCCTATTTTTGCATTTTGCTCTTCTGATGTGACCCTCATAGAAAAAGGAAAGCTGCAACAGTAATTTTGTTGTACTTGAATTGACTCCTTCACATCTACTGGCGATGTGAATCCCTGTGTTTAAAATCTACATCCATCCACACTCTGTGAAGGGAAAACGGGGCTGTTGGGGAACATGACAAATGTGTTTTTTCCTAACAGAAGATTAGAATTACAGAATCATAGAATGGTTTGGGTTGGAAAGGACCTTAAACATCATTGAGTTCCAACCCCCTGCCATGGGCAGGGACATCTTCCACTAGACCAAGTTGCTCAAGCTTCATCCAACCGGGTCTTGAACCCCTCCAGGGATGGGGCACCCACAGCTTCTCTGGGCAACCTGGGCCACTGCCTCACCCCCTGTCACAGGAAAACATTTCTTCCTAAAATTGTTCTTCATCGTGAGTCAGATCCAGGTCCTACTGAAGCCAACACGGATCTTTCTTTTCTGTGTTATGGGTATTGAGAAAACATCCTAGTGCTACACAACGACATAGAAAATCGGGACCATTAACCATCCCCTCTCTTCATTGTATCATCAAGGTCTTCTCTCTCCTTGCCCAGCAGATCTCAACCTTAAGTTGGCTTGTTTCTTTGTGCTCTCTGTAGATATTGTGAGCAGCTTGCCTTCCATCTTCATGCTCTTATGTTCAGGTTGACTATCCCAACAACCCTTCCCTAGTGTGTTATACCAGCTGGTTACCACTGGTCAGGCTAAACACAGCCTGTGCCATTAACAACCTCCCTCTACCTGCTCAAACCTGCCCACGTGAATGAGCAATTTTGCTTATAGAAACGGAGCTTCTCCTCGACCTTGGGCTGGGGCAGTGACTCAAGACAGGCAGGAGCAACTATAAGGTGGGTTGAAGCTGAGCCCAGTTCTAACATGGCTCAGACCCAGTGCTTACCTAAGAGACTTGATGCTTATCCAGCACACTCAGGGAAGTACACTAAAGTCTTCTGCGTCTAAGAAGAGAACTTTCGCTTCAGGTCAGACAACAACCCTTTAGATAGCACCTGCTGCCTGATCATGCTCTGTGGGTGCATTACTCTCAATAAATTTGGCTGCCTAAAGACATTACCCAGACAAATGTGGGTGTGTGAGCTCCCTCCTTGGAGAGAGCCATCAGTGGAGACAGCTTCAGAAGGTGATTCATCCTTTCTCTGGATTACCTCTTAGGCTGGGTGGATCTCCTACAGAGATACCCAGTGTCCTCTACCGACCCATTGCTCTCATCTCTAGAGAGCTTGGGCACTTAACTTGTACAGAGCTGAAGCCACGGAAGGTGAAGATTTTCCTATTTCACATTCTGTCACCTCTCTGGGTGCTGTTCTGGATGGCTTGACGAGAACCTCTCCTGCACTGTGGTGCAAAGACATGAGGTTTCTTTTCAGTAGAGTTTCATGTTATTACTATTTCAATTTATTACTCTGACCTCAGTGTTAGATGATGAGTTAGGACCCAAACCATCCCTCCAAGTGTTCTTACCCTTGACAGTAACAACCGCACTACTTTTAGCTGCTCCAGCCTCACACTCATATCTGCCACTGTCTCTTTCTTCTGCCCTGTGAATGACAAGCTTGGCTTCAAATCCCGACCGGCTGATGTTATACTTGGAAGAATTCCTAAGGCTCTTCCCATCTTTGTACCACTTTACAGGGCTGTCTGATTTGGAGGTTTCACAGTGAAGGATCACATCCTCTCCCTCAGTGACTTCAGTACCAGCCAGCTCCTTTGTGAAGATGCAGGGCTTCTCTAGAATCACATAAAAACCATCTGAGATGTTTCAGAAGACTTGTAGATTTTCAGATCACAAGTAATCTGCGAGATTTACATCCAAGATTACTTGCATCAAAACTACAGGTCAAGGTTAGTAAAAAATAGTTTGGTGTTCATGACTATAAAGCCCTCAGGAAGGCACCAGTCATGCCTTAAGTGTTGTTTAGTAAATACCTAATGCCAACTGGGAGAAACTGAGAAGACAATATCCCTGTTGAAGAACATAAGATCTCTGTCACATCTTGCTAAATAGGAACGAGATGGAGGCACAATCTTCTTAAACCCTTTTCCATGAGTTGATTAACTTGAACTTTGAACTGAACATGAAAAAGTTAACTCTTCATAAAATGAGGTGCAATTCAGGTTTCTCAAAGCCAATCATCTCAAGCAGGTCTCATCTCAGTACGAGTCCTCTAAACACCAGGCAGGTAGCTCAGACTGGTCATGTAGGGTGTCTCTATAACCCCTGGAAGATGACAGACACCTCCAGAGACCAGATACGCACTTCCAAAATGGGCCACTAGGACAGAGAAGACGAACTGCTCTCTGGAAGATCCTGTCTTTCTACACAGCTTGTAGAATGAACCTAGGCTAGATAACAATTGCTAAATTGGCCAAGGTAGGTCTTATCCCCCCCTAGCTTAAGGATTTTTAATTCATAAAAATCCAGTAAATCAAGAGACCAAAACCCATTTTTGCTACTATAGCATCATATATCAGTGTTACCAAAAGGAATCAGCCTTTTGTAAATAAGACCTTTCATTTGCCTTCAGGAAAATCTCTTTGCATTTCTGTAGCATGGCAACATTTGGGCAAATTTTCAAATTTGGAAAAAAAAAAAATGAAAAGTTCTTTGTAAAATGCATGATAATTGTGAAAAGAATGAGAATATGATCTGACACAGTGGAGACTCTGTGTTTTAAATATTTCTCATCGTCCAGAGATGGATGTTTCCAGTAAGAAAACACCTCTCTAACCCTGCACTCTTGGGATCTCTGACATTCATTTTATTCCCTCATTACAGAAGGAGACTAACACTGCAGAGTTTTAACTCAGTTTAACTTTCCCAGAGAAAAAAATTCATTGTCAACAAAGAATAGCAGAGAACAGACATAATGGTGCCTTTCAAACAATGAAAACTAAATTAAAATCTTACTGCTTACATTTCTTTTTTTTCCCTTGAACTAATTTATTTCTCATTTATCATCACCCTATCAGCTTGGCTCAAGGAAAACTGGCCAAGGCACCCAATGTACCATCACTACAGTATAACATTCTCATCTAAGGTCCAATAAGCACCGTGAGAGTTGTCCAGGATTACAAAGTATTCTCTGGCCAGCCTTAGCTTCATTATAAATTTAATGCTATTCTTGAACATATCCAAATATATATATATAATTGGGCCAAATCTGTAGCATTTTTTTCTCTTTTATTCCGCTTACCCACATTAACCCATACTTATTTCTATGCATTCTTTCCTCTCCTGCAGTTTTTATGATTGAATTACCTTTAACAACCAAACTGGCAGATGTTTTCTTATCACCAGCTTCAAATGTAATGACCCCCGAGTCCTTCAGTGAGAGTTTTTTCAATGTTAGCAGGTGATATCCACCAGGCTGAGACTGGATGTCATTAAGTTCATTCGTATGGAGTGGGGTTTTATCCAAAAACCACTGCACCTTGCTATAGTCTACAGGAGAGATTCTGCATTTGAACATGGCAGATTCTCCTTCTAACACAGTGACATCTTCCAAGTCTTCTGTTATTAGCACTTTCTGGCCTGAAAGGAACATAGATACATCAATTACTGGAATCTTCAGTTTCTAGTATGAAAACCAATATGGAAAACTCCAAGATTTCCCATGTGAGTATTTCAAGAAAGAGATACGTTCATGATACAGAAGACTGAAACACAACTCCCCTGTCATTGAACACAAAAACCATTCACGGGAAGATAATATACACAGGACACACACCAAAATAGGATGAAGACAACTTCAAAGCACCAGAACACATACAGCAGAACACACAGCCAGTCCAATGCAAATCCAGTATTACAGTTTCTCTCAACAAAACTATCTGGAAATAGTGAAAGGATGCTTCTCTGACAGCCTCGCTGGGCTCCAGACATCACTAAGCAGATGATGCCCCCCATGACAACCCCTCTGTTTTTCTAGAGCAAATATAACTTTCTTTCTAAGGCATAGGACCACCCAGCCCCAACCTTCTTTGAGCTTAGTTCAACCATAAACATAGAAGTAGAGAGAGTGTCTGACTGCAGATTTAGTAAAAAGAAACAAAACAACAGCCCTGAAAACCTGCCTGTAGATAGACAGATATACACCTGTCTATGAATAAATAAATAAATAAAAATTAAGGTTATCACTGTATACAAAGATATATCTGATGTTGCTCCTAACTACAAAACCAGTAGAGGGAATTTTTGCTTTTATCTTGAGCTTTGGGACAGAGAATAATTTTTTCACTCAGAAAAGTTAGTGTCAGAAAGGTCACAGCGAATTCAGGTAGCTCAGGTCCTGAGGCCGTGGCGGGGATTAAGCACACTTCTTTCCTTCTCCAGGCTGCTCTAGCAGATGAGCAGAGATGCAGGAGTCTGGCTTTACCCCCTAGTCTTTAACAACTAACTATAATAATTAATAAATGGACACTGCCACTGCATCTCCGTGTGACTATTCTTGAATCGTTCCTCCTCCTCTCGTCATTGTTTCACCAATTTCAGCTCAAGGGTTTCTCCCAGTTGGGGTTCCAGTGAGGAACAGTCACAACCGGACCTCACTCCTTCCCCTTAAACACTGCCCTGATGTTGGCACTGGCCACCACAGCTCATTGACTGCCCGTAACATCAGATAAAAGCTGCTGAGTTGCACTCTTCAGCTGGAGATTGGGTTGTCTCCTTCATCTCTAAGGGGCAAAGGGACTTTAAACACTTAAAAATCCCTGGATCACTCATTCATCCATCCCCTCCTAGAAACAGGCATCAAAGAACATGGAGAAAACCCTGGAGGCAGAATAATTTTTTCCATCGTATCCATCATCTGTTCACACAGGAACACCAGCCTCTCCTCACATCAACATTTTGGGGTTTTAAATCGCACCCAAAGCACTCCGGGTGTAATTGCATCAAATTGACAAATTGCTCTGCATGTCCAGCTCTGTGTTGCTGTGGTTTTGTCCACATGTCCTGGGCAGGGTACATACATAAAGAGTGAGACAGAGCCAGAAATCAGCAGATCTACTACTCCTGTGCTGAGAAATAGATCTGTCCATGCATATAGAATCACAGAATGGTTTGGGTTGGAAGGGACCTTAAAGATCACCGAGTTCCAACCCCCTCCCATGGGCAGGGACACCTCCCACTAGCCCAGGTTGCCCAAAGCCTCATGTGTTTCCTGTTGGAGAAACACGTTGTACAATCGTATTCCTCTCACACATACCTTGCACGACCAGCTTGGCTCTGGACTGGGCATCACCGATGTCGCAGGTATAAGTGTCACTGTCACTTTTCTCCAAGTTTTTTATGGTCAGCTGGAGGACTTTTCCTTCCTGCGTGAACTCGTATTTCCTGCCAGCCCTGAGTTCAGCTATGCCTTTCCTCCAGACCACAGAGGATGCAGCTTTCTCACTCTGGCAAGTAAAAACTGCTGTTCCACTTTCATCAGCTTTCAGATCTGAAAGTTCCTTGACAAAATAATTAGGTTTTTCTGGAAATTTAGAAAAAAAAAAAAAAGAGGAAAAGAGGGAGATTCGTTACTCAAAGACGTCCTGAACATACAGCATGGCCTTGAATCCCCTTCTGTCCCCACTTGTGGAATCACAGAATATTGAATCATAGAATCATTTAGGTTTAAAATGACCCCTAAGATCATCAAGTCCAACCATTAACCTAACCCTACCAAGTCCACCACTAAACCATGTCCCTAAGTGCCACATCTACTCGTCTTTTAAATATCTCCAGGGATGGTGACTCAACCACTTCCCTGGGCAGCCTGTTCCAATGCTTGACAACCCTTTCAGTGAAGAACTTTTCCTAATATCCAATCCCTGCTACAACTGGAGACTGTTTCCTCTCATGTGGCTAGATGGAATGGATCTAAGATCACCAGATCCACCTCCTGTCACAGGACATATCAGGTCAAATATTTCCAGCAAAGTTTAATGCCATTGTACATCTACTGGTGAGGTCTCATCTTGAAGACTGTGTACAACTTTGATCACCCATATTCAAAAAAGATGAATTCAAACTGACAATTTTGATTGGTCCATTACATAGCACATAAGATTCTCCAGTACCCAGGTGGTGTTTTTTCAGTTTTTTAAAAAAGGTTTTAATCTATGGCATTTTTTAAAAACTAAAAATTGATCCTGTTTAGAGAGACAGAAGAGAAGAACACCTCCCACAGGCTGTAGAAATTTACCGCAAGCACGCCAGCCCCTATGTATGCTTCAGCTGACCTTGCACTGTGATCCTGGCTTTCGTTTTAGAGACCTCCGTCTCACAGGTGTACTCCCCGCTGTCCTTGACCGTGGAGTCATGGATGGTCAGAATGGCCCGTGTTCCCTCTTGGTGTAAGTCATATTTCTGGCTTTTTCGAATTGCTTTGCCATCCTTGTACCACCTGACACTCACATCAGGTTTTGAGAATTCACAGCTCAGGCTGATGTCCTGCCCTGCTGCTGATGTTTTATCCTCCAGCTGTTTGGTAATCTCGGTAGGTTTTTCTGAAGAGGGGGAAAAAATAAAAGATTCAGCCTTTTACTTGTTTTTAAGGAAAATTCTTAGTTCTTCAGGGCTCACAGAGAATGCTTCTATTCACTTTGATCATAACAAGAGTTTGCCTTCATGATTTACTGTCATACCTTATGAGAAGAAACCCAAGAAATCAAATCCCAGAGAACCTTCCTGATCTCATTACCTTTCACAACCAGAGAAGCCTTGGAGGTTAGACCACGGGCAGTGAAAATGACTTCCCCAGCATCATCAGGAGTCACATTTTTGATACTGAGTGTATATTTCCGACCAACATTAGAGGCTTTAAATCGCCCCCCACTTTCCACTTTGCTCCCCTTCAGCGTCCAGTTGAAGTCGCCAACACTTTCATGGGACAAAATACACTCAAAGGTGCACTCTTCTCCCTCCTGGATTTCAGTGTTCTTCAGTCGTTTGGTGATGCCAATGTTTAGTTCTGGAAGACAAAAAGTAGCTTAATACAAGGAGAAAAAGCTTTTTTCTCCATGCTGATATGAGAAATGGGATGTTTGTATTTGTTAACTTGTTATCGTCCTACCCCTCCTGGTGTTCAAATCAGACAGATTCAAAATTTGTCTCATTATCAACATGAGTTTGAAAGCCATGGAGGCTCCTCTTTCCTTCAAGTAGCCACAAGGATGAGAGGACAGGCAGAATTGCTGGATTCTTCAACAGACAATATTGTCCTACTCTTGTGTTCCCACAACTGACTCTGCATTAATAGCTGAACCACGTGAAACATAAGCAGCCTTTTTTTTTTTTTTTTTTTTGAGTAATAAATTAGTTGCTCTCCTGGGAGGATTTTTCCACTTTAGGGATGTTCAGAAAGGAAATATTGTCAGTACCTCAATATCTGAATTTCACTGAAACACCAGATATTCTTACATAAAAGAGCAATGGGGATTATTCAAACATCTCTGTGTTACGTGGTAAATTCTGTTAGCGTTGTTCAAGAGTGGAGGCCATTGTGGCTCATGGAGGAATAGGTTTGAGAGAAAGTGACCAACCCAACCCGTATTCCCAGCACCCCTTGGCTGGCCATCATCTACAATACTTACCTTGAACGCTGACCTTTGACTTGGCAACATCAGTACCGATATCACACGTGTATAAACCTGCATCTGTCTTTTCGAGGTCATGGATAAGGAGGCAGAGGGTCTTCCCAGACTGTATCTGCTCATACTTGTTACCAGAAGTAAGCTTGACACCATCCTTTTTCCAAACAGGTTTGACCTTCTCTTTGGAGACTTCACATTCCAGTTTAATCACACCTCGCTCCTCACCAAAAACATCGTCCAAGGACTTCATGAAGACAACAGGCTTCTCTGAAGGATAACAGGCAAAACAGAGAACAACCAGGATATTTAAGTCGAGATATCTTCAGCTGCTACCAAATCATAGAATCATAGAACGGTTTGGGTTGGAAGGGACCTTATTGATCATCCAGTTCCAACCCCCTGCCATGGGCAGGGACACCTCCCACTAGCCCAGGTTGCCCAAAGCCTCATCCAGCCTGGCCTTGAACCCCTCCAGGGATGGGGCATCCACAGCTTCTCTGGTCAACCTGGGCCGCTGGAAAACATCACCACCGCACAGGAAAACATTTCTTCCTAATATCTAATCTAAATCTCCCCTCTTTCAGCTTAAAACTGTTACCCCTCATCCTGTTGCTACACTCCCTGATAAAGAGTATAGAAATATAGTAAATAAGAGCTCCTTTGCATCTCTTATTTATATTCAGAAGGTGTGGTCACAACCCACCTATCACCTTCAGGCACACGGTCTCGGACACCTTGTCTGACTTCATGGTCACTGTGCCAGCATCCTCAGGCTTGACGTGCTTCATCGTCAGCGTGTAGCAATTGCCAACATTCTTGATGTCATTGAAATTGTTGGTGTAAAGGAGGGTGCCATTGAGGAACCATTCCACATCCTCATCGTCGTGGGACAGCTCGCAGGAGAAGACAGCAGAACTCTCTTCTTCAACTTCCACGTCCTGCAGGTGTTTGAGTACTTCTACATTGCGGGCTGTAGGAAACCAAGGTGCACCACCACCACTGTTACTATACATCGGTACTGTTACCACAAATAGATTTCATAGTGTTTAGAGGTTACAGGTCTGTCTCCTGTACACCATGGGTCATCCCATTTCATTTACTTGGTTCTGCATTTAGCCCAATGCAAAAACATCCATTAAAAAAGACTATGTTGTCTTGAGTCCTCAATTCTTTGTTTACATGTAAAACTGTTTTGCTTTTCTTTCTTTTTAATTTTAAAAATAAGTAATTCTTTCTAAAATGGCAATGACATTACAGTGATGCCACAGAGCTCCAATCCCTGTGTGCTTGTCACTGCACATACACACACACACATTATATTATCCCTGACTCACTGCCAGGGAAACACAGAGGATGAGATGAAGACGATGGGTTTGGCCACAAAAAGTACAAAGAGATTAAGCAACTTGGTCGGGTTTAGGGAGCAATAAGAATTGAATTATTTTTTTTCGTAGTCCTTGGCCAGAGGTTTCTCTTTGCAGCTTCTCCGTGCATGAAATGCTGCTTCTCAAGGACTAGCTAACTCAGAGGAGGGCTTGGGAGCATCAAATCATTTTGTTATTTGGATGACCCTCTGCAAGGCCCAGCTGTTACCAAGAGCTGCTCTCTGGACTTCTGGAAATGATTCAGTGGCTCGCCTCCAAGTCTTGCTGAAAGTGACACAGTGAATATCTTTTCTTACAGTTTCACCAGTGGTGAAGAACTGGCTAAAAATAGTGCCATAGCAGGATGAGGCAGAACATCATTATGACTAACGAACGTATAGCAGATATAAAAGCTGACACAGTGGTCAGGAAATTAAAACCACAACCAAGATCACCAGAATGAAAGGCCTGTAGCACTTTAACATAAAGAACATTTTTAGCAATAAGTACCAGAGTTCTAGTTCCACAGACGGAATGGAAAATAATGTGCCTTGAGAAAAAAAACACTAATTTCTGCCTTACCCAGACGGTGCCCTTCCACATGCATTATCTGCTTCATAGTAAATGCTGGATTTCAGTATCATGAAATATCAACAGAGTGCAGAATACAGTTAGTTCACTTAAGATACTACATTTATATAAAATCAGCAGAAGAGAACTCTGGGAATCTACCTCTACTCAAGAAGAGAAACCCAGAGTGAAATACTGAACCATAAAGATATCACAGAATCACAGAATGCTTTGGGTTGGAAAGGATCTTTAAAAGTCATCTAGTCCAACCCTCCTGCAATGAGCAGGGATGTCTCCATCTAGACCAGGCTGCTCAGAGCCCCATCCAACCCGACCTTGAATGTTTCCACGGATGGGGCATCTACCACCTCTCTGGACAACCTGTTCCAGTGTTTCATCACCCTCACTGTAAAAAATTTCTTCCTTATATCTATGCAACAGGCAAGCCTCCCTGCTGCAAACACTTGTACCTTCAACGGTCAGCGTGGCTTCGGTCTCTGCGTTTCCAGCCTTGCACTTGTACACACCAGCGTCTTCGGGCTTCACCTTCAAAATCTTGAGCTCTGCCGAATGCTGCTCCCGCTTGATTTTGTACTTCTCGGAAGGTTCAATGGGCGTGTGGCCCTTAAACCACTTCACAACCTTGGGAGAAGGCCTGAAGTCACAGGACAGGATGACTGAATGGCGCTCCAGAGCTGTCTTGTCCTCCATCTTCCTGGTGATCTGTATGTGATAATCTGGAAAGCAGGGTTGGGAAAGAAGAAAGGATGAGGACAATATGAAGATATTTCTAATCTGTATTTCATGCCAATTAATTTAATGTGTGTCGTTCTCAACTGTTTTGTGAACTGCTCAGATGATGCTACAGGTTTCTGTTACAGAGCTGATTTGCTTTGAGGCTAAAATGGCACGATGACCTACAGGGTATGCTGGTTTCTATAAGATAATACTGTATATTCACTACCAAATGCATTGGTCCAGTTCTGGTTCAGTGTTTTCTGAATTGCTCTTTAATTGAGGACTTTATGCAAGTAAAAGTTAATTAAAGACAAAACAAGGACTTCAGGATTTGATCGGAGATATTTGCTATGGCGACAGTACAAGATAAAAAGCCTTGAAGCTTTGTCCCAGATCAAATCAATGACAAAGGGATTAAGTAAATGAGCTATCAAACTTGTCTAATTCAGAAACAGGACAAAATAAACTCTCCTGGCAAATTTCATCTGTTTTGTCCTCTTTGGTAAAATCAAGAAAAAAAAAACAAGAACAAAAACAAAAAACTGTCTTAGCTCAATAGATTTGAATATCAGGATCTCCAAACTCATTTAACAGGATCCCTTCCTGAGACATCGCTGTCTCCTTTAGTGCAGCCACCATTGCACCCAAGAACTTGTAACTGGGAATTAAGCAGATCTTCCAGCTTGACACACATTTCCAAGACCCCAGCCAGTGGAGCCTGCACATTAGACACTATGTATGACTATGAAAAAATATTTTCCAGGGACAGTGAGAAGGATTTAATTCAAGCCAGGACACATCACATTACCTCTGACAAGCAGGTTTGCTGTGGATTTTGATTTGCCGATGGAGAACTGAACGGTGCCTGTCATATCAGCGCTGGTTTTCAGCAGTATCAGCCGGTGGACGGTGCCTTCTTGCTGCACGAGAATGTTTCCACCAGCCTGTAGGACTTCTCCACGTAGAGACCACTTGGGGGGTTTCACGGATGGAATGGATATCTCGCATTCAAACTTGGCTTCTTCAGGCTCTGTCACATCCTCGTCACACAACTCTTTTACAATGCTAATGGATTGCTCTGGAGGAAGGATGGAATAGAAAGCAGGGACTTAGGAGCCATGGAAGACCTCTTTCATTACTATCCTGAACTCCTGCTGTCTTTACTGCACTTGAATACTGCACTTACTGTCTCAAAGGGCCTTCAAACACCCTTTTATATGAAAACAAACATATATATTACTAGTCACAGGTCAGACAATGAGACTGTGACACAGCCTCGAGAGAATTCAGATCTCCTGATTCCCAGTCCTGTTTCTAAAGCCACTTTCCTATCCTGATATTAAACACTTGGCTCTATAAAATGGAAAAGAAGGTTCATTGAAATGCAGATACTGATGGTAGGGAAGCCTTTGGCTAGCTACAGCAGCTTTTCTCTGAACAACAAGCTTTCTCCAGTACATCTGATAAACTTCTCTGGAACAGGAATTTCCTTAAGAGAATGTACCATACATTCATTTTCCAGGATGTTCCTGCACTTGTAATCCGAAGAGAAATCAATATCAACAGACTTCAGAAGAAAACAAGATTGAATTAAAATACTTTCTGAGTGGCAATGTGTTTTCAAATGAATGACAAGGACTTTTTGAATCAGCAAATTTTCCTTCCAATGCGTATTAGAGGGAAAAAATGGCTTACTACCTTCAACAAAGAAATTAGCGCTGCTTTTGTCGTCAAAGGCATCACAAGTGTACGTGTCCTCATCTTCATAATCTGCATCATTGATGATGAGTTTCCGATAGACGCCCTCGCTCACAATTTCGTATTTATCACTGGGGTGAATTTCAACGTCCTTTTTATACCACTTGACTTTGGCATTGGCACGAGACACCTGGCACTCCAGGAATCCCCGATGTTTTTCAAGAGCGATCTTATCTCGCAAAGGCTTCACGATTTTTACAGGCAGCTCTAAAATGAGCAACAACAACAACAACAAAAAAAAAAACAACACTGAATAATCAGTACAAGTTCCATTAAAAGTGCCAATTAAAAACTTCATTAGCAACATTTCTTTTACATTGAGTTATTTGGATGATGACAGGAATCCCCACCATGCTTAAGCACTCAATGAGCACACAGCAAGTGAAGAGCTGATGAAAGGAGGATTTTTCATCCCTATTTTACTACTTGGATGGCTGAACTATGCAGATAACAGGTAATTTAGTCAACACTACACAGCAGTGTAGTGGGAAAGCCAGGGACTCATCTCAGATTTCCTAAGCTCCTCAGAGTGTTAATTCAAATGTCTTCCTTCTCTCTGTCTCTATCACACTGTTTAAGTTAAATAAAAAAAAAAAAAAATATTTTTAACCGTACACCAGAGAGAAAATACAGGAGAAAGTCAAGCTACAGCTTTTTGTCCCTCAAATTCAAACATGATTTTTAATGTCTTAAGGTACAAAACCAAACTCCTGCGAAAAAACCCCTGTGTTACTTAGCAAAAATAAATTTCCAGGCTGTAAGGTAGGGAGGAAGTTTTCTTTTTCTGAAAGCTTTAGGTGTTGTTTAACCTTCTTCACATTAAAAGTGAGGGAAGCTGTCTGGTTCACAGAATGAGAGAGCTTGAGCACTATTGGTGTGAAAAGCATAATTACCTTTTACAGTAAGCTGGGCACGAGATTCTGCTTTTTCTGCTACAAATTTGATCTCTGCTGCATCTTCGACTTGGACGCGCATGTAAGTCAGTGAATAGGTCTTTCCTGAGAACAGACACACAACCAGACATAGCTTCCCCTGAGCAAACACCTTCACTCTCCAATGCGCGCTGCCAGGTTGAGTATCACAGATTCACGAATGGTTTGGGTTGCAAGGGGGCTTGAAGATCATTGAGTCCCACCCCCCTGCCATGGGCAGGGACACCTCCCACTAGCCCAGGTTGCTCAAAGCCTCATCCAGCCTGGCCTTGAACCCCTCCAGGGATGGGGCATCCACAGCTTCTCTGGGCAACCTGGGCCACTGCCTCACCACCCGCACAGGAAAACATTTCTCCCTAATATCTCATCTAATCGCTCATCTGGTTCCAGTGCGTCACCTCCTGCTCTTGTGGCAGCAAGGCCAACCATCCCCCTGTGTCTATGTCCCCATATAAAAGGATAACATAACCTCAGCTCCTCCAAGGACTGGTTGAAAGTGGTCCCCACCACCTGGAAAGTACTTGAAACAGAAGGATCCCACCCACTGTCCGATGATACAAATTCCTACCCACTGCTGACAGCATGGGATGCTGGGGTGACACCAAATATTCACAGAATCATAGAATGGTTTGGGTTGGAAAGGACCTTAAAGATCATCTTGTTCCAACCCCCTGCCATGGGCAGGGACACCTCCCACTAGCCCCAGTTGCCATCATGTCACTGTCCCAGCCTAGCTGCAGCCACCCAAAAAAGGGGAATTCTCTGCTGAACTTTAACTCTGTTTTGGAGGTCAGACCCTTCTGCCTAGTCTCCAATACCAGCAGGTCTTCCGACCCACCCCCACTCAAGAATGAGATCCCCTTTTTCATCCTACCGTCTTGACGCATCCTAATATTGTCGGTAGCCTTCAGCTTGTTGTCGTTCTTGTACCATTGGGTTTGGACCTCATCGTGAGAAATCTCACAGGTGAAAGATGCGCTCTCATATTCGTTCACTTCCACATCTTCCAGTGGTTTAACAATCTTGATATCTCGGGCTGTGAAATCATAGAGACAAATATTTATTTGGGCTTTCTCCAAAACTGAGTGTGTTGTGTTCACCTTCTGCATGGGAAAAAAATTGGATTGTATTTTATTCTAGACCAGCCTCCTTCCCTGGGCAGTTTCTCTTTTTAACACAATAAAACCTTTTATGCTTGAACCTATGGGTAGAATTATCAGCTACAGGGGAGCTCACTGCAAGAGGATTTTATGGATGGCAGAACTTTATACAGGTTTTAAAAGAAGTTAAACATAGTAATGGAAAAATCTGCCAAGGAAAACTAAACACAAGCCTCCCATCTCTTGCATCACTATAACCCATCTCATCCATATGTGTCTCTGTGTGTTCTCCTCTTACTCCCTCGCTTCTGTGTCTGGACTGTACCAGCCACAGAGACCTCAGCCACATGTTTTACCTAGGACATACCTTTGCTTCAGAGTCCCTCAGTATAATGCTCTTTAACTCTGCAGCTTCGCATTGATTTATGTCGGCACTGACCCACATTTCTGTGCTACTGCAGCCCTTTCCTTTCCTGGATGTACCCTGGATCAGCCTCAGGACCCGAGCTCAGATACAAACCAGACATATTCGTTCACTTCCACATCTTCCAGTGGTTTAACAATCTTGATATCTCGGGCTGTGAAATCATAGAGACAAATTCAACAAAGCAATGGAACAGAACAGACGATCATGGAGATATTGCTGAACCCAAGCGGCCACATGAGGACAGCATCTAGTAAGCAATAAGAAAGAGCTGATGTGTCTTTTCAGATGCTCCTCTGGAAAAGAACATCTGCCAGGGCCCAGCAGACCTGTCCGTTCAGTAAGTGGACTTCTGCTCTAGCTTATCTCTGCTGCTTCAGAGCCTGGGGGCAAAACACGGCTGGTGCGGGACCAGTTGCATGGTGCCACTGAATCCCTGATTTGTGCCAGGCTGTCTGGTATTTGCTAACTTGCCAATCTAGAAACACCATTGGAATTCCAGAGAAGAGAAACCACTTATGAGAAATGGCAAACAAAGTTAGCACCGCTTCCACAAATTACTGCTCTAAGGATAGAGCAGCTCTGCTAGCGCTTTTCTCGTTAGGAAGAGAAAGTTATCCAAAATTAACAACCGAGAAATACGCAAACTGTCCACCAATAACTTCTTGCTGTGTAGCCAAAAATACTGCAGTAAATGTAATTTTCCACTTCAGCCAAACATACCATGAACCTTGAGGGTAGCAGATGTCTTGTCTCCAGCTGCTTCACACGCGTAGGTTCCCTGGTCTTCATATTCACACTTGTGAATAAGGAGACTTCTCTTATTTCCCTGGGAAATAATCCCCACTTTTTTACTTTGCCGGAGCTCTTTCCCATCCTAGAAGGGAAAAGGGCAAACCAGATCACCATCAGCTCTTCTGCATCTACACCAAGCAAAGCAAACATTCAGACCTGTCCTTAATTCACCTGTCTCACTTACTGGAACATATGCTGAAACTTAAGCACAGTGCAAAGTTTTCCAGAAGTAGAAATGGCTGAACGTGCTTAACTTTTTGGTTGACCTAAAATTTGAAGGCTTAAGGAACAGCACAGGGTTGGCAATAAGTCCCTTCAGACATTACCTTGCTGTTATCCACATTTAAGGAAAGTACCAGCTGAGCCTCAAGGAAGGTTTGTGAAGAGCCCTGAGCTGGTCTTCAAAATATTGTCAAATGACGGGGAACTGAGGCTTCAACTTAAATCCCAGTTCCCAACCAACCTATAAATCCTGGGTGAGGACTGCGAGGTGTGAAATAAAGCACCAGACTGCACTGCTCTCAACAGCAGCTCAGGAGTTCACTATAGACTCAAGAGAAGTTTGACTTTCAACCTGATAAACGCACCCAGTAAAATAAATAAGCAATGAACTGGGCAAGCAGAAGAACATAAGGACAAACGAAAAGCTGTATAGCAAAGGGTCAGACACACTGAGGAAGTGAAATTAAAGGCTCACATTCCCTTCCAGAGAAGTCAGAAATTGAAATACCATCCATCAAATGCTGTACCTTGAACCACTTAACATCCACGTTGGGCCTGGACAGCTCACACTCGAATGTGACCTTCTCCTTCTGAGCTGCACTGATGTCTGCCAAAGGTTTGCTGATTCTCACAGGCAATTCTAAAAAAAAAAAAAAAAAAGAGAAAGTGCAGTTAGTGGGGACTTAGGTCTCCAGGACAATCTGGCACAAGGAATAAGGAATAGGCAGAGCTTAGCTTCCATGTTTAATAAAACTTGTGACAACAAAATCCTCTTGCTTTGAGCCCATTATCATTGCTTATTCATGGGCAATGATGTTGCAATGATTCTGTTGGCGTTAGAAGGATACGTTACTGATGACGGTCCAGTGCTGAACATCCCATGCAGTTACAAGGAAAGCTTGTTGCTCTCTTAAAGGCTTGCTCTCAGGGTCAGCAGAAGACAACCATGTCCCACAGCAATGAGAGCCTGAGACTTTTGGGTCCGTGTACCTTTCACAGTGAGCCTCCCTGACGAATGGATGCCATCAGCTTTGAAGGAGAAGAGTCCCGCGTCTTCAAGAGTCACCGAAGAAAGAGTCAGGGAATGTTTCTTCCCCAGGACACCGATGCTAATGTTTGCTGAAGGCTTCAGCCGAACGCCATCCTTCTGCCAGGTCCCTTCCACGTCCTCGTGTGACACCTCCACCTCGAAGGTGACGGTCCCTTTCTCAGAGACTTCGATGGGCTGCAGACCTTTCACCAGCTTGATCTGCCTCACTGGAAAACAACACAGACCAGTTGGAGATCTCTGCCAAGAGCTGTGAAACAGCCCAAGGACTTCCAAAATTGATTATTTCCTATTGCTCATGCAGGTACCTGCCAATTAAACAACCAACTTTGCAGGAAATAAAAGCTACCCCATAATGCTGGTATTTAGACTGGGACCACGCTCCCGGTGCTGTACAACAAGAGGGATGTTGCTGAAAAAACTTATTCCTCAGGCATGATTCAAAAGAAAGAAGACAGTCACTAGAGATTAACAGAATATAAAGGAATGAACAATATTGTGCAGCTCTTCAACTGCAATAAAACAGGGGAGGGAGGGAAGTGAGAGGAAAAAGCTTTTAGTAAAAGGAAAAAAAGAAATCCACAGCGTAATGTGAAGTGTGGTGACACCTCATGGTTTGGGGACAAAACATCCACCTTTTGGGTGGATATCACCTGTTGCCACTACACATCAGTGACATCAGTGCCCTACCAGCCAGTAAAATGGATTTAGTGTTTAAACTTGACTCATCATTAAAAGAAACTAAGTCATTAAATTGCCATAAAAAAAATCCCAACCCTCTAGAAAGCCATGAATGACTCACAAAAACCTTCAACGCTCTGTGGGTCCCCTGGGAATATTTTGACCCTCCCAGTGCACGTTTAACAGAGATAATCCCCATTCAGCCAGGATCTGAATGCAAATCGGAGCAAGAATGGATCATGGGCTCTGTTCTCTGCTCTTGGTTCCTGGGCTGAGGACACCACGGTCTCTCTGAGACCCAAACATCTCCTGATGGAACCTGCCCCTGTGACACATGGGGGACAACAGGGAACAAACTCTTTCTCCAGAGGTCCCACAGAGGTGATATGGGTAGACTACGACTTTATCAACAAACTGGGTAGAAACTATGACTTTATGAACAAAGTTAGACCAAGCACCAAACTGAAGTTTTTCTGAGGAGATAGCGAAAGGGACTTGCAAAAGCATTAATTAAATAGCATAACAGTTTCTAGCTCAGTAAGTGGCCTCCTGGATATATCCTCACCTGGTGTTGCATGTAGGACTGAAAAAAAAAAGAAAATCACTTTGCAAAGATCTGCTCATTATAAAGCAGCAACAGTTGGGGAACGGTAGAACTTTTACAGGATTTATTTTAATAGGCAATATTTTGTGGCCAGGGATTTGACATATACTCATGTTCCCCATATAATTTCTGCTATAATTAATTGACCTAATTATGCTTTTCCCTGCTGAAAGCTTAGGGGTGTACCAGAGGAAGGATCACTTTACCTATGACTTACTTATTTAAGTTTCCCACAAACATCTCCTCCTGGTCAAAACTGAAAATAGATATTCAGCCAGATATGTTATTGGTCTGAGCAGCTCAGTTGCTTTTAGGATCTCCTGGCATCTTAAGATCAGAACAGATGCTTATCCTCTGATGAAGCCACTTTCACACTAGAGTAAATCAACAGATTTTTCATATAGCTATTCCTTATTTACCTTGCTCTGAAAGCAATCTCAAACCAAACAGTATCAGTCCAGCTTGGTGTTTTTTTTTTTTAAAAAGGTCCTCTGAAATCAGGCTACTTAGCTTAAAGCTGAGCACCAGATAATAGTAGCTCAATTCCCCATCTGTGAGCACTTAAAGAACTCCTGATGACCCCAATATAAGTTCTAACACATTCTACTAAAAAGAGGCGATTTGCTTAAACGCTAAAAAATGGAGCATAGACTTCTACTTTCAGAGTTTTGTTTTCACCATAAAGCAGTGTGAGAGCTTGGTGCCGTCTCAGCTGGAGGGCTTGGGTGCTGAATACATATAGTCTATTTAAATTCTTATATATGACCCCTTTCCTGCTGCATCTCGTAACTAAGGCTTGGATGATCACACAGAAAAATAATTCCCTGCTGTAATGAGCTGATTTCCTTTATGATCATGGTTGTTCTCAAGTCACCTTGAGTTTCCACCACTGCATGGAACTACCTCAGCTCATCAACAGAAGAGCTACTTTGTCCAGTGACACTAAGCATAAGTGATAAGACTGCAGCTGGGTGCCTGGAAAGGACAACCCAAAATCATCTCTCTCCATCTGAATAGGAAGTTTTTTTTAAACCAGAGACAGACACACATTTATGCTTGCATGGCTCACCTTGTAAACAAACACTGTTGACAGCTATCAGGACTACCCAATTATTTCCTGTATAAACACTCTTCCATCATTTTTCTTTTTTCTAACTTGGCTATAGCAACAGCCAGTGCCTAAAACCAGGTGTAAATGAATCTACAACCAACTGGTGAAACATCTTGCTGGAAGGAAAGTGTTATATGTCTTTATCCTCTGTGGGCACGGTTCATCCCGTTTAACTGAGACACTAAATCTACTTCTAAATCAGGGTCACAGTCACCCATGGTTCCCTGAATACGCAGAAAGACACTCCAGAGGGCAATTCAGTTCATCTAAGACTGAAAACACTCTCTGGAGGGCTTTTTTTCTCTCTGTTGGCTACAGAAGGAGCTGAAAGTGATGTGCTAGCTTTAGGCTGTGTGAATCAAAGCCCAGTCTAATGGTAATGTCTGGTGTTTTTTTTCTAGAGCTATTCAGTTTGGAAAAAAGATGGGCAACTGCCAACTGAAGTGATAAATGCCCTGTATCAGGACGTTAAAGCGGTGGGGTTTTGACAACTGTCAGCTAGGAAGATTTTGAAGATGAAGCTGACTTAGCAGCACATTTAGAGCACAAACCGTGCTCTGATTGAGACAGTCTGCCATCAGTTTTTGTTCTCTTTGATACCATCAGAAGACCACAATATTATAAGGCTGGAAAGATCTAGAAAAATCATCTAGCACTTCCCTCCTGCTCCAGGACACACTCAGCTCTTTGGGTCATCCCAGACAGATATTTCACTAACCTTTCCTTAAACCCATGATGGAGGCTCCAAAACCTCTCCAGACAACCTATTCAGTCATCCAACCATTAAAAAGCTTTTTTATTTTATAACCTGGATCTTTTTTATTGCAATTGAAGTCCATTATTTCCTGTCGTTATTTCCACATGGAGAACAGATTGTTCCCTTCCACTTTGTAACAGCCTTTTATGTACTTGAAGTCTGTTATCAAGTCCTTCCTTACCTATTATTTATGACCTACACAACACCAGTTGGTGGCAGGGGCTTTCCAGGAAAAATTAGATAGCCCTTAAGTGCTCTAAATCCTGTCTTCATCTATCCGGTAACAATCATGACAAAAGGATGTAGGAAAAAGGACAGAAGTACAGGGCTGCAGCTGAGACACCATTAGCTTACTTGAAAGGGCAACATCCTGAAGTAGAAGATCTGCTTTTGTAGTTTTTCCAACCCTGACTGAATATAAAGAGACATTCTGAAAGAGGTGCTTTGCAGGGAAGAATTAGGGCAATGAATGGCTGAAGAGGGAATGGTTTGGTAAAGGCCGTAAAAAGTTAAAAACACAGTGTGCCAGAGAGTGAGAAATTTCAGAGGAAGGAGAAGAATCAGCTAAGAAGCTTAACGGTCAACAGCATGACTGAAAGCTGGTGGGATGAGATGGAGGCAACAGGAACCAAGCAGCCGTTCTGTTTACTGCCCTCGCTTCCACCTTCTCTCAGTCAATTGACTGGTGGCCAAGCCCATGGTTGTGTCCCTGTGTCCCCATGGCAGTGGGAGTGGCAGTGGCCATTATGGGAATGGAAGAGACCGGAATCCACCTTCAAACTCTGTCCAAGGTATTTATAGAACTGGAGACTGTTCAACTTACTTTCCACATTGATCTTGGCTTGGGTTTTGTCGTCAGGACTCTCGCAGCAGTAGAAGCCCCTGTCTGCAAAGGAGATGTCCTTAACTACCAAGGTATGCTTTGTCCCCTCAGCTTTGATCTCTATTTTTTCGCTGGGCTTCAATACGATGCTATTCCTCATCCACTTCACTTCTGCAGGTTTGGTCAGCTCTACCTCCAAGGTCACTGTGTCCCTCTCTTCAACTGTTCTGGGCTCCAGTTTCTTCTTGAATGAGATTGAGGCCTCTGCCAAAGAAGAAGAAATATTAGTAAGAATGTAAAGGATCCAGAAAATGGACTTTCAAAGAGAATTAAAATGGTGGGTCATGTATCTTCAGTCCCAGTTCATTCCAGGCATCCATATTTAATGATACAAAAGTGGAATTTCATGACTGCTAACATGTGCCCTCGTGGCCAGGAAGGCCAATGGCATCCTGGGGTGTATCAGAAGGGGGGTGGTCAGTAGGTCAAGAGAGGTTCTCCTCCCCCTCTACTCTGCCCTGGTGAGACCGCATCTGGAATATTGTGTCCAGTTCTGGGCCCCTCAGTTCAAGAGGGACAGGGAACTGCTGGAGAGAGTCCAGCGCAGAGCCACAAAGATGATTAAGGGAATGGAGCATCTCCCTTATGAGGAAAGGCTGAGGGAGCTGGGTCTCTTTAGCCTGGAAAAGAGGAGACTGAGGGGTGACCTAATTAATGTTTATAAATACGTGAAGGGTGAGTGTCAGGAGGATGGAGCCAGGCTCTTCTCTGTGACAGCTAGTGATAGGACAAGGGGCAATGGGTTCAAGCTGGAACATAGGAGGTTCCGCTTGAGTATGAGGAAAAACTTCTTTACAGTGAGGGTGACAGAGCACTGGAACAGGCTGCCCAGAGAGGGTGTGGAGTCTCCTTCTCTGGAGACATTCAAAGCCCGCCTGGATGCGTTCTTGTGTGATCTGATCTAGGTGTCCTGCTCCGGCAGGGGGATTGGACTAGATGATCTTTCGAGGTCCCTTCCAATCTCTAACATTCTGTGATTCTGTGATTCTGTGTGATCAGTCAGAGGGATGGCCACATAAAACAACACAGGTCATAGCATCAGTGACAGCTTCTCAAAGGGGTTTTTTCTGCCTCTTACCTCTGACTCTGAGGTTGGCTGTGCTTTCGACACCCTCAGCATTGGCAGAGATTTCACCTGCGTCTTCCAGCACCAGGTCAGTGATGGTGAGGCTGTGGTTGGTGTCCTTCTGCGAGATCACATACTTCTTGCTGGCTTCAATCTTGACACCATTCCTGAGCCAAGTGACCACAGCGTCACTGGGAGAGACGGTGCACTTGAACACAGCCTCTTTTCCTTCCTCAGAGACCACGCTGTTGAGACCCGTAACGAATTTCACCACTCTGGGAGCTGATGGATAGGAATAAAACATTTAGGAGCATGTCTTTAAGACATGTCACGAGCAACTTCAAAGAGCCAAGAGGTTCAATGATTTTATCAGAAGCATCAATCTTTCTTACAGTAAGTGATTACAATAATGGATCATCATGTGTCCCATCTCTGAGTAAGTTTTGTACATCATAGTATCATAGAAAGGTTTGGGTTGGAAGGGATCTTAAAGACCATTGAGTTCCACCCCCTGCCATGGGCAGGGACACCTCCCACTAGCCCAGGTTGCCCAAAGCCTCATCCAGCCTGGCCTTGAACCCCTCCAGGGATGGGGCATCCACAGCTTCTCTGGGCAACCTGGGCCACTGCCTCACCACCCGCACAGGAAACAAATTCCTTCTAATACGTAGTCTAAATCTGCCTTTTCCAGTTTAAATCCATTACCCCTCATCCTGTTGCCTCCCCAGCTTTCCTGTAGGCCCCCCTACATACAGATGCCAGAAGATAGAAGCAAAGAAGGGGGGCAAACCCTGTCTTAGATTTGGCATACTTCCAGCCTCCAATGCAATATGAAGGTCAATTTGCCCACATATTAGGAGACCTGATCTCAACAGGTCCCAGAATCAGGTTATTCTTCAGCAATGGAGGTTCCACTGACATTCAGACAGCACAAACCTACGAACAAACTCAGCTTTGCAGGGTTGTAACGGCTGAGGATCCCACCACGTTATCACCATGCTTCTAGAGACAATACCTTTGGGGGTGACGGTGATGCTGCTCTTGTCATCTCTGGACTCACAGGAGTATTCTCCCTCGTCCTCAGCCCGGATCCCTGTTATTGTCAGTGTTCGCTTGACCCCTTCCTCGTGAATCTGGAAACGCTTGCTGGGCTTGATCTGAACCCCGTTCCTGCGCCACACCACCTTCCCCTTGGCATGGCTCACGTCACAGGTCAAGGAGACGCTGCCTCCGATCTCAGCATTGACAGCTTCAAGTTTTTTGGCAAACTTTACGGGGATTTCTGAGAAGGAAAAATGATAAAGGAAAAGATAAGGAACCTCTTCTAAGGAACCATTCCTGACCAATGAAAAAGGAAAAGGAAAAGGAAAAGGAGGAAAAGGAAAAGGAGGAAAAGGAAAAGGAGGAAAAGGAAAAGGAGGAAAAGGAAAAAGCAAAGGAAAAGGAAAAAAACAACAGATTTGGGGCTCAGGGAAGACAGAAACAAACTAGAAAGTTGGAAATTTAGGGAGATTCCTTTGACATGGAATTTTAATATCATTATGATTCTGTAAAGCAAGAACAGTGCCTTGAAACAGGATGGGGATTTGCCCTCCTTTCTTTCTAAGTTCATACCCGATGAGACCATGAGGTGTTTTACATCAGAGCCTGATTTGCCTGACTAATGCCATCTCATGACATTTGCCTGACTGTGATGGGTTAGCCCAAGAGAAACACCCATCACAGCTTCCTCCTTCCCCTGAGTGGCCAAAGGACAAAAATGGGGTATTTGGAGGCAGGAGAACGTTGCTGACCCAGGGTGGGGCAGCCACAGCAATTCCAGCCTTGAGGTTGGAATAGTTTTAGAAAGAGTTTGGACTTGATCTCCATCCTGCCATGGGGGAAATGGAGCTGTTGGGTTGGGACACGACCTGTGCACTGCTCTCTTCTCACCTTTCACTTGTACTTTGAATTCCTGCTTGTCGCCCTTTGTCTGGCAAGTGTAGACGGCAGTGTCTGAGCTCTCAGCCAGGTTCACCATCAGGGTCCTGGATGCCCCCTCACTCTTGATCTCATGTTTCTTGCTTGCCTTAATTTCTGTTCCATCCTTGAACCACTTTACTGGAGCAGTTTCAGGCATTACTGAAGTAGTCAGTGTGATGCTTTCATGTTCTTGAACAATGAGGGGCTCTTTCTGGACAACTTTCTTTTCAAATTTAGCCTCTGGTTCTAGGAAAGATGTTAAAATAGGAAAACTATTAACTTAAATCTCAAACACAGCAATTTTCTATTACCCTCTCTTCATGACTCACAGCACCAGATCATCCAGAATCTGCAATAAACCACAGAAAGTGGCTGAGTATTTGTGACTGGTGTCATCTCTTGCTGAGCAGGAAGAAAGAAAATGATCTGTCAGGCAACCCAGAGCTGCTCCTTAGAATAGAAGCAAAGGAAAGGGAAGGAAATGCAAATATATATTTTATCTCCTGCCCACAAAAAAGCTTGTTTCTTAGGAGTAAGATGACCTGTATAATTATTTCTTCTCCCATTTTTAAGACTTTAGATCTAATTATGAAGAAATATTAATCCACTAAACCTGAGTTTATGGTCTATCTTCTTTTCTGCTTGCTCTACTCCCTTTCTCTTGGATTCTTCTCTCTCTTGTACAATGCTTTGCCACAAAACTGGGCAGTTTTGGGGCACACACAGCAGCAGACCAGCTTCTCTTAGTCACCTTTCTCCATAGCTCTATTTTGCCTCTTCAAAAATTCCCACTTCTACTTTCAGCTCCCCACCACTTCAAAAGGTTGGGTGATGGGGTGCGTGAAGGATACACTCAACAAAAAACTATATAGCATTTTCACAGCCCCCCCCAAAAAAGAGTCTTCGGCCAAATTTCCCACCTCCACACTGCTAGATTTAAAAGGTCAAGTTAATGTGTGACGTCCTGGGTGAGTCCTCACCAGTTGCTTCCAACTTGAAGGTCATCTTCTGGCCTGCAGCCTCACAGATGTATTCTCCAGCGTCTTTCTTCTCCAGCTGCTCTACAACCAGGCGCCGGGTTTTGCCCACAGTTTCTATTTTGAATTTTCTGGAGGAAGCGAGCAGTCTTCCATCCTTGTACCATTTCACTTCGGTTGCATCCTGTGCTACCTCGCAGCTGAAGGTGGCACTTTCTGTCAGGGCAGCTTTCACCTCCTTCTGGACTTTTTCCTGGTTTATAAACGCAGGTTTTGGCTCTGCATATGGAAAAGGAAGAAAACACTGACTGAGGGATTAAAATGAGAGCAGTCTTACAGATTTCTGTGCAGGCACTTGGAAAACATCCAGGTTGCCACTTGCCAAAACCAATTGCCTTCACTGGGCAATATCTACCCTTCTGTGTGACCAAATCGCAATGTGGAAACCACGGAAACACGAGCCTAGGGATGGAGAGGACCAAGAGGGTCCTTGACATCAGTCCCATGGTTGCAAGTCGCCCTGCAAAAAACACATAATTCTAACATTCCTCAAAGAACATCTTGTCCTGAATATCACCAGGCTATTGTTTGCGGCATCAACGCCCCCTTTAGCATCATGTGCTTAAAGCTGTTTGGGTACCTCATGAATCCTGTTCCAAAAAAACAAATGCTGGGAATCCTTCATGACAAAGGGACACTTAGCACCTGGCAGAAGTAGGAAGGCATCTCAGAAGGCTGAGACATGAATGGGACAGATCTGAATAATATATTAATTATTATGTCTAATATCTTTAGATCTGCATTTATTATCTAGACAAAGATAAACCTTTGTGCCATCATAGAGCCAAATATTCCCATCTCTACAAGTCCAGGCAATCAGGTACAGAAAACCATCTGAACCTTACAGGGTGCAACAAAGCCCAGAGTATTGCAACTGAGTGATTGTGTAACAGTTATTACAGGAATTACTTTATTATCCTCTACTGTAATTCAGACAAGATATGTCTCTCACCCGTGACATCAAGCTTGAAGGTCAGTTTCTGGCCAGCAGCCTCGCAGGTGTACTCCCCAGCATCTTTCTTCTCCACCTGACCCACCACCAGCCGACGCGATTTGCCCTCCGACTCCACCTTGAACTTCTTGCTGGAGGTGAGCAGCTTCCCCTCCTTGTACCATTTCACATCCGTCTTCTCCTGGGCCACCTCGCAGCTCAGCGTGGCGCTTTCTGATAGTGCAGCTTTCACCTCCTTCTGGACCTTGTCCTTGTTTGTAAACACAACTTCTGGCTCTGAAAAGAGAGAGAAATTCAGAGTGTATTCAAGACACGGTGTTGCTTATCACGGCTTACAGGTAACACTGGAAACCAAGCTTCTGACTTGGCACTGCACATCTAAAGCCATTGGTAGAACATAGAAACTGTTTTGTAGTGAGTTTTTGTGCTTTGTTTTGGGTTTTGAGGGCACACGTTGGACAGGCACCCTACCACTCTTCACCATGACTCTCCTCTGAAATTCACTGAGAATCACCCGCATTGCAGAGCTGTTCTGGTTGCACCAACATGTGGGGGTGGACATGTGGAATCGGTACTTTCCTTATCACAGCCCTGTTCCTACAGAGATGGGAAGCTCTCAAAGTTTTTCAAGGATGGAACTCCCTGTCTTAAACATTTTATACTGTTTTACATATAAGACATATAATAAAATTCATTTTTCTAAATATTCCAAAAATAGGAAAGCTGGGCCAAACAATCTTCTCTCACCTGTGACATCAAGCTTGAAGGTCAGTTTCTGGCCAGCAGCCTCGCAGGTGTACTCCCCAGCATCTTTCTTCTCCACCTGACCCACCACCAGCCGACGCGATTTGCCCTCCGACTCCACCTTGAACTTCTTGCTGGAGGTGAGCAGCTTCCCCTCCTTGTACCATTTCACATCCGTCTTCTCCTGGGCCACCTCGCAGCTCAGCGTGGCGCTTTCTGATAGTGCAGCTTTCACCTCCTTCTTCACTTTGTCTTTGTTGGTGAAAGCATCTTCTGCTTCTGGAATAAAGGGCACATGGGCAGATTTAGAAAATTAATCTTTCACACACACAGCCATTCCCAAATGCACACATCAGTCTTTGGATTGAAGATGGATTTCCCATTCACATTCCCTGCCAACACTGTCAACTGAATGTTAACATTTGAATTACATCAAGCGCCAGTGAAGGACTCCTTCCTGGTAGTCCAAGACAGCTTAGGTGGCCCAAAAGTTGCTTTCATTTGCACCACTGTCATTCTCCCAAATCTGCAGTAAATCATTTCACATACCCCAATGTCCAGCAGCACACCGGTGGACGCAGTCTGTAAGAAGTCTGTTTGCTGAAAGGGCACAAGCATTAAATTGTCCAAACAACCCAAGAGCTGCAATTTGCCCTGCCAGCAAAAGCACAGCTAGTTTTGGGAAACAAACTTTGTGAGCCTCTTCTGTGTCCACATCTTTATTTTCCAAATGTCCCAAAGATGCATCATCCCAGAAAAAATTAAAATTAGCCAGTCCCCATGATATTTCCTTAGCACTGCATCATGTGAGAATCAAAAAGCAATCTAATATATGAACTCCTCAAGTTGCTTGAAATTCATTAAGATCCAACTGCCAGGTGTCAGGGTTAAACCTTGTTCTTGCTAATGTCATGATGAAGAAACATGGTTTCCTCAGCTACTGCTTCTGAGACCGGTTCTAATATTTCCTTTTAGTTGTCAGAAGCCATAATAAAAAAATATTTCCTCCATAATAGACACATTATTTAAAGAAGGAGCATCACACAAGAGAACGCTGGTGCTCAGAAGGTTTTCTTTGTCCTTTAATTTCCCCTGAAATTATTGAATTCTCATTTTACCATCAGTGCACCTCCACCAGATTCCCAGGGAAACTCCCCAAAGATCTTCAGCTTGCCCTGGGTCCGGTCTACAGAAATCCACTGCATTCTTGGTTTTCAAAGAAGGGGGACAGCTCTAATAGTTTTAACACAATTGCATGAGTAAACCAGCAGAATTTAAATACTGGCTCCATCACTGCCTGCTGAGATGGAATTTGACAAGCCATGTCATTTTCTCTGCAATATTTTCAGCATGTAAAAGAGGGATACAACAAAATCTCTCACCCGTGACGACAATCCTGAAGGTCAGTTTCTGGCCAGCAGCCTCGCAGGTGTACTCCCCAGCATCTTTCTTCTCCACCTGACCCACCACCAGCCGACGCGATTTGCCCTCCGACTCCACCTTGAACTTCTTGCTGGAGGTGAGCAGCTTCCCCTCCTTGTACCATTTCACATCCGTCTTCTCCTGGGCCACCTCGCAGCTCAGCGTGGCGTTTTCTGATAGTGCAGCTTTCACCTCCTTCTTCACTTTGTCTTTGTTGATGAATGCATCTTCTGCTTCTGTCAGGTGGGACAAACAATTTTTTAAAAAATCACACGTATGTTCACACTGTCCAAAATGTTCACAACCAAATGCAAAATCCTGCTTATGTCAACTTCCACAGCTCTCTCATTCTGGAATGGTCCCACCCACAGCAAATATACACTCATACGGGACACAGACCTCTGTACAGCCTGAGGACAACACATCAGCCTGTTTTGAGCAAAATGAACCAGTGCCCCAGGATTTTGGCTTATTCTCATCCCCGTCGTTCCACCAGACACCTGACTTTTTGTTCCTTAATGAAATGCACATATAGGAACCCAAACTCATCAGCCACTAGGACTCCAGTGTTTGTCTTGCCTGCTATTGATACTTCCTGAGCATGATTCCAGAACTATTTTACTACACAACTGGGAGCTGACCCTATCTTTGTCCCTATAAATCACAACAGCATACATAGAATTGTTTAATTTTCCTTAACTGGGCAAACAGAAAACAGCAAGGGCTCCACGGTGGAATTCATCTCACAGATGAAGACAACTGGCTCGAGGCATCTGTGTGACAGGGGATGCACGTAAGCTGGCCGCCTGATCAATGCCACTATGCAACAAAGATCTAGGCTGCACAGACACTGGAGCCTAGAGAGGGATTCATTTTGCTCTGTAGTCAAGGGGACTCATGAACCTTTCTGTAATGAGAGCCAACACATCTCCCACCTGTGACATCAAGCTTGAAGGTCAGTTTCTGGCCAGCAGCCTCGCAGGTGTACTCCCCAGCATCTTTCTTCTCCACCTGACCCACCACCAGCTGACGCGATTTGCCCTCCGACTCCACCTTGAACTTCTTGCTGGAGGTGAGCAGCTTCCCCTCCTTGTACCATTTCACATCCGTCTTCTCCTGGGCCACCTCGCAGCTCAGCGTGGCGTTTTCTGATAGTGCAGCTTTCACCTCCTTCTTCACTTTGTCTTTGTTGATGAATGCATCTTCTGCTTCTGTCAGGTCCTCTTTTGCTTTCTTTGGGGGGGAAAAACAATATAAAAAAAAAAAAAATCACACACATGTTCACACTGTCCAAAATGTTCACAACCAAATGCAAAATCCTGCGTATGTCAACTTCCACAGTTCCATCATTTTGGTATGGTCCCACCTACAGCAAAGATACACTCAGACAGGACATGGCCCTCGCTACAGCCTGAGGACAACACATCAGCCAGTTTTGAGCAAAATGAACCAATACCCTAGGAGTTCAGCTTCTTCTATCCCCGTAGATCCACCAGAAATCTGACTTTTTGTTCCTTAATGAAACACATATAAGAACCCAATCTCATCAGCCACTAAGACTCCAGTGCAAGCCTTGCCCACTCTAGGTACTTCTTGAGCATGATTCCAGACCCATCTTCCTGCACATCTGGGAGCTGACCCTACCTTTATCTCTATAAATCACAACAGCATACATAGACTTGATTAGTTTTTTTTTTTACTGGACAAGCAGTAAACAACAAGGATGGCTGAGTGGGATTCATCTCACCAGTGAAGACAACTGGCTCGAGGCACCTGTGTGACAGTGGATGCACGCAAGCTGGCTGCCTGATTAATGCCACTACTCAATGTAGATCTGGGCTACACAGACCCAGAGTCTAGCTCTACACTGATCTTAGAGCCTAGAGAGGGATTCATTTTGCTCTGTAGTCAAGGGGACTCCTGGACCTTTCTGTGATGAGAACCAACACATCTCCCACCTGTGACGACAATCCTGAAGGTCAGTTTCTGGCCAGCAGCCTCGCAGGTGTACTCCCCAGCATCTTTCTTCTCCACCTGACCCACCACCAGCCGACGCGATTTGCCCTCCGACTCCACCTTGAACTTCTTGCTGGAGGTGAGCAGCTTCCCCTCCTTGTACCATTTCACATCCGTCTTCTCCTGGGCCACCTCGCAGCTCAGCGTGGCGCTTTCTGATAGTGCAGCTTTCACCTCCTTCTTCACTTTGTCTTTGTTGATAAATGCATCCTCTGCTTCTGAAATAGGGTAATATTAGGGAAAAAGTACATAAGGTATAAATGACTTGTGAGAAGAAGATATTACAAGTATTTTGTGTAGGTGCTCTACAGGATCATTTCTTTTAAGTAACATTGTTTTGCAGTTCTTTCTATCACATAGAACAACGCACCCTCTAAACATCTTCCATGTAATTATCATACCTCTCTGACTACTTTTCACAAACAGTTTAAACACCTAATTTTCATATTTCTTATAATGAAAGCAAAACTCAATTTCCTTCTTTGTGTCTTTATGATGTTTCCACACCCCACATTTGGAACTATCCAAATATAGCACAACTATGAGCTGCCACCATCACTATCACATTATTTACAGGACTTTACCAGCATCTCGGGATTTTAGATTAAGACTGAATGTTGTTCAGAGAATATCTTGTATCTCAATCCCAAAGAAATGACAAAGATACAGTTCTTAATATGGAAAACTACTTGGCCTATATTATACATAAAACTGGCCTATAAAAATGGAAGTACACTTTTCTTTCCTCTGAAATGTCTAATTTTTCAGAAGACCGGCCAAAGGGAATCTTCTCTTAACACTCATCACGAGCAATAAGAACGAATTGTTTAAAATCACTTTCTTCCACAGTATCTAAAACTTCCAACTCAATGAGTAGAGTTGGCATCAAAGAATATTGTGTGCAACTAGTAGGTAGGTAGGTATATGCATTGAAAGGATTCAGTTGTCACCTTGCTAAGTAGGACTGACTGATAAATTGCTTCTTTCACAGATTGATTGTTTTCCCTGCCTCTCCTTTTACCAACAGCTGCTGTGGTCGCTGATAGCTTTTATATTACATTTGAAATATGGGAGGACAAATAGACCCTAAATAAATGGGCTGTCACATTTTTTTTCCACCAATTCACCCTAAGAAATAACAGCACAAGAAGTGTAAAATAGTTCTGGTGTGCCTACATGATAGACATCACATCACAACCACCGTCCTTTACTCCTCCTTGAAGACTTTTTCCTCTGCATATGGCCTCTGTCATGTCTGTCCTCGGAGTGGTGGCAGATGCCTGGGAGGATCGGGAGGAGGGTAAGCTCAGGTCGAGCCCCTACACCGCTGACGGTGGCACGACACGCAATCCCGGGAGCCATGTCATGGGCTTGCCATCAATGTTGCACAGTCCACGGAAAGAGAGAAGTCCTGCAGGGAGCAAGCCGAAGCGGGAACCCAGCTTGTGTGCTCTAAATTTGAGTCCCTCTGTTTATGTTGGCTGTAGAGGGGGTGTAAGGAGGGGTCATGGTCATTAAGGTCTCATTAACAAGGTGGCATACACGGGCTATGCTGGGTCATGTAAAACTCCTCAAAGGCACAGGTCAGCCCACTGCAGGTTAAGCAGCATTTTGATATCCAAAAAAGCTCGAGCAACACCATGGTTTGCATTCAACGCTGGTTGCAAAAATATAAACACTTCGACTTCCATCTACAATTTGGACAGTGAATATGCAGGGTGCACTGAGAAAATGAGTTACAAGCCAGCCTGTGTCAATGGGTGCTGTATTCAAAACTTCGGTTTAGCAGAGCAGGAATATTCCAGGGGGTTACTCACTTGTCCTTTGCATTCTTACCCTTTAACATAAGACATTTTTTTTCAGTGATAGGAAATGTGACTAAAATTTTGAGTCAGCTTACAAAGTGATTTATATTAGCCAGTAATTTGCCTTAGAAACTGACTTTAAGGTTAAAGACGTATTCAGTGCAGATGACATTTCCAACCTCAGCTGGAACCAGTCAGTGAAGTTCCACTGAAACCCAGGAAAAACATTTTCAGGACATGGAGCTTTCACCAACTTCAAATAAGGATTTCCCTGCATGCCATGAATCTGGAAATCATGATATTTCAGAATCAGCTCTTTTGACTACATGTCTAGCCTGGTCCCAAGGTGTGCAGCACCTGCTGCTTTTTATATTAAGCCAAAAAGCTATAACTGCACCCCAATACTCAATGCTGAGCATCTCACCTTCAAGCTGTCCTTAAATAGGGAAGATTCTGTGCTACCCATGGAGCCCTGGAGCACGGGAACCCTGCAAATCTTTCTGGGTGCAATGGTAATAGGATAAATTAAGACCCAGAAAGCCAATGAACTTTGGGATAATCTAGTAAGATGAGGATTTCTGCAGCGAAAGAGCCAGCCACTCAGAGTACTCATAATCCCTCCTGACTTTCACACTAGATCGTTTTCCAGCGAGTGCTGGACTTGCATGTCATGTTACAGTTGTACACCCGAGGAATACAGCAACGGTCGCTAGGCAAGCAGCACTCCGCTCTTACGGCAGAGGGGAAAGGTGTTACATTACCCTGTGCAGCCGTGAAGTCATCCGCTTTGAACGAGAACAGAAGACCTTTGACTCCTGAGGCAAACAGCTAAGAATAGCCCTCAGCTGGAGGAATGCAAACGCAAAAGCTCCAGATTTCTGGGTTTTCTGGCTACACCTCTGCAGTTATGCAGGAACCTGGTTCACACCAATCCGTGCCGTGTTCTTTCTCTCAATGTCCATGTTGCATTTTCTCTGAAAGATGCCTGTCAAATCTAGCTTTACTGTACCCCAACCTTCATTGAAGCTGGCAGTTCATAGAATCACAGGATGGTTTGGGTTGGAAGGGACCTTAGAGATCATCCAGTTCCACCCCCTGCCATGGGCAGGGACACCTCCCACTAGCCCAGGTTGCCCAAAGCCTCATCCAGCCTGGCCTTGAACCCCTCTAGGGATGGGGCATCCACAGGTTCCCTGAGCCAAAAGCATGAGCTACACAATCCCTGGAGAAGAGCCAAAGTGCCCCACCTCACACCCCGCGTACCCCACGCAGAGTGGGGACACATAACAGCTGATGGCTTACAATGTTTGCTATGGAGAGCAGCAAAGGTTTATGCTAAAGAAGTTGCACATTGCACGTAGAAGACAGAGGGAGCAGGACACCTCAAGACAGTGGAAGAGCAGCAAAGACCTTTACAGGGGTACATCACGCGAGCTATGCCCTGCAAGGACTTCAGGTCTCCAGCATGGCTGAGAGCAGGAAAGTCAATAGACTCCCAACGCAGTTGCTCTTCTACATAGCTGATAAAATGCCAGAGTTCTGACAGCATGATGGTCCCAGAGTGTTTGATGCCGTAAGAAAGCAGAGGAGAAAATAGATTCCCTGTTCTGATCAGCTCAGAGTGAGAGACAAGAAATGTAATGTTAACAGAGAGGCATGTGGCTGGAGTGTTATCAGTCTGAGCAAAACCAAACCAAACCCTTTCTTATCATCCAGCTCAGAAATGGTCACTCGGAATGTAGCTGACATGTCCATGGCTTCCTGCAGCCTGAGGTAAACCTTACTGGACCTCTTGCAAATATACTGGGACCAAAGAAATGGCCAGTGTAGTCAGAGTGGAAGGACAGACTCAGTATTAAATCCACAGATTCCAAATCGTATTGTTAAGGAGAAAAATACGAATACAAATAAACATTCCTGGACTCATGACTGATCATTATAGATGTAGAACTTGCAATGAACAGTCATCATCTTTGGTTTCAGCAAGTCACAGATATGTGCAGTGCAGCTGATCTGAAATTTTTAGGACAATACACTATCATTAACTCCCAAACCATCTCAACACAGCCACAATAAAGTAGGGATCTTGAAAATGCTACTGTTTAAACATCGCTTGGTAGACAATTATTTGCCCCACTTCTCATAGTTTTACAAATCACAGTTGGATATCCAATGACAGCTGCTAATGAAAAAAGGTAAGGGAAGAGCTGAGTGAAAGGTTGGTAAATACAACCCATAATTCCAGTTGCACATATCAGTGTATATTTCTATACATCATCCACGAAAGTTTCACAGTGCACAGTTATGATGCTGTGTTCACATATATGTTTGCACAGTCAGACTGTGGAATAACTGAAGTAATCCTCTGGTTTGGGAGAGAGAACATGTAGAGGAGTGATGAAATAAAGAGGGAAGAAAAGAGAGACTTTTGTGAATCACTAAGCAATAACAAGAGGAGGAATCAAAATAATGATGATCGAATTGGAAGAGGCCCTTTACCACAGTTTCTGCTAATGAAAACTCTTGATTCACACTCTGACCCCCAAAACGACTAAACTGAGGAGCTGATGTCAAGATACCTCCATGTAACCAGTAGATCTGCCCAGTCCTACACAACCTCACTGAAAGGATAGCTTAGACCAACACCAGACAGTACTTTAACAGAATTTCTAATATTTTCACTGAGAAAACAGGATAAGACATCCAAGTATAAAGAAAAAGCAATGAAATATAAATCAAGATATGTCTCCAACCTGTGACATCAATCCTGAAGGTCAGTTTCTGGCCAGCAGCCTCGCAGGTGTACTCCCCAGCATCTTTCTTCTCCACCTGACCCACCACCAGCCGACGCGATTTGCCCTCCGACTCCACCTTGAACTTCTTGCTGGAGGTGAGCAGCTTCCCCTCCTTGTACCATTTCACATCCGTCTTCTCCTGGGCCACCTCGCAGCTCAGCGTGGCGCTTTCTGATAGTGCAGCTTTCACCTCCTTCTTCACTTTGTCTCTGTTGATGAAAGCATCTTCTGCTTCTGCAGCATGGGAAAAGCAATTTAAAAATCACCAGTATGTTCACACTGTCCAAAATGTTCAAACCCAAATGAAAAATCTTGCTAATGAAACTTCCACAGCTCTCTCATTTTGGAATGGTCCCACCCACAGCAAAGATACACTCACACAGGACATGGCCCTCGCTACAGCCTGAGCACAGCACATCAGCCATTTTCGAGAAAAATGAGCCAATGCGCCAGGAGTTTGGCTTTTTCCCATCTCTGACAGAAATCTGCCTTTTTGTTCCTTAACATAATGCACATATAAGAAACCAATAACATGTGCCACTGGGATTCATATGCAAACCTTGCCCACTTCTTGAGCAGACCTATTTTCCTACACATCTGGGAGATGACGCTACCTTGATCCCCATAAATCACAACAGCATATGTAATCTTCTTTAATGTTTCCTTAAAATTAGAAAACAACAAGCACTGCTGAGTGGGATTCATCTCATGGATGAAGACAACTAATTATGGACATCTGTGTGATAGGGATGCACGCAAGCTGGCTGCCTGATCAACGCCAGGACTCAATGGAAGATCTAGGCTACAGAGACACTGGAGCCTAGAGAGGGATTCATTTTGCTCTGTAGACAAGGGGACTCACGGACCTCTCTGTGATGAGAATAAAACACATCTCCCACCTGTGACGACAATCCTGAAGGTCAGTTTCTGGCCAGCAGCCTCGCAGGTGTACTCCCCAGCATCTTTCTTCTCCACCTGACCCACCACCAGCCGACGCGATTTGCCCTCCGACTCCACCTTGAACTTCTTGCTGGAGGTGAGCAGCTTCCCCTCCTTGTACCATTTCACATCCGTCTTCTCCTGGGCCACCTCGCAGCTCAGCGTGGCGCTTTCTGATAGTGCAGCTTTCACCTCCTTCTTCACTTTGTCTCTGTTGATGAAAGCATCTTCTGCTTCTGTGGGGTACGAGAAGCAATTTAAAAATTACAGGTATGTTCATGCTGTCCAAGAATGTTCATAACCAAATGTCCAATCCTGTTTACAAGACCTTCCCACACCTCTCTCAGTTTGGAATGGTCCCAGTCACAGCAAAGATACACCCAGACAGGACATGGCCCTCTCTACAGGCTGAGGAAAACACATCAAACATTTTTGAGCAAAATGAACCAATGCCCCAGGAGGTATGGTTCTTCTTATCCCTGTGGATCCACCAGAAATCTGACTTTTTGTTCCTTAATGAAAAGCACATATAAGAACCCAATCTCATCAGCCACTAGAACTCCAGTGCAAGCCTTGCCCACTCTAGGTACTTCTTGAGCATGATTCCAGACCCATCTTCCTGCACATCTGGGAGCTGACCCTACCTTTATCTCTATAAATCACAACAGCATACATAGACTTGTTCAGTTTTATTTTTACTGGGCAATCAGAAAACAACGAGAATGGCTGAGTGGGATTCATCTCACCAGTGAAGACAACTGGCTCGAGGCATCTGTGTAACAGGGGATGCACGCAAGCTGGCCGCCTGATTAATGCCACTACTCAATGTAGATCTGGGCTACACAGACCCAGAGTCTAGCTCTACACTGATCTTAGAGCCTAGAGAGGGATTCATTCTGCTCTGTAGTCAAGGGGACTCCTGGACCTTTCTGTGATGAGAACCAACACATCTCCCACCTGTGACGACAATCCTGAAGGTCAGTTTCTGGCCAGCAGCCTCGCAGGTGTACTCCCCAGCATCTTTCTTCTCCACCTGACCCACCACCAGCCGACGCGATTTGCCCTCCGACTCCACCTTGAACTTCTTGCTGGAGGTGAGCAGCTTCCCCTCCTTGTACCATTTCACATCCGTCTTCTCCTGGGCCACCTCGCAGCTCAGCGTGGCGTTTTCTGATAGTGCAGCTTTCACCTCCTTCTGGACCTTGTCCTTGTTTGTAAACACAGCTTCTGTCTCTGCAAGAAAGCCACAATACTCACACATAGCTTTTTGCCGTTGTCTTCTCCAGTGCTTAGCCAAGTTCCCCCTCTTTCACTGTACTTGCCCCCAACAGGTAGTATCACAATGGCCCATTAAGACAAGAAAGCACCTTCAGCTCTGTTTTGCTGATTGCAAGTGAATAGGTGTGTGGGAAATCTGGGATAAATTTTAAACAACCCACAATTTGAGCACACATTTGAAGCTGGGATGTTGGACCTCCAACATGCACTGCTGGAACCCTCCTCTCTCTTCTCTCTTTTTCTCTTCCTATGCCTCTCCAAGCTTCCAGTGGATCAGAGGGGAACAGCCTTCGCATCCTCACATCCAGGAACCATTGTTATTTTTCTGCTTATTTGGGTCGCTCCAATTCAGCCATTCTCCATCTAATCTGAACTCTTCAAACACCTCCCCCTTCCCTTTTACCTACCCCTGCACCTCTGCTATGGCCTCACACTTTGACTCTGCAGGAGTTTTTCTGCAGACACACCGGCTAATTTCAAGAGGTGCATAAGTGATCCTCCTTGCCCATTATTTTTTTGATGTTACAACTAGTCATGGATGCAAAAGTGCGTGTATAAAATGTTGATGTGACAGTTGGCTGCAAAGAAATTCCTGCGGCCAAAATATTTTGCCCTAGAGAGGTTGTGAGATGATCCTCCAAATGTCTTTAATTTTGGCATTTCTATCATTTTCTCACCTCTGACTTTGACTTGGAATGTGGTTCTGTCATCCTTCGTTTCACAGGTGTAGCTCCCTTGGTCTTGCTGTGTCACCTTTTTGATGATGAGCTTGCGGTGTGTCCCCTGGGAGATGACGCTTGTCCTCTGGTCCTGCTTTACCTCGGTTTGATCCTTCTTCCAGACCACAGCTCCGCTCGCGGCTGACACCTCGCACTCCAGCTCAAGGGTTTCAGAAGGACCGACTGATATTTCAGGAGTTGTTTTGGGCTTATTGACAAAATTAACAGCTTCATCTGGGAATAAAAAGGGAAAGCAGTCCATGCTTTGATTCAGGCTTATCATAGACATGGGTCTACGCCTACCATAACCATAACCAAAATCCACCTAACGGATGTGCATGAATTTTCTGTCCCCCTTTCAGGGGTCAGGCATGAAAGCTCTTGCAGAGCACAGACCAGGTGGTTTCTGTTACCAGAGCTGTACATGCACAGAGCCATGAGCAGAACCTGGCCCAACATCCTGAGACCATAAAGCCTGATGTGTACATCAATCCACTGCTCCTGTCTCATTGCTGACGCCCAACTTTCTCACAGATGGTGTAAACTCCTTCTCTGATCTTCAGATAATTGCTCTCAGTTACAGTGCGGTCACATTCATCTCTCCTACATCCTTCTGGATCTTTTAAATCAAGCGTAGATGCCCTCAAGCTGCTCACACTAATCATCACTCCTTGTTTCTGATTTCAAGAGAGCTCTAGGGAATATGTATTGATGCCTGGGTCCACAAACAGCTTTGAAAAGATCCAAGAAGTCTCACAGAATCTTGTTAGAAGTGATGAGGAGCCTTTTTACATGTTTCTGAACCCATTCCTGCAGCCCCACGTTCACATGATCAGTCCCACTGGACTAATTCTTCCCCAGATCAGATCAGGATACATATGGGATAATCTCATTGATAAGATACTCTCCAGCTTCAAGGGGACTAAGTTAATATGAGCCACTAGTGTCACATCTTATTGCTGAAACCAATTTTCACAGCAGAGAACTCACAAGCGCTCACAACTCATAGCTCAAGTAGTAGAAGTTCCTGCTTCAAGACCTCAGCTTCTGCTGACTGCACAGGCTGGTGGCCACACATATGAGCTCTGCATGGCCACACACATGGAGCGTGTGTCATGTTTGCAGCAACAATACAACATTTTTATCAATTTGGGTTTTTTACAAGTGTATTTCTAAAGGGAAAAGCAAAGGCAACTCCATGGAGACAGGCACCTTGCATGCAAAATGGGAGCACACCCATTCCAACACACCCTGGCCCTGAGCTAACGAGCAATATTTGATGAGCGTGTCAGGTATTTCATACCCTTCATTCCATCAAGGAATTCCATCAAGCTGATGGCTATCAGTTATAACCAACCTTAGCTTAGGATTGCATTTCTTTCAGCAGCAACTGTTGCTTTCAGTCACTGAGTATCCCAAGGACAATTGCTATGCTACACCCATGCCAGGCACATCTGCGGCATCAGAGAACAAATATTTCATTAAAAATCATAATCATTAGGACAGATCTATTAAAAAAAAATAATGAGATGACCAACAAAGGATAATCCCTCTAGAATCCTGCTGCTCAAGATTAATGGGGTAAAACAGATTACTTCCCTGCCCTAAGACCATCCTTCTTAGCACTCTGGAAACTTTTTATGGTGACATGTGAAACGAGGTGGAAGTTGTTGCCCTAGCCAAGGTTTTGTTAACAGGCTGTAACTCAATCCTTGTTGATCAAAAAGTTCATGGAGACATAGTTATTTAGCAGATACCAGTTGTCTTTGCCTGAGCCATGTGATGTTTTGTCGTAGGAGTTACGGGTGAGATTCACCTAAGCCACACATGGCCATCAAAAAGTTGGGTATCCAGTCTCAGGTAGTCCTGCAGGCTCCCTCAGTACCTGATGTTCACACAAAGACAGATCCAGAAAACTTTTTAAATCCATCCTAGATAGCTCTCATCAGACAGTATAAATCAGATGGTACAAATTGCCTTTTGGGTGTACCTGTCACTCTGCATCAATCAGTTTGGATAAAGCCTGCTTGGCTCTTTCAGAACAATTTTTCAATGGGTAAAGTCAGGGACTACGAATTACAGTCAAAGTGAAATTGCATAATGTTAGATTCTCCACTAAAGAGAGCTGTAGGCAGGATGCAGCATGAATACCTGAGCTTACACCAGTTGTAAACTGGAATCAATCCCTCTAGCTCAGTAAAACCTGTAGCAATCCCTCAAGAGCAGTGCTGTGCTGAGTTTTTAGTTAGCTGATGGACAGCATCATAGTAATGTTGTTGTATTGTTACAGGTGATGAGCACTCAGTTGTCACTTCTCTTAAATTGCATTGCACTGCACCATGTAGACACGCCATGAGAAGATTTCAGCAGAGTTTCAATTTTTAACTTCGGACCGGGTTAAAACCTAGGCTCCAGATGTAAGACAGAAAATCACTCTTAGAAGAGCAGTTCCCACCAGGCTATGCCAATTGAATCAGTTGAATTTCACAGGTATTGAATTTCACAGATAAGTTCTTGTGTCATTTTACACTCTGGCTCCATCCTGGACTGGAACGCATCAGTGATGTCTCTTCTGGGGTTGACCTGACAGCCACGTGCTTAAACGCGTGCTTTGTGCTGATGGGCATGTGCTGTGAACTAATGGCTTCACTTATAATACTGCAGGGAGATGTCTTGGAGATCACCGTGCCCTTTGGGAACAGCAGGAGATGCTTAGCTCTCAAAATCAGGAGTTAAACTTGTTAAAGAAGGACACAGGGCTTTCACAGTAAGACTTTAGGACTCCTTCGGTCAGGAGGTTCAAAGACAAGGTAAATGCTGAGGTCATCCCTGAGCTAAAAGAATACAAGCCAGATGTGGCTCCCACCCTGTTCAGACAGTGTGGTGTTTGCATCATGACTCCAACCCTCGTTAAACCTTGTGCTGACTTTAATATGTAGCAGCATCATTATAGAATTTCATAGAACCATGGAGTCACGGAATGGTTTGGGTTGGAAGGGACCTTAAAGCCCATCCAGTGCCACCCCCTGCCATGGGCAGGGACACCTCCCACTAGCCCAGGTTGCCCAAAGCCTCATCCAGCCTGGCCTTGAACCCCTCCAGGGATGGGGCATCCACAACAAAATGACTTGTGCACCTTGTGGATTTGCACAGGGACCACAATAGGGGTCAGAGTCTCTGAAATAGTGCTGTGCAATCTCAGCCCCAAAAAACGACAATCTACAAGGTAAGACAAGTATAATGAACAAAGTTTCTAACATGAACTCTGCTCCCAGACTTGCATCACGAACTTACCTGAGACTTTTAAATCAAACAGAAGAGTGTCATCTCCAATTTTGCATGTGTATATTCCTTCATCTTCTTTTGTCACAGCTGAAGCCACAAGTTTATGCAGTTTTCCTTTATCTTCCATGGTGAATTTCTTGCTGGCTGTGATTTCTTTGCCATCTTTGTACCACTTAACCATGACGTTGGCCTCAGAGGTCTCAGAAACTAATTCAGCCTGTTTTCCAGAGACGGCCCTGATAACTCCTCCAGTTTTCTCTTTGTTTATGAAGTTTGCAAGTGCTGAAACAAAATATAGACACACAGCACTAGTAAAGAATCATGCGGACATCTGTAAATGCTCACAACACATCTGCATCTGTTATTAATTTATCAGAAGACCAAATATGCATGTTTAGTTACGGACCTAATTAGCAGATTCTAATCTAATCTAGATTCTAATGCAGAAGCAGCCAAAATCCAGCCTTTGTAAACCATATACCTGATTATCATATATCCAAAAAACAGAGCACATAAAACACAGGAGGCTGGGCCAATGGGAGAGGAAGTCTCAAGAAAATATCTGGGAGAGGTGAGGAATTATATGACACAAGCAAATGGGAGGGAAAGCAATGAAGATCATTCAATCAGTTCAATTGTAACCACTCAGCAAATAAATGGACTCTAAAAGAGGTTAAAATGTAATCTAGATAAATTAGATTGTATTAAATTAAAAAAAAAAAAAACAACTATGTGGATATCACCTAGGACTGAAATGAGATGTCTTCCTGGAAATTAACTGGAGCATAGAGAGTAAATGATAAATCTGGCACAATATTAACACATAGTGGAATAATTGAGTCACCAATTGCCTCAAAGCAAAGATTCTAACACCCACTAATATCCTAGCTAAAAATATGAGCCTAAAACCACAGTCTTATTTTACTCTAGACAATGGAATTAATTTTCAAACATCTTAACGTATTATTTTAAAACAACACACACAATCAAGTCACTTTGTTGGGACTGTGCAGTCAAAGCTGCTAAAATCAAAGCCTTGGTTACGCATTTTTTCCCTAATTTCAAGAACACGCTTGCACAATACAAATTAACAACTCTCAGCAGAACGCCTGGTAAAAGCAACCATTAGCTTTCACTGCTGATACTGCAACAAGCAATTACAGCCTGTGGTCTGGACCATCTAAGCGTGACTCTCACAGACTTTCGCTTCAAAGGTGTTATTAGTGCTACATCCTGGTGCAACCCAAACGGGTTCTCCTATTGCTCAAAGGCCCCACCCACAAGGACGGATTTTGCATTTCTTTTCTATGCTTTTAAGAACATTAGATTTCTCCAAGTCTGTGGTAGTGCTTTTAACTACAGACAAATATTTGGTAGGGAATCGATATTTACTGGCTTGTACAGTGGCAGAGTCTGGAGACCTAAAAATGAAAAGTAAACTGACTTACCAAGCAATACACAGGTAAGAAAGAAAAAGAAACCCCCAGACCTGAATCTCCCCCAATCTAAGACTAGGAATAATAGACTGAGCAAATGAACAGGGAAAGGGAAGGAAAGGACATGATGGTGCAGCCAAGGGCCTCTCCAGTTTTGGTCCTCAAGGGGCTCTGTTCAATCACCAGCTTCTGGCAGGGATGGAGCTTGCACTTGACTTTTCCAGATTGCCACCAGCCCTGTTTTCTAGGGTTTACTAACTGTCCTGGTTTGAGCTGGGACAGAGTGAACTCTCTTCCCAGCACCAGTGTGAGGCTGTGTTGGGGTTTGTGCTGAGGAGAAGCTGATCACACACTGATGGGCAGAGCTGCTGCCAGGACACTCAAGGACTTTCCAGCTTCTCTGCTGTGCCCGTGTCTGCAGGGGCAGGAGGAGCTGGGAGGGAGCACAGCCCCAGTGACCAGCCCAGGATTCGACCTTGGGTTTAGGACTGAGACCCAAACTGGCCCATGGTCTGTTCCATCCCATGCACGGCATGGCCAGGGGAGAGGTGAGGCTCTGTCCGGGAGTTCTCTCTCTTGCTCCAGGTTGTCTCCCTCTGAGTCACCCCTCTCTCAGGGTCATCTTGGTCTCTCGGACACTTTCTTTTCCAGGAGTGTGGTTTCAGAACTTTCTCACTCTGGGATCATTAGCCAGGAATGGGCTGAGCCTTGGTGAGCATCATCGGGTGGTGACCAGTATCCCTGTGTATCACTCATTTGTATATTTGTATATATTACTATTATTCTCATCATTATTATTATTTCCAATATTATTGTAGTTTAGTTATTGAATTGTTCTTGTCTCAAACCACAAGTCTCTTTCCCCTTCACCCCTTTAATTCTCTCCCCCATCCTTGGAAGGGAGGAGCATGGGAGACTGGTGTTGTGTAAAACTACAACACTAAGTCTGCTTATTAGAAGCAATATCTGTGGGTAAAGAAGTCCCACCACAAGCACTAAAACCAGGGAAAATGTCAATTTTTGCTGTTTTTCCTTGGGGCCTCTGTTTCCACTTGTTTCTCTAGTGACTCATAATGGTGGAGCTTTCCCTTCCGTGGGACAACACCACATCCCTCTCCTCTACCCAGCCACCTATACCCATGAAGCCTGCAGGGACCAAACGCTGCTGAGATCTCTACTTCTCCACCAGCATTACTGGAACTCAGCCCACAGGTGAAAAGGTTTGGGAGGAAGAAGAAGGCGATGGGTTCATTCATACACCTTCCACTTCCTTAGAAAAACAGAGTGAAAAATCCAACCACGGCAACATGAAGGAGACTTCTCAGATGTCCCATTTCAATACGGGAGGTCATGTGTCAGGGGATGCCTGGCACGTGAAGTCTCGTGGCAACGGAGGGACTGCGGTGATAAGCAGCAATTGCATTTTCATTTGGGCAGAAGGCCCAGCAAGTGACACACCTCTGGCCGCGGCTCAGTGGCACAGTGGCCTCTCGGCAGCCACGTGATGCCCACACGCCAGACACAGCTGACCCGCACATCAAATGATTCACCAGCCAGCTGGGGCTGATTTACAGGAGGAACAGATAGAAGGTGGCGGTGCTGGGAGGGAAAATACTGGGACGGTGTTTGTCAGCCTCATCCTACAAGGATGAGATAGATCAAAGCTGATTCTCCAGGAATCAAGCTATAAACAGCAGATGTTTAAGTTACAGCTTGTCGATACAGATTTTAAAATACGAGCACTGATTACTCAATTTGATAGGCACATTATGGTGAAAAGCACATGGAAGTGTCCATCCGCTAATTCAATTAAATCTGTGGGTAGATGTGCCATTGTGAGAATGATGCTAAAGAGGCAGAGAGAGAGAAAGAGAAGAAAACCAAAACTAAGAACATCTGCCAAGTGTAGACAGCAAATTCCTCCCTCCATGAATGTCATCCCATTTTTAATTTATTTTTTTTTTCCAGCTTTCTTCACATGTCTTTTGAGTTTGCTCTTTGAGAATAACCAACTAAGTTGTCAAATGCGAATACAGTACTCTGGGGTTTTGTTGTTTCTACAAAGACCAAAGAGGGCAAAAAGCCAGCAGAATAAGATGATGGAACACCTTGTACTTACTCAGTGTAGAAACAGTGCGATTGTTGCTGGGAAGAAGGTGAGGGGTGAGTTATGGGACAGAACACAGAAATCAAATGGCTTTACAAAGTGAACTCGCCAGCTCAAAGTAAAATAGCTACAGAGGTCCCCCAGACAATGTCTGACAGCAGGCTAGACTGTCTTGGAGTCAGGTTTTATACTCTGAACCTCAGTAGACATCTAGATGATACCCATGAGGAATGATCTGGGAGTACACGGGGGCTTTTCAGCCAAAACCCGGTTCCGTTCAGGGCAGAGCAAACTCTCCCATTAACTAATAAATACTTGCACAGATGGGAAGGATTCTAAGAGGGAGGCTTAATGCTGTTAGTTTTAGGGTAAAGGTTGAAGACCCATGTCTTTTAGGAGGATGTGCCCACCACCAAGGTAGCAAGCAATCAGGAGGGAAGGGACTGCCATGAAAATAAGAACAGCCAAACAATGGGGCAGCTATAAAACAGTACTGATTCAAATCTAACAAACTAGAAATATTAAAAGAAAACAATATTTTGCTCTTTGTTCTATACAGCACTCTGTCTGAGTACCTTGCAAATCGAAATGAGTCAAGCCATCCAGTGTGCCCTGGAAATGTCTGTTCTTATTCACCAGGATACTGACAGAAAACAAAAAATGAATAACAAAAAAAATCCGACAATGCCAAGATGATCTTGGTCCATCGGGACTTTAATCACAGCTGAACTAGCTCCTCGGTGACTTGTCCAATATCACAGAGCAAGTATAGGGCAAACATGGGATCATCATGTCCTGTCCCTGTGGCTGAATTTCTCCATCACAAGAGCACCTTCTCACTACCCACCATTCAATCTCCTGAAATAACACCAAGTTCCCCTGGAACATCAAGACGCCAGTTTGAAAGCACAGCTTTTACCACTGAGACAGTGTTAGATGTTGTATGTACTCCCAAGTTCTCCTACTCTAGGACCACAGACACACTCAAGCCTACGTGTTGACAGGGAGCTACCACAAAGCAGCCCAGATGGTCACATACCTTTCACTGAAAGCTGATAGACCATTTTATCCCCTTCACAGACACACTCATAAATTCCAGCATCCTCTGCTGCAGTGCTGCGAATTTTCAGAATATGCCTCTTCCCCAAGGTTTGAAGTTCATATTTTTCACTGGCCTGGAGCTCTTTCCCATCCTTCATCCATTTCACAGTAGCCTCTGTGTCCGAAAGCTCAGCCTGAAGTTTGGCTTCCTCCCGCAGCCGAGCAGAGACCTTTGTTATATCTCTGCTCTTGTTGGTAAATCTCACTGCAGCACCTGCCAGGAGCAAAGGCTTTGTTATTTCCAGTTATACCGAGCCAATATGTCCCTGGAAGGTGTCTGCTGTAGACTGAGATCTCTGAAAAAGTATTAGGTCCTGTTCCTGCCCTCACATTCATGTCTACACTGAGCATTTTTTCCAGTTCAGGAGACTTGATCTGGTTTTGTTGCCAGAGTCACTAAAAAAAAAAAAAAAAATGCACATCTTGCTACTGATAAATAATACTCTAAACATGCTTCCGTAGACATTTTCTCCCAAAGTCAAGCACATCCTTCCAGAATGAATGTCTATTCATTCTCTTTTGCCATGCAATGTGTGTAGATACAGATGTTATGGTAATTTCAGAGAGGAAAGCTGGAGTGCTCAACTCTCAATGCTAAACCAAGTTACACGGCACTAACTTGCACATCACTCACATCTGTGGTAAACTAAAAACACTTCAAGAAAAAAAAATGTTAGCAATTAATGCTCCTTTACTTTTGGAAGACTCTACTACAGTCAGACAGAGCAGCCAAACCTGGAGCTGGAATTACTGGCCTAAGGTGACTCAGTGGCAGATCTGGTGACAGAATCCCTGGACTGATGGCTGTGAACTACAGAAATTCATGAACTGATGTTAAGCAGTCTAGTTCTGATACCAACTAGCTGGCTAGATTGACGCTGAACCCTGTGCTATCATGGTGAGGTTGTTACCAGGACCCACATTGCTTCATATGATGCAATTTCAGGTACTTCCTACAAACCAGGCACCAGTGAAAACCTCCAGCCCCAATTCTAATCATCAGGTCACAGCAACTGCCCCTTAGAATCACAGAATCATAGAATCGTTATGGTTGGAAAAGACCTCAAGGATCATCAAGTCCAACCGTCAACCCAACATCACCTAACCCACTAGCCCATGTCCCCAAGCACCACATCTACACGTTTCTTGAACCCCTCCAGGGATGGTGACTCCACCACTGCCCTGGGCAGCCTGTTCCAATGCCTGATCACTCTTTCAGTGAAGAAATTTTTTCTACTATCCAGCCTAAACCTCCCCTGGCACAACTTGAGGCTGTTTCCTCTTTATTGGAAGAAGAAAGGACAAGATGTCTTCCTTCTTGACTGGAAGAAAGGACAGTGATGAAAATAAATACCTTTCACTCTCATCTTGGTGCTGGTGTCAACATTATTGGCAACAAATTTCACTTCTGCTCCATCGTCATTCTTGGTGACGTTCTTTATGATTAGGGTGTGAGTAGTTTGGGTTCTCTTAATGATGATGGTCTCACTTTCCTGTAAGACTTTCCCGTTGAGGTACCAAGTGCCAGAACACGTCGTTGTAAGGTCAAGAGTAAATACAGCATCTCCTCCAGGTACAGCTTCAACAGTTGTCAGGGGGGTTTTCACAGCTGGGACTGGTTCTAGGAAAGAAGAACAACACATATGTCTGAGACCAAAGGACACAAGACTGCCACACTGGAGAACAGTTCTTCCTAAGTTTTTTTACTTAGATATATTTTACTTATTTTTTTCCCTCGGGTGTTTAAAGGTATAACAAGCCTGAAACACCTAGGTCCCCTGGCAAGTGTGCTATTTATTTAATAATCAGATTTATTCTTAGATTTCAGGAAGATTCTAAGGAGGTCATCCAGCCTACTAGTCACTTCTAGATACTCTAGGAAAAATCAGGCATGTTCAGACAGGGAGGGAAAAGGATGACAAAATAACAAGACACAGTATCTGTGCAGATATTGTCTAGTGCGATGAATCAAAGGAAGACACAATCTCATTGCTCACAATGATTCTATGGGCACATTGGCACCTTAGAAATAAAGGAAAATCCCCATATTTCTCCTAGTAACTCGAAGATTCAAGAGAGACTGTCTGGAACCTGGTTTTCACGACAGTACTATCACAACATAAATATTCTCTAGGTGCAGTTTGATATCTCATTTATATATTGAAAACTATATAAGCCCACTTCAATTTTTCCTTCCATACCAGGTCTAGAAGAAGCACTTACAGGCTTAAGAGATCTCTACCTCTCACCCAGCCTGATGTGAGATATCGGAATGGAATATACTCACAGCTCTACCACAGCAACCCAACCACCATCATTCTGGTGACGGTCAGTGGTTGAAGCGAGATAGGAGAACTATCAGTGAAGGGAAAAGAGTTTTGTTGTGCAATTGCTCTACCCTCCTCAAAGTGATGGGAAACATCTCCAGAGCACCCACCCATGTGGCAGATCAGCACAGACAGACCCATTTTCTGACGGTTTTGTGCTCACCAAGGTGCACACTCCCTGGGAACTCCAGGTAGGGGCTCTGTCCGTAGGCGTTGACCGCAGACACTCTGAACTGATAGTCAGCCTCTTCTGACAGGTTGGTCACCGTGAACTCTGCAACAGGGACGTGAGACTCGTGGCACCTCACCCAGGTAAAGCCAGTTAGTTTCTTGCGTTCCAGGATGTAGCCGTCAATGGGAATGGGGCGGTCCATCTTCGGAGGGGACCATGCTAGCGTCACTGAGGTTTCTGTTTTATTTTTCACCACAGGGTCAGATGGGGGTTGGGTTGGAGGTTTTTTGGGAGCTGCACAAAGGAAAAAAAATAACACAGAGCAAGATGTTTAGGTCAGAATGGAAAAGCCACCATGCCACACACAAAAAATCTTACACTGGACTAAAAGCTGCTCTTGCTTAATAAACCTCCATAAAACATTGATGGGAGATGGAAAAGCAAGAAAGTGGAGAGAAGATGCTTTTGGGATGCATTACAGAGAGATGTACAATACTCCTACCTCCACAGCTAAACATATGGGATTTCTACACAATATTACTACACGAAGAGTCTTACAATGAACAATTCATAGGCTGAAATTTTCAGTACTAGATACAGATCCACACAACTTCCTATACAGCTCCTGGGCAAGGGAGAGTAATACTCAGCTTATTGTTTTCCGTCAGATGATGGGTAAAACCACCATCAAAGGTTGTTCTCAATTCTATGTACCAAACTCCTGGTCCACTTCCCTGCTGTGAATCCAGGCTAAAAAAAAAAATACCTCAATAGGATTACTCCAAAGTGACACAATTTTGTCCTGCTTACTAGACATCATTGCACAAGGATAGTTCCACTAATAAGTCTGCTGCTATTTATCTTTGGTCTGAATTTCAACCATACACGTCCCTGCAGTCAGGAACGGGTCTGGGAGAACCAAAGCATGGTGAGGCACCATTGCATCAAGGAAGAGGGTGGCAATATTTTGCCTGTGCAGCAATATAAATCTACTCCACAAAAAGCAGCCTGTGCCAGGAGTCTATGTCCTCTATTTCTTCTTGAGAATCTGTTCCATTCATACACTAAACCACTTCAGCCCTGATCCTCAACAGGTTTCAACACAGAGCAGCTAAACTTTGTACAACTGGGAAAATTCACCTCTCTGCAGCTGCTTTGATCTGGGTATCTCTGTCCTGCTTCTGAATTTTATGCTGTCCCCATTCAGAAGGCATGTTGTAATTTTGTCTCCCAATAGTGACAGCTCTCATTGGGGTTCTCTGTTTTAGTAACTTATGCAGAGCCAGCTTTTGGGGTTGGGGACTTAACTTCAAATGGAAATGACATAAAGACATGTCCCCACCAAGAGACCCTACAGTTGAGGAGATGTGGCTATTCTATGGCACCTGAGTTCACAAATGTATCCGTGTGGGTACTTGCATAATAAAGACTTAGGTTCGCTCTCTCATTCCTCTTGAACCCTTTAGAGAAGGCTCAAGTCCCATCAGGGTTATTCACTACGTGCTGCCACTGATACAGTCAAGAGGCTAGGAATTATCTGATATGCTCTAGTTACATATCTAGTGACGTGGTAAAGGATCCATTTCATTTAATTTTGGCTATCTGAAAGGTGTCCTGTTTAAGTCAGTCAACCAGACTCCAACTGTAATCCCATGGAGAACAGCACACTCAGGAGCAATCCATCCCAGTCTAAAGAACATATGAAACAAATAACACATTGCAGATACTCAAGCAGTCATGACTATAGAGAGAGCCTGTACAATGAGCCTAAACTAAAAAACTAACTCTGGGACAACTCATCTTCTCTCTGCCTCAGTTTACTCATCTTTAAAATGGGCACAGTAACAATGCAAGGTACCAAGCAAATAATATACAAACATTGCTTGCCTGATAAATGCTGTTAGGACAGCCAAGACCAGCCTTGTCCAGCTAACTGAAAAGATGTGAACGTGGTACACAGGATTCTTCAAGCAGCTAATCAGGTATGCATGAAGTGTAAAAATAGGAAATCCCAATGTGATACACTTTTCCTTCGTTACATAAATAGACACGTAAGTGTTTTGGGGTGCAGTTACCAGGCTGTCAGTTACTGCTGGTCAGCGCTAGATGCCAAAGGTCCCATTAGTGTAACATTAAGCTGAATACTGGACCCTGGAATCAGATCTCTTGACCTTACCATCAGAAACGGCCATGTAATATTTCTTCAGAGATACCTGTGGGTGGGAAGGCAGCTTCTTGCCTTTTTCTATTCCATGAATCAACACTTACTTCATAACTTAAACAACAGAGGCTGAAATCAAGTTGAACTTTGTCATTCCCATTGACTAAGTCTTTGATTGAACATCACCTTTCTTTAGAAACTATCACAATGCTAAATGTGACACCTCATTTTTTCCTCATTTTAGCCCAATAGCATCAGAATGCCCCAACCAAGCTTAGATAACACAGCAGTTATAAACTTGTATTTAAAGATTTCTTTTTTTACCACTGACTAGTTGCAGTTTCGAGGTGGTGGTGGGAGAAAAGAAGTATTATTCTTCCCAAATAATGACTAGAGTGGATGATTTTTTCACATGTCAAGCAGAAGTGCAGCAGAGCCAGAGGCACATGCAGTTCTCTGTCTTAAATGAAGCAGCTTTTGCCTGGGAAATGCAGCACCATCAAAATAAAGCTCAATAAAATCAGGCAACTTCACCAAAATTTCATTTCAGCTCCCATCTCAGCTACATTGCACCTGCTGCTACTGCTCTGTCAGCTAGAACCCTTGCTCAGATCAGATGTACCAGCTGAAGGAATTCCCCACCCTGCATATTATATCAGTGTCCCCAAGGAAAGCTAAACAGGACAAAGACCCCTTCTTTCAGCATAGCTGCCATCAATTCATGGATTCCTCCCAGCTTTGTCACGCCAAAGAGAGGATGAGAAAGGACGTGGCTTTGCTAGTCTCCACAAAAGGAAGGAAACTATATTTTCAGGAGGAAGCATTTCCCCTTTTCCTTGCAATTTGTATGTATATATATA